TCCCTCCCTCCTCCTCCCCTCCTCTCCCTGCCTCGTCTCTCTTCATTCTCTGCTATTTCTCCCTGCTCGCCCTTGTTCACCTTGTCGGACTTAGCCGGGGAGGCATCTTTGTCGCCCACAAATGGTCTTGCCTGGGCTTGCGCTCCAGACTTTTTGAGAGCGAGAGCCTGGACGATGAGCTTGTAAGAAGGAGCAGAGATGACTCAGGGAGCTTTGACCCCTCCTCCTCCTGCTCCTGCTCCTTCTCCTCCTCCTTCTACCTACATCTGCTATATCCACTTCTGTTGACTGTGGTCCTCTTTCTCCTCCATTCTCCTCTAACCTCCCGTCTCCCCTTCCTCCTCTCTTCTCTTCAGGCGGGGGAGAAGGAAGACTCACCTCTTGGATGTAGGAGCGGAGCCTCGAGCTGCGGGCGATCAGGTCGCTGCGGGCGATGTCTTGAAGGTAGGAAGAGCTCATGGTAGCGAAGCGGATGTGGCGGAAAAGCTTCTCTCCTCGCAGCGGCTCGCCATCCCTCCCCTCGGACTGCCTCAGGATCCATCGAACAAGCGCCTCGTAGACCACTTCCTCCCCCCTTGCCACCAGTTGCTCGCTGTCACTCCGTCAATAAGGGGCACAGAGAGCAAGCAGGAAGGAAACGAAAAGGGGGAGGGGGGGGGGGGAAGGAGCAGAAGGAGAAGGAGGAGGAGGGAGAAGACCAACGGAGGGGCGTCGAGGGGCAGGGATCAATTTTACCTCTGCAAGAAACTCTCGAGGGTCTTCTCGTCCAGCCGCAAGAAGGAGGAGCTCCTCGAAACCTCCTCGAAGTTGTTCACCACATGCTGCCGGCAGCTCTCCACCACCCGGGCGCTCCCCAACTTGGAGCTGAGTTCCAGCAGCTCGCAGCTGTTGCCGTCACGGTGAGGAGATGGCGGGGAGGGAGGAGAGGAGGGAGGAGGGGAGACAGGGAGACAAGGGAGACAGGAGGAGAGGAGACAGAGAGACGAGGGAGATATGTCTACCAGGTGGCTATGGTGATCATAGCGATGAGACCGTCCTCTGACGCCTCCTGAACACACTCGAACTGCGTGCTGCTGCGTCAGCTCCGTCGCTCCTGTGAGGAAATTTCCCCCCTCACTACAAGCTACAAGTTCTCTTCCTGGTGCCCTACCTCTGCATATCTTGCTGACTTTCTCAAAGTGCTATCTAGTCTGCTTGCTGCCTCACACAAAACTCTCTTCTTCTCCTTTCCCCATCCCTTCCCCTACCACCTTCGCTATTCCTCCCCCCTCTCCCTGCCCCCCCCCCCCCCCCCATCTACATCGCACCTCGAGGCTGTTGGAGACGAGGAAGAGATCGATAAGCTCCCAGGCGTTGGAGACAAGGAGCCGCCCGTGGTAGAGGAAGTGAACGATCGCCTCCACCTCCTTCCGCGGGCAGTCATGCAGCACCATCTCCGTGTGACTTCCCGCGTCCTAACGGCCCGTGAGCGTCTGACGAGATCGAAGACTTGAAGTACCTCAACGAGGGTGTAGAGATTGATTTGACTCCTCTTCTGCAAAGGATTCACCCTCCTCCCTTCCCTCCTCCCTTCCATCCTCCTGCTCCTGCTCCTGCTCCTGCTCCTGCTCCTGCTCCTGCTCTCGCTCCTGCTCCTGCTCCTGCCCCCCCTCCTACCTGACAAAGGGCATGGCGGATGAAGGGACTCGAGGCAGCCAGCACCACTCGATGAGCCCAGACGAGCTAGCGGAGGAGTCAGCGAGGAGCAGGGGATCATGCAAGGGGAGGCAGGGGGCTCAACCTCGTTGGAGGAGCAGCGGATGGAGAGGTCAAGGAAGTGATTTGACTCGAGCATCCACGTGACCATCGAGTTCTTGACGACTTGTCAGCAGCGGCAGGAGGGAGAGGACGAGCTTGTCACCTCCTTTCCGAAGAGCGTGAAGGGAGGTTTCTCCGACCTGATCTCCAGCGACTGGTTCAGCTCCGCATGCAGCGAGTGCCTCTGCATCAGCTCCACTTTCTTCCTCTCCTGCCTCCCTCGTCACCCTCGTCACCCTCCACCTCCTCTCGTCACCATGGTGTGCACCACTGTCGTGTCGCTCCCACGTGGCTTGGGAGGAGGAGGTTTGGCCGCCGCCTGTCACGCGGTCATACCTCCTCCGCTCCTCCCCAAGCTCACCTTGCTAGAGTGAGGGGAGGCCTTCGCCTCTGGCTCCTCTGCTTTCCTCCCTTTCCTCGTCTCTTCTACTATCCCGAACTGCTGGCCCGGAGCTGGAGGCCGGCGGATGAGGCGAGATATGATTGTCTCCATGTCCTCGAACTCTTGATTGCCCAGGTCGGCCCCAGCTGTGTGGCGCTTGAAAACCAGCTCTACAGACGTACCGACTGCCCAGAAAAGTCACCACTCTCCTCGTCCTCGTCCTCGTCCTCGTCCTCCCTCATTCTCTCCTGCCTGCCCCTCCACTCTTCTCTCCCGTTTCACCCTCACGCCCACTGTCTCAATCTCTTGCTCCTAACCTGGTCCGAGCACAGAGCTCTGAATCAAGTCAACGGAGCTGCGGTAGACGTCCTTCCCGTCCACCATGCTCAGCACATCCCCGACACGAATCTTGCCGCTCTCATGAGCTGAGCTCCCGTCCTGCAGGTGCTTCACGTAGAGGGCCCCTCGATGCAGGCTGCCCTTGTGGAACTGCCCGAACGTAATGCCAACTCCGACCTTGTCTGCACCGTTGCCACCCTGCTCCTCCTGTCATCTGACGTGGACTCTTCTCTCCCCTCTTCGCACCTCGTCTGTTTGCAGAGCTGTTCTCTCGACCTCCTCCTTTGGCATGCCTCTGCTCGGGTTGCTGGAAGCAGGTGTCTTGACGTCCTTTTCCTCCCCCCTCCTCTCCTCGGTCTCTGCCTGAACAGGTTTGCGGTGCGACAGAACTTTGGGAGCACCAGGAGGTGAAGTTTTCGTCGTCGGGATGTGAACCTGTTGAAGGGTTTGAAGGATGAGAAGAGATGAGACCGTGAGGGAAGGTAGAAGAGGATTCAGAGCAAGGGAGGAAGGGGGCAAGGGAGGCAGAGCAGGGAGCAAGTGGGGAGCGGGTCACCTCGTTGGGGCTGATGACCTGAGGCTGTTGACTCTTGTCAACTCTTTCTGCCTGCTCTCAGGGTTCAGAGAGCTCTGTGACCCTCCGCTAGCCAGATGTCCAGTCCTCACCTTCTCTCTCTCACTCGTCGCTGCTCCGTCCGGTGCGCTGGGCTTCAACTTGCCGGCTCGGATGTCCTGTATCTTTGCATTCTTCTCCTGCAGCTTTCAGTGAGTCCACCAGCAACCTCGTAGGCGAGTCGATTCACCGCCATCGTCAAGGACGTATCGCGCATGATCTCAGCAATCATCTTGTTCCTGTTCCCTGCGTCGTCTTGACCTTCGCCACCAGACGGAGTGTGGGCAGGTCCAGCAGACGGAAGAGACTCGGCGCGAAGAAGTGGAGTTGCTGAAGGTGCTGGAGCAGGAGCGGGAGCTGGAGCTGGAGCAGGAGAGGGAGCAGGAGCTGGTGCGGGAGATGCAGAGGCAGCACGGGGAAGAGGAGCTGACGAGAGGTGAACTCAGTGAGTCTTCACGTGTAAAGAAGCGACAGACCTCTGGTTGGGGTCGCATCCTGCTTGCCGCTCACGGGCTCGACGTCTGTGTAGAGAGACTCGTCGACGTTGACGACATCCCTGTGAGGGGTGAGGGAGAGGAGGGGCAACCAGACCTCTCGCTCACCTGACGGTGTTGAGGACCGTGTTGATCTCAGTCTTGACTCCGTCCTTATCCCTGGGGGGCGACGAGACGAAGCGGGATCCTTTCACCGTCCCTTCATCGCTGTCTTGCAGGGGAGTCAGAGTCGGGTCGATCACGACGTTGGTGAGTGGAGATCGGTTTCCGTTCTCCTCTAGCCACTTCTTGATCGCCCATCGCTCGTACACGTTGCCATCCATAGCTCGCACGGGCTCCTTGATCTTGTCGAAGGTCAGTGGACATTCTCCCCAGTCCTTCTGCCGTTTCTTCCCAGGGGTTCTGTTCCTGATCTCCGAAGGCTTCAAAAGCGCCTTCCCCTGCCGGATCTTCACGTCATCTCCTGACACAGACTGCAGGATGGCCGCGTCCTGCTCCCTCGCCGGCATGCTCGGGGAGAGGAAGTGGCCACTGCCATTCCTCGAGCCCTCATGCTCTGCATTTCTCCAGTTGCGCAGTCCCCCAGGACTTTTGCTCCGTCCTCGCGGGTCGTCCGCGAGACGGGAGGCAGAGCTGCTGATGTTCAACCCACCCGACCTCCTCATCCTCTCTGCGCCAGCGATAGTCCGTGGGCGGTAAGATTCATCTGTGAAGAGCGGCAAGCTCCCGTCAGCCCATGTGAAACGACTAGTACAGCTCAAACATGAAGTTAGAGGGTGAGACCTGATGACACTATCTAGATGTATTGCGATACGAGTATAACGGTGTTTCCCCGTCCCTCTTTCTCTTTCCCCTCGCCTCTCATCTGCTGTCCTCGCCTGTCTCGTAGTTGTACCTCTTCCGGACGATGGGAAGATAAGGGGGGCAATGCTGAAAAAAATCCTGTTCGTCCTCGAGGCATCATCCCCCTCTCTCTTCCTCCCTCTTCTCCTCCTCTCCTCTCTCCCTCCCCCTATCTTTTGCTCCCTCCTCTCCTCCTCTCCTCCTCCTCCCCGCTCCCATCCCCAGCATCTTCCGCTCCAGATGACCGGGCTGTCCGATTTCTGCGCTGCCCCAAAAGGAAAAGTGAACAAGTATTGAATAATTGCTGCCCCCTCCATTACATAGCTATGTCAACCTGAGGCAGGCTCTGTTTGCCAGCGGGCTGGGACTGAAATCAACACTCGTTGGATGACGTCAACGATTGATGAAAGCGAATTCAAAGAAAACAGAAAACCGCGAGGAGTATCAGAGCTAATGAAAGAGATCAACAATGCACAAGAGATTATGATGAATAGAATGTGTGGGGACTAGAATAGACAAAGTGTTTGATGAATGGAATAGAAACGGTGAGTTGTTTCAGTGTAATAATGACCGGGGGGTGTATTAAGGATACAAGGAGTGAAAGGCTTCGATGATAAATTTGGAGATGTCAAGAATGCCGGCAAGGCGGAACAGGCACGGTGAAGGTGAAGAAGGTAAGGAGATGGTTAGCAACGAAGGTGGAAGGCAATGAAGATGACGTGGCGGGATGAGGACCAGGGAGAGCGGTCGGCAGGATCAGCGCGTTCATAACCCCCCCTCTTGCTACTTAGGAGGTCGAACATGAAGAGTCTGAGCTCCTCTCTTGCGCCTTCAAGTTCCTGCCTTTGATGGCGAGCGAAGGGAAGGGACGAGGCTGTAAAAGGCTCACGAGGAAGAGGAAAGGATGTCCTGGGACAGGGCCGAGTGAGCGCGTGGTGAGCCAGCGCCGCCAGGGTCGCGCAAGGGTGCGAGCTCAATGTAGGAGTGAGTGAGGTAGCATACAAAGAGGCTATCATTCAAAAAATAACAAACACATTTTCAACAAACAACATATTCCAAGAGAACAACAACATATTCCAAGAGAACAAAGCTACGGTAGAAGGCTCATCGGTTGATGTGCTTGAGGTACTTGAGCGCGAGGTAGGTGAAGAAGCGGAAGACGAAGATGAAGATGGCGAGCACTCCGATGTAGAGCGGCACGTCGGTGATGTTGGAGTCAGTCGTGATGCTCCAGTAGTCCCACACTGTCATCCGGTGAATCCCACTCGCCCCCAAGTTCTTGGCCGTCCATGCTGCTCCCTTCATCTGCTGCACCTGTCCCGTCAGGTCATAGAGGAGGCTGCAGCCAGGGCCGTCAGCGTTGAAGGGAGGCCGAGCCAGCGACGTGACGTTGAGCTCGTTGCAGTTGAAGCGGTTGGAAGGGTCTTGCGACTCAGCCAGGCAGCTCATGCTGCAGTAGAACTGCTTGGGCATGGCGGCCTTGATGCCGTACTTGGCGGGGAAGATATAGTAGAAGATCTTCCAAGGATACGGAATAAGCGAGCCGGGCACGAAGAACCCACTGAAGAGCACCATGATCCCCACCGTCGGCCCAGCTATCAGCGCTGCTGCCTGCGTGCTGGGGGTGAGGGCCGCAAGCATCTGACCCCAGAAGCAGAAGACTGTGCAGAGGAGGAAGACAGTAACCGCGTACATGGCGATGTAACTCGGGGCCGTCCAGAGCCCTACAAGCGGGTAGAAGATGATCATGTGGAGAGCAGTGACGGCGATGAGCCAGGGAATCTCTACCACCGTGAGCCCGAAGATGTAAGCGAAGGGAGTGTACATGCCAGCAGCCAGCTCCTTGTAGTAGACGACCTTGACCTCCCCGAGAACCTGAACGGCCATGTTGGTCTGTACAGCAGCGGTGAAGAAGACACCGGCGAACAAGATGCCGTTGAACGACTGGAGTTTTGACTGGTCGGTCACATCGGAGAGCTTTTGGTTGACCATGTTGAGCGAGAAGAGGAGGGCGATGATGGTCACGACGATCATGCGGTGGAGGTTGTATCCCACGTTGCGCCAGTGACAAGACGCCCACCTCCTCGTCGAGAAGTAGAGCTGCGTCGCGAAGCCCGTGGCATAGCGACTTGAAAAGTGAAGTTTCTCCCCCTGCGACAAGCTCTCCAGCTTCCGCTTCATCCCCTTGGCCATCTCCGACTCCTCGAAGAGCCTCACAAAGTCCACATTGTCGCCTCGATCCGCATGCGTCCCCAGACCAGCGCCGACGATGTCGAGCATGTACTCGGCGGGGTTCATCTCCGGCCGCATCTTGGGCGCGAGGGGAGAGCAGTTCTCAAAATAGTCGACCATGTTCCTCGCTGTGTACACCAGACCATCATGCCCCTCCTCCTGCCTCGTGGGGCCCAGGTCACCATTGTAGACCATCCAGCCTCCCTTCTTGAGGAGCAGGAGGTGGTCGAACATCGAGAAGATCTCCTTGGACGGCTGGTGGACGGTGCAGATGACTGTCCGACCAGTCTCAGTGATACGACGCAGCACGTTCATCACCATCTTCGCAGCTCGCGAGTCGAGCCCTGAGGTTGGCTCGTCGAGGAAGAGGATGCTCGGGTTCGCTGCCATCTCCACCCCAATGGTCACTCGCTTGCGCTGCTCTAGCGACAAGCCGATGCCCTTGCCTCCTATCGTCTTGTTGAGGACGGGACGGAGCTCAACTAGGTCAGCAACAGCCTGGAGCCTCGCAAGTCAGCGACGTCGGACGAGATGAGGACACGCACCTGCACGACGATCTCCTTCTCGTCGCTGGAAAGCTCTGGAGGAAGGCGGTGGAGAGCAGAGAACCTAAGGGCCTCGAGAACCTGCAGGCACAACAAATCAGCTCAAGCCGACGAGACCCACGGCCGTTGGCTCACCGTGAGGCTCCCGATGTGAAGGTCCGTCTGCTCCACATACCCGCTGATACGAGCGAAGGTTGAGAGCTCCTGCTTGTGCCCGTTGACGAGGATTTCGCCCTCAATCTTCCCTGACGTCTTCCTTCCAGCAATGACATCCATCAGGGTCGTCTTGCCAGCTCCCGATGACCCCATCAGTGCTGTGATCGTTCCAGGCTCGAAGTGCGCGTAGATGTTGTTGATGAGGATCTTGTCCATCTTCTTCGCCCCTGAGTCCTTGGGGGCGGGGATGGTGACGGTGTAGCACAAGTTCTTCAAGGACAGCGAAACCTCCGGCGGCACTATGGAGATGCTTCTCAACGCAGTGAAGGCCTTCTTGCTGTTCTGCTCGGCGTCCTCGAACATCGCATCCCTCTCAAACACAGGATCCAAGGTCGCGTCTCCTGGTTTCTCCGTCTTTTCCTTGTCCTTGTCCAACACGATGATAGGCAGCTCGCACTCGAGCCGTCGGAAGTGAAGGCCAAACGCGTACAGCAGCTGGAAGAGCACGATGATCGCCAAGAGGTAGATGAAACCCAAGGGGATCCAGATCTTGTCGACGGGGATAGAGAAGGTCTGAAGGTACATGTCACCCAGTCGCTGCTTCGATGGGCCCACGAGCGAGTCGTACACGCCGTTCCTACCCGGAGACATGAACTCATTGATGGCCAAGATGCGAAGGACCCACGGAAAGGGGAGCATCCAGTAGATCCAGATGAAGTAGTCCGGGATGCTTCCCTTGGTCACGATGTAGCCGGAGAAGCACATGGAGAAGGCGATGAAGCCGATGGCGAGGCCCTGGGCTCCTGACGGGCTGCGGGAGTTGGCAGCGATCGCTTTGTAGATGGAAACGAAAGCCAGGCAGATAAGCAAGAGAGCCACCACAAAGGTGGGAAACGTGGAAGTCTGAAACCCGACGAAGAAGAAGGCGATGAATCCGACGATACAGACTTCAAGGCACTGCAATGGGAGCTCCGAGATGAACTCAGACATGGCATAGATCCATGTTGGATAGAAACCAGAGTCCCTAAGCTTGTAAAAGATCGGCCTCTTCATGATCGCGAGGTTCACCATGTACACGTTGCTCATGGACAACATGGAGGACAGCAAGAACAACATCGGCACCTTCATCCCATCCTTGGTTGTCTGCCAAAAGATTGTGCCGATGATGATGCCTTGGATCAGCCTTTGGATGATTATGCTGCGAACAAGCACTCTGTCGCCAAGAAGGATCCTGAAGGATCGATGGAAGCAAGCCTTCAAAAGCGTCTTATACGTGGCTCCAAAGGGAGTGATCCAGGGCATCTGGTTCACAGTGTTTGATTCCTTACACCGCCCATGGTTCACAGCCTCGTGAAACCTCGGCTTGATGTACTGCTTGAAGATCCTCGAACGCTTCCACCTCTCCGCCATCTCCATTGGCGTCGGGACGTCGTCGGAGTTGAACGTCGACCAGTACTGAGTGACCTCATCTGTGCACAGGGTGACAAGGAAGTCAGCTAGAGGAAGGTTTCCAGGCTTCTTGAATCCAAACTCTTCTTCAAAGTATGACTCAGCATCGGACACTGGCCCGTGGTAAAGGAGAACGCCATTGGGACCGAGCAAGAGAATCTCATCAAAGAGGTTGACAACTTCCGGTGGTGGCTGCAGCAGGGAGATGACCGTTGTCTTGTCGAAGACATGGCAGGCATTCGCGAGAGATTCCACAATGTCATGAGCAGCGGCTGAGTCCAGTCCAGTCGTGATCTCATCCATACAGTTCACAAGGGAGGTGCCGACCAACTGCTCAGCGATAGTCAGTCTTCTCTTCTCACCGCCAGAGAGTCCTCGCAGAGTATCACTGCCTGCTACTGTGTTCTTGCAGTTGTCTAGACCGCAGTAGTCCATGATGATGTTAACTTTGTTGCGAGGATCGCCTCCTTCCTCCTTGGTGCTCTTGGGAGCTAGACCATTTTGTTTTGCCATCCCTCGAACATGTCGAGAGGCTGTGCAATCGAACGCGAAGTTGAGAGTCTGCTGGACGGTCAAGGCTGGCGTGTGATCATCCAGCTGGGGAGTGTATGCTACGATCCTGGGCATGATGGAGGGGTGGGGATGAACCCCATTGAACGACAGATCTCCTCTCGACGTCAAGCCGCTGTCAAGCCGCTCCGCAATGTACTTGAGCAAGGTCGTCTTTCCACTTTGGGGGGGGCCAATCAGCAAGCAGATCTTGGCAGGGGCGAAGGCTGTGGTGACATGGGTAAGGATATGCTTTGTACAAAATCTCTGCGACTTGCGAAACAAGGAGGTGACCATGGACAATGCAGCTGTTGCAACTGTTTGAAACTCGATCATCATAACTTTTGCTTTCCCTTCTATTGTGACATCCTTGAGAGTAACAAAACATGGTCCTTGCCGGTGTCCTACTATAGACTTGGCAAGCTCCATGAGCTCGAGCTGCGCGTACCTTGTTTGTACACCGGGACGGAGCAACTCTTGCAAACTAACAGAAGAATTTCCTGCATCAATCAAGACACGTATGCTGTCGGAAGCCCTGTGACCTTCATCTTCGTCCACGCTTTCCGACGTCGCACTTCCCTGATTCAACCAGTTAGTCATCATCACACCAGTCTGCTTATTCGACTCACATTGTCATGGCGCTGGGCAGCGTTTGAGAACGCCAAAGAAGCAATCGGATTGCTCATTATAGAGACCAATCCAAGTGCAACTTAGAAGACGTGATGGGGCGTTGTTCGCCCTTCAGAATCAGGTTGATGGAGAGAGACTGGTCAATGCAAGCAATGAGAGCACTGTGGGGTACGGAGGATTGAACAAGGAAGAGCGAACAAACAGAGGAGGGGACGCAACGGTAAAGCTGAGGGGACCAGTCACGGGTTGGGAAGAGCCGAGGTGCCAAGGTACAGGGGAGGCCAGAGGACGGAGAGGACGGTAGTAGCTCACTGACTGACTGCAAACGAGGTCATCGTATCTTGTAGATGTAGAGGTCCAAACGACTTAAAAAAACCTGTCACGTCCCCCTTACCTGGACCAAGGTAACGTGATCTGGTACAAAGTGAAGGGACGTGATGTTCCTGTTCCCCCTATCACCAACGCCTTTGAATTCGACATTGGGTGGGGTAGGCTTCAGTAGGGGTAGTTTTATCCATGGATCTGGAGGAATTCGGTTGGTAGGGTCAAAGATTTGTGTTGAATCTCTGAGGTAGGGTACAGAGGGACCGGGTTTAGCTCTACAAGCACTTGGGGATGACAGGAGGGGTCTCTAACATCCGTTGTTTGGGGTAGGGGGTGGTCAATTATACCCCGGAGGACCGGTTGCCCGTGGATCCGCCCCATGGGGGACGTGACTTTGAACCACACTCGGTCAGGTCAGCAAAATTCCGGCGGCTCGGTCCTGCGATCCTACACCTTTTCTCGGCCTCATATCGTACCGTCCTTCCACCCCCTCTATCTACTGCGAAGTACCCCCACCCCTCTGACCTCTAATTCCGAGTCTCCGGCCCTTGCACGGGGTGCCATCGGGCCAATCACCTCTCGATCCTTTACTCATCAAAGTTAAGTTAAAAATCAGTACGAGCGAGCCTCATGATCACGTCGTGACTTGATTAACGCCAAGGCCAGTCCTTCCAAGGTAGTCAGCTCTGTAGTGCCGGCCGGGGGCAGGGCCGGGGCCCGACCGGGTTGTCAGAGCGGGGAGGCGGGTCTGTGGGTTTTGCTATTTCGAGGAGCAGGCCAGGATGGTGATTGGAAGCGGCATAAGGGAGGTAAGCAAGGAAACGATGAAGGACAAGAGGGGGCGGGGTCGGGCGGGGTAGCAAGCTGTGTGAACAATTGTAATGTGGCATGCCTTCTTCTTCTATTGCTCACCGAAACCGATCATGCGAGCTTCACGCTCCTCCTTCTGTACGAAATGTTTGACCACATACTGGTCTGTCCTGTCATCCTATCCTTGTCACTCTTTTTGGTTCTCCCGCATGATTGCCAAATGCAACGATCTCAATTATTTGTGATCTATGCGCTCTTCCTTGATTCTTCTCTTCTGTCCGCGTTCCTTCGTACGTGCTTCCAACGACAGCCTATGAGAAGTGCATCATGTGCAAGTGCTATGAATTTTTGCTCACAGTCATTTGTAAATAGATGATGTATGAAATTTTATTGTGACGGCTTGATTCGCAGGGTTCCTCTGGAGTATGTCAGCTGCTGCTGGTTTTGGTGATGTGCGTGAGTGTCCATCTTGTTAAGGCGTCCCCGTCCCAAGTCTCCAAGTCAGCCCTTAGGACAGGACTGCAAGAGCGAGCAACGGATGTCAATACGATTGCCGAGTTGAAGCTGCATCATCTTTCGCAGCAGAGTGATAAGAACAAGAGATCTGCACAGGCCAGCTTAGCAAGATCAGATCTTGACAGCGTTGATCCAGCTGCTGCTGTGATGAGCGCGATTTCTCCGCAGGACGCGCCCTCAGTCGATGCATCCGGGAAAGTCATTGACAGTGGTCACATTGGTGCTGATGGGAAACGCACTGGTCAACTGGCAGAGCCACCTTCGTTCATGTTCCCCATCATCCTCGCAGTTGCTGGCTCAGTGCTGATGGTGGCAGTTTTTACATACATGTGCTTCTTCAGAGAGGAAAAGCCCAAGAAAAAGGGAGACACATACTCGTGATTCAGTCTTGAATATTCTTTCTGCTTTGTTCTAATATTCTTTCTGCGCTTTCCCCAATGCAATCTGTTTATGTTTTCTTCAAGGAGCGCTAGCCTCTCAACAATTGTTAGATGCATCAAGTAAGGAGGATATCCGATTGCTGTAAGATGAACTGGTATTCTTAACAAGAAACTTTTGTATTACATGAACAGACTCTCGCAAGAAACATCTTTTAACAACTCCAGAGAGATTTATATTTTACACAAGAAGAATTTTAAGACCGCTCCAACACAAATCACTCGCTCGAGGAGCAGTTGATCAGGTTAGGCACAATGGGTGGAATCCTTGCATATTTGTACGGAGGTGTCAACGTCGCGATGGGTTCCAGCGGAGGGGTATCATGGGGATCGCCTTGATGTCCAATGTCTTCGTCGGTGCTACACGCTTCAAAGACTTGGCTTGTTTCACAGATGAGGTCTCGAATCAAACTACCCCGAGAAACGAAACCAGAATCCTTCTCATTTTCTTCCTGGAATCCAGCAACGGCTGCGAGCATGCTCAGTGCCGATGCGCACTCCATCTCTTCCTTTGTCCTTAGTTTGCTTGCAGCTGCGGAAGCCATTGTAGTTACCACACCATTCTTTCGTTCTTTTCCAAGAATCCTTTGCTCGTGGTCGTCTTCCAGATGCTCTTTTGAATTGGGTGAGCATACAACCGCTTCCTTAATCTTGTCTCCTGAAGAGCGAGAAATCCTTTGTTTTTCCTCGCGTAAAGCCTTGAGACTCTTACAGCAAACTTCCCGATCTCCGGTCGTATAATTGAGTTCTGCTTTCAACGCTGCAATCTTTTTGTCGATGCCTCTCAACTGTCGGTGAGGCCACTTTGCTATACCAAATCGCCTGCATAGTTTCTTGAAAGCGGTTGTACAAATTCCGAATTTCTGTGCAGCAGTATGCAAGGGCAAATGAAAATTCTGTCTGAGATCCTTTTCACTTATCATTAACGTGGACGATCCAGAATTCTTCTCACTCTTAGAACAACTATCTGAGTTGCCATCATACTCTCCTCCAAGGTCCTCATCATCTGATACATCATGTCCCCCGCTCAAAACCGAGAGGCGAGGCGGTGGAGTTTGCTTCTCCTCGTAATCACGTTCATACTCCCGAGGGGAACGACTTGATTCACCCTCCGATTCACTGGTATCCATAGAAGGAATGAGCATGCCATGGGAAAGCTTAGCCTTCTCCTCCTCCAAACTTTGGATTCCTACAACATATTGATGACGATCATTCATCGCAGCATAATTCAGTTCGGCTTTCAGTGCGGCAATTTTCTTGTCGATTCCCCGCAGCTGTTCATGTCAAAAGTCAATGAAAGAAGCATGCACTTTATGCAAATAGACTCACTTGACGATGCGGCCACTTTGCTATTCCAAGCCTTCGGCACATCTTCTTGAAGGCTGTGGTACACATGCCGAACTTCTGGGCAACCGTGTGAAGGGGTAAATGAAAATGCTCCCTCAAGTTTTGTTCAGTTATTGCATGCAATCGCCTGCCAGGCATGTCTAATGTCTCTTGTAGTTTCCCAGATGTTTCCATCGCCATCATTGTTCAACAAATCGGGGGCAAGGAAGAAACCTATCCGAGTTGACCACCGGTGAAAGATCGGAAGCGAGCAGATCCTCCAGTCAACCCCTTGAGTCCAGTGTGGAGAAATTCAATGTAGCAAGGCAAGAGCAACAAGAAGATTGACAGAGGGCCACAAGAGGAGCACTCTCTCCGTGCTTGCAATGTTGGTGTAGGAACGAGAAAGGGGACCCGAAGCAAGTCCTCGCACCGCAAAGAGCGTGGTAAAAAGATGAAAGTGTGTAGGGATGGCAGTCCAGGGGCGAGGAGGCAGGCGTAGAGCACAGTGGTGAACAGGGAAGGAGAGGAAGGGGGAGGGGGGAGGGGGGAGGGGGAGAGGAGGGGGAATGAGGCAAGGGGGGATGCAGCGGCTCCTGCAGGGAGTCTCCTGCTCGTTCCGCCTGCTCCTGCGGACTAACAGTCAGATCCCCGAAAGCCTCGTGAATTGACCCACAATTTCTGAAACACTACCCAAATTTGATGGGAAATATTCGCCTTTGATGGGGTAAATTTGTGGTATTTACACCAGGAAACAAGTCTTGCATGTACCCCCGCCGAGAAAAACAAATATTATTGTAACTGTTTGTAACGAAGAGGTATGGGTCTTGTTTGCTAAAAAAGAAGAGACCCCGGATTGTCCTGAAATTGATCAGACACCGTACCTTCACTTTGATACTCGCGGTACAATTGTTTTTTTACTCCCCCGTCCGTGTCCCTTCGAATCGCCCGTGCGGCAGTCGAGGCCACGACCCGAGTTTTAGAATACAATATACATCCTCTAAAACTATTTATGGAGTATTAAGATCTATCCTGGGATCTAAAATATTATATATATTTATTGATCTTTAATAGTATATTTGAACAGTACTTAACATATATTTAAATGCTAAATGAATTTAAATCTCCCCCATTGCCCGGCCCCCCTTCTCAAAAACACTTTTAGCCTCCAAGAGAACTACCAGGTGCGCAGGAGATTGAGGGGAGATTGCGGATCCCTCTAGAGAGCAGACTAATGAGATAGGGTCAGATACTACCATATTTGAAATTTAAAATAAATTTGCATTTTCATGTTATTCGATAAACAAATGTATTTTAAAAGACCAATTAGTACCAACAGATGAGCTGAAAAGAAATCTTATCGCATTAGGTTTTCAGTTGTTTTTGTACTATGAGTTAAAGAATAATTTATACTTAAAATTCAATTTGGTGGCAGTGACCGGTTGCATTGCCAGGTCCGCCCCAGATTGCAGAGACGGCAGGCAGGCTCGCCTCATGGAAGTCACGGGCGCGCCTCAATCAAAGTTTTGAGGCGAGCCCGCTTGTTATAAGCAAGCAGCATGCAGGAAGGTCTGCGTGCAGCGGCAAGAGATGTAGGGAGAGTGAATGAGAGAGCAGAGCGATCGGGAGAGAGGACGATGAAAACGCTAAAGAAGAGGTATTGAAGCTGAATGATAACAATTCTTGAGTTAAACCCGTATCATGGCTCGAAGGCAGGGGAATACACTTGGGGGAAAGAAAGGTACAAGAAATCGAATTAGGCTCAAGAAAGAAGGTATGCATTCTCAATCGTGACTGTAAATTTAGCAAGATGGAAGAAGACGTCAGACGAGTAGGATGGTTCCAGAGGATCGATTCGCAGGAGTAGCGACGCTTGAAGGGATATATTTAATTCAAATGGCCATGAGCACGGGAACTGCATGGGGTTGAATTGGTGGTTGCAGGATGCACGCTAGCTGCAGAGAGGTCTCTCTACTTCTGGTAGGTCTGGCATGTTTGCAATGTGTATCAGCCTTCATGCCGGCTTGCCCCACCATGGGCCGTCTGGTTGGATTGAGGATGAATCAGAAAGGGTTCGGGACACCGCCTCCTAAGAAGAAAGTTTCTGAGATTGGACAAGATCGCAAGAGGGTGAATGAACGCTCCTCCTGATTCCCGCACGTCTTACTGCCATGGCAGGCTGCAGACAAGTACGAGGCGCTGAAGAACGAAGGTGCTCCGGAGTTCAACATCTTCTTTCGCAAGGTCGGCGCCACCGATGAGGAGGGGGCCGTCAAGGGTGGGTGGTACCCAGTCGGGAGCCTCGCCTGCCCGAGCTCTCAGGTGTGTAAGGTCCCCATGCGCTCGATGCAGTGAGAAGATGCTAGGTGATCGACCGAGCGGTCTTCGAGACCGAGGAGGCGCTTCTGCAGGGAGCATACAGGATTCACGGGAAGCAGCTTCGCAATTACTTCTCGACACGGGACGGCGGCAAGGTGAACAACTGGCAGGACCTGAAGAACTGCGACATCGAGTACGGTTGGCAGTTCAAGGAGTTTCCGGACGAAGACATCAAAGTGGCACAGAGGCCTGGCAGCGCTGCTGGCAACAACAACCCCTTGGGAGGACTATTCAAGAAGATCGAACAGGCTGTGAACTGGGTGCCAGATAAAGATTAGATGTTTACTCCATCTTCTTAGTGTACAACTGGATTCAATACTAAGTGTTCCATCCCTTGAGATAAAGTTACCTCAAATCATTTGCCCTCCACCATTTTGCAGTCACTCGTCATAAACCTCTGGGGTTTCGTCCCCAACCCCCACAAGGTTCCATGGATGTCACACTTGCGCAGGAGAAGCTCAGTCTTCTTCGAGCCTCCTCGGGCCGCCAATTCACCGAACACGCCCCTCCGGAACAACTTGAGAACACAGTCGTTGAGGACTGCCGAGCTGCGGTTGTTCAAGATGATGCCGATGTCCGAGCTGTGCAACTTGCTGTGGAGCAGGCGGCACTGAGCGTCATGGTCAAGGAAGAGGCAGCTCTCCTCGCAGTTCTGGAACCAGCAGGAATGAAAGTTCCCGCGCGAGTACTCCATCATGACGCACGCAGCCAGCGCCTCTACCAGGCAGTCGTCCGATCCCGCCATGATGCTCCTGTTGCATTCCACCACAGACCTCCCCTCTATCCACAGACTGTAGCCCCTGGAGCACAGCAGCGCGCACTCGTCCACCGTCACTTCACCCTGGATCACGTGCATCAGCTTCTGGAACTCCTTGGAGTTGGGGTTGGCCTGGTAGGTGAAGATGAGGTTCCTGAAGGAGCACGGGTAACTTGACTTGACCACAAACCTCCCGTGGATCTTCACTCCGTCCTCCCCCACAATGTGAATCTCCTTGTCAATCACGATGGTCTCCCGCAGCCTGTAGTTGCCCGGTTGCACGATGATGTATCGGTGGTTCTTCCTGTGATTGGGGAGTGATCAGTACTGATGCAAGCATGTCAAGGAAGCAATACTTGTTGAACTGAAGGATAGCTTGCTCGAAGGTCAGCTCCGATGGGACCAACAAGGACTTCATCTCTTTACCGCCAGCAAAGTTTTCATTCGCTTGCTGGTGGAACCTCCCTACGTTCATGGCTTTTGGTCGTTCCACATTGATCAGAGGTGCTCCGTTACCCGCGAGGTTAATCGTGGGGAACAGGCCGACCCGAGAGCCTTTCTTCCTCTTCACTGCACTCCCCAGCTCGCCCCCGTCTGACAGAAGAACTTTGCGGATCTTGAAGGTTTCGTTGTCGGGGTTGTACACGTGCCAGGTGGAGCCGTGGGTGAGATCCAACACCTCCTGCCTGCGTCGCTGCTCCTCCCCGTCGGCCTCGTTGAGCCTCTTGCCGTCGAGATGCAGCTTGAAGTACAAGTCGACGATGCGCTCGATCAGGACTGGGGGGACTTGCTCTGACTGCAGCACGTTGGTGATCATCTCCTGGGAGGGGGACTTGGGGGCGTGAGAGCCTTGCAGAGCTGCTTCTTCTTCTGTTAGCCCGTAGAGCTTTCCTGTCTTGAGCCCCTTCTCTTCCACGAGCTTCTCAATGGTCTTCATCCCGACCGCGGTGGATTGGTTCAGAGTCTTGATCGAGTCTCCGATCTGGCTGTACATGGCGGCAAAGTCTTGTTTGGAGTCGAGCAGCCTCTTGTAGACTTCAGCCTGCGTCGCCTTCTTGTCTCCTCTTCCACGCGGATGCCCATCCTTGTTCCTCGCATTCTCCTCTGACCGACTCTCGTCGACAAGGTTTAAGAGATGTTTGTGCGAGGGCTCCGAGGAGACTGGAGTGGTGGGATTCGATTCACTCACGATCTCCTCAAGGATCTGATTCTCCTCTGCCTTGCTCGCCACGTCTTGTGCGTTGAATCGAACGCGTCGCACCATCTCCAGCAGGTAAGAATGCATCTCCACGCGCATGTTGAACCGGCTGATCCCCACTCGATGCCCGTTCTCATACTGCACGAAGGCGACGGGCAAGACACAGGTGTCCTCCTCCTGCTTGACGAGCCTGCCCTCTATGCCGGAGCCGTGTCTCTTTCCCCTCCACCACATGCCCTCGTAGATGGTCGACTTACTCATGAAGGATCCCAGCCCGTGCCGCAGGTCATGGTAGTACTGACCTTCATAGCAACATCCTCTGGGCGACGATTCCACCCCCAAGCCATGCGCTTGCGACCCCAGCCATTGCCCGCGATAGTTGGAGTTGGGCTTGATGAAGAAAGTTGCGGTCTCCTGCTTCATCTCCAGCGCTCGCTGCTTCATCTTCAAATAAAATTTGTACATCACGACCAGCATCCGTTCAGACTGAAATGCGCAAGCTCGGTTGAAAATCAAACAGAACAGACGATTTTGCAACAGAATAGTGTTCAAATCTGTGTTCTTGTAGTCATATGCATATACATGTGGAACCTGCAAAGCCTTTTGGATTTGAATATTTTTCTCGCTCATGAAGAGAATATTTGTATGCAACCTCAATTTCTCTTGCTCATTGCGAGCAGCCTGTACGAAGGACTCGAAGACATGCTTTTCATATTGCGCCCTTTCTTTCTCCAGCTTTTGCTCTGAGATGTGCATTTGCATCCGAAGGTTTGAAAGCTCGATTTCTTCTTCGGGGCTGAGATCATCTTTCCACTTGACTGTCTCGTTGAAGGTCTGGTACAGCTGTCGAGCGTTGGCTGCCTTGGCTACTATCCCTTGCAAGCTGTTGTAGTGCCTCATCGTGTTAGCGAGGGCAATCTTCTTCAGCTTGCTCTGCTTGTCTGAATCTTTGAAAGCCTTCAACGCCTCTTTCTTGTCCCGCTCTTCCATTTTGGCTGCTTGCTTTGCCTGTCGCTCCTTATAAGCTTTGACTTTGTTTTCGTAGAGATGGATAGCATCTCTAACATCCGACTCTTCCTGGTTCAAACATTCAAGCAGGATGTCTTGACCCTTGGAGAGCTGCCAGTACCTGTTCAACACACTGAGAGACGTTGATTGGAACAGCTTTAGGCTCTCTTCCGATGCTTCTCTCTCACTGCTCGGTTGCTCCTGTGAAGCGGCAGGACTGTCAGATGCAGTTTGATGCTCGAGCGTGCTGCTGCTGTGATCTACACCGTCTGCTATAAGCCCCTCGTCCTTGTGCTTGTCAGTCTCATCAGCGATCGCCTCTCCATCCTCAACGACGTCTGCCGCCTCCTCCACCTCCTCGCACAGAGATTCTTGGACGTGTTCGCCGGGGCCTGGCCTCTCACCTGCATCAACCTCTTCACCTGTCCTGATGCTTTCAAACGAGTTCTCTTCGGACACGGAAGAATCAGACTCCAGGATCAACTGGTCTTTGTGACCTGATTCTGCTCCACTTCCGCTTGCAAATTTCTGTATGCTGCCATTGGAATCAAACGAGTGATTATTTGATCTGTGATGAACAGGTTTCCCCTTTCTATGCGTCAAGCTCTTCAGCTCTTGTCGTAGATGTTGCGTTTCTCGCTCAAGCTTTGTAATATCTACACTTCTTCTCAATCGCTTCCCGCCTTGTTTCTGTCTTCTCCTTCTGTTGGAGGGTAATGTTTCCTTCAAGCTTTCTGCATCTGCAGCGTTGTGCGCCATACGCGATACATCTTGCCTCCAGTTCCGCTTTGCTGTAATACTCTTGGCTGCCGTGCTCTCCTGCAAGTCTTGATGCTTTCCTTTACCACCCAGTTGCTGTGATCTAGCCTTGTAGACCTCTTCGAGCTCTTCTTTCAGGTTGTCGTTGTCGAGGCTTGAGAGCAGCTTTCCAAGAGAGCTCTTCTCCACGTGAAGAAACGACGACATGTCTCTCTTGAAGTTCTCGAGCTCTTCCATCTCCTCACGGAACTCTACAGCAGGCAAGTCAGGCTCTCAAGTGATGCTGCCACGTTACAGGGACGATGAAGGAACAGAAGCTGAAAGATCCGAATGTGGAGGAGGCATTAGAGTGAGAGGGACGGGTGAAGCGAGAGAGGGAAGCGAGAAGAAGGCAGGATGGAGGCAAAAGGGGGAGGGAGGGAGGCAGGGGGAGGAGGCAGGGGAGGCAGGGGAGGCAGGGGAGGCAGGGGAGGCAGGGGAGGTAGGGAGGGAAGGAGAGAAGGAGGCTAGAGGGAGGAGGAGGAGTCGGAGGAGGTACCATGATCCTCAGGGATCGGGGAGCAGCTCAGCTCCATCACGGCATTTCGGTTGAGGAGTATGAAACTACCGGTATTTTTCGTGAGGTGGAGTACCGGTGGTAAAGATACCCGTACCCACTGTCATGCAATTATGCGACCTGCTCCGCCGGAGGGATGGACGAACAGCATGCAAGGCGAAGACAAGACCCAGAAGGACGAGGAGAGCAAACCAAAGGTACCCCTCCTCCTCCCACGCTCCTCCTACACCGCTCCTCCTACACCGCTCCTCCCCTCATGCTCTGAGCAGTGGGAGTCCGGCATCCTATCCTGCACTACCGACTGGAGAATAAGTAGGAGGCGCGGTCCTGTTCTCGCCTGAGAGTATCGCAGACTTGCTCGGGTCCGTCTGTCCTTGCGTCCTCTTCGGGTTGACCAAGGGACAAGGAGACGAGAGCTGCTGCTTCCACGTGACCTCCTCCTCGCCTCGCCTGCCGCCCACTGACGTCTCGCAGTCTTGTATCGCTTTCTGCTCCCTCCCTTGGGTTCCCTTCCTGTGTTTGTTCAGGGAGTCTGTCCGAGTCAGGTAGTGGACGGACGCCAGCTCTCCTGCTGACTTTCTGCTCCTCCAGGTACGGCATCCGCGGCAGCGTCTTCACAGACTTCTTCCTTTCTGCCTTCTGCCCCTGTTGTGTTCTATTCCAGATCTACGAGCACATGAGGAACAACCCCTTCACCGACACCTCTCAGCTGGGGTACTGCTGGCCAGGCTCTTCCCTGGCAGTGACCTTTGAGCAGCTTCTTCTCTTCTGGAGTACTTCAATGCCGCAAAGACATCCCCACCTGCCTTCTTGTCTCCTGCTGTAGGGTAGCACTGCCGCTACGAGTGCGACTGATCTGACACCAGGCCCCTGCCTCGGCTACGGGATCCTGCGGCGAAAGATGGGCTCTAGTTGCAAGATCCACAGCCTCTGCTGCTTCCTCTTCTTCCCCTGCCTTCATGGGGCGTGCAATCGAAGTTACATCCGTTCGAGGTCCGTGACCGCATTGCCGGAGGGAGAGGAGGAGGGTGACGGGAGGCAGGTATGGGATCAAGTACTCGTACCTCTCAGTCTCCTGCTGTCGAACTCAGTGGAAAGCGATTCAGTCGGAGACTTGCAACTCCTGCATCGACCTCGGTTGTTGGCTGGCGCTGCCCTGCTGTGCTCTAGCTCAAGAGCTGAGGCATGTGCGCAAGAACCCTTTCGTGATTTACGTCAAGGACAAAGATGGTGTGGTGACAGCTATGGCAAACTGAGACGAGGCTACCTGGAGGGAAGACCTGTCATGTGTAAATATCTGTCTGCTAGACTAGATTCGATCAGATTGGGCTGGATTAGAATAGTTCAGAATAGAATAGGATAATGATCAGAGTGAAGTAGAGTAGAGTAGAGTAGAGTAGATTGATAGAAGGTGAAGGGGCTGTCAGCTCCATGTGATTATTGAACATGTGTTTCTGCTTTGGACTCAAAAGGTAGAGGAATGCTGTGGTATCAGAGCACATCAGAGGAGACGATTCAGATGGAGGGGAGTACGGTCGCTATATTGAGGTTAACCCAATCAAGGAGCATCCTTGAATTGACCGGCATTGTTTTCTCTCTTCTTCCAATCCGGTATGCTATTGTTCTGGCTGTTCACTGGCACACCTGTAACAAAAAAAAAAGCATGTATCAGATGGTGCGCAAGGAAACATGCTGAGCGAACCAAGTCGGACGTAGCAATCCACCCCCAAGTTCTCCATGCTAAACAACTGCCAATAGTCAGCACACCCGCGCGATAGTCCTCCTCCCTTACCGTGATGTCGCCCCCCCAGTACCTCGCGTACAGCCTGCTCAGGGGAAGGCCATGCCCGAAGCCGGAGAGCTCCAGCATTCCCTGTTGGTGCGTCACGAGGACAAGGGCAACACCATGCAAACCTGAGGAGCCGTTGAGAATGAGAAGTTCCAGATACGATCCAAGCTCTGCGGTGGTATGCCGCCACCGCGATCAGTGATCTTGACGTACGTGTCTTGCCCTCCACTGATTAGAATCTTGGTGGGAGGCAAATCATCGCCGTACTTGGGTGAGTGAGAGTTGGACAAGCGCCCATGAAGTTCCACAGTTGCTCGCATGCTGTTCTTGAGGATCTCGAAGAGCATGATGTAGAGATGCTCGGGAATGTAAGGCGCCGTCACCTCCGTCATGCCTTCCACGTACACGTTGGGCGCGTCCCTCAAGTGCATCCTGCAGGCTGAACGAGCGTCGGCAACCGCATCCAAGATGACCTCCTTGATGTTGCACTCCGTTTGCACGCACCCGACAAAGCGCTTCGGGCGATTGCGAGCATCGATGCCTTTCCTCTTGTAGATCTCATCCACTTCCCTCCGCTCCTCGGCATCTCGACGGAGAGAGAGGTGCTGGTCGATGAGGAGGCGGATACCGATCCTTCCGGTGTAGAACCTGTTCAGAAGCTGCTGGATCTCATCAGATTCAACTGCCCATTTTGGAACTCCGGCTCGATTCATCTCTAAGAATCCATCAGCGATGTTCGCCTGGACCATCCGATGCTTCTCCTTGATATCGATCAGCATCGCGCTGAAGCTCTCCTCCGCCCTCGAGTGTCGAGGTACTTCATGATTCAGAATCCGGAAGAAGCTCTCTTCATACAGCATTGCAAGCTCGGTGACGGCCTTGGTCGAGTACATGGGCACAGGCAGCGATTGCAGCTCTTGTATTCTCTTCCCCAACCGTATGGGCAATTCCTTTTGCAAGAAGACAGCCGACATGAGCAGCGTGTTCTTATCCGCGTCACGTCCAAACTTTATGAGCTCACTGAGGTTGAGCTTGAACTCTTTCTTCTTCGCGTACTCCCACATCTGTCTCGTCATCGTTGAGTTCTTCAGGTGGTCCTCGCTTCCCACTCCCAGCGAGAGCAACCTGACGTGCGAGGGCAGGGCCCCCCGAGCGAGCCTACTCTTCTGTGGGGGGGCAAGCACAGAAGACAGCCGCATCCTGCAAATCAAAGGATGGGCGAGGGTTTGGAGGCGCAGCGCACAGAAAGCCATCATGGAACTCCGTCAATCGACTTTCGATCCTCCAGCAGAAAATGTGACAGGGTCCACCATCTTCAATCGTGCTCCTCCTGTAACTCAGACAAGTCTCCTGCGGGATATCAAGGGGTAGAGGCAAGACTAGGTTCGGGAGACGTTCTGTACGGTATCCTCCTCCTGCACGTCGCCATCTCCTTCACCTCCATGCTGCTTCCCCATGCTCCTTCTCCTTGCCCCCTCCTTCCCCACCCTCGTCCTCTACTGCCCGCCTGCAAGTCCGCCTCGGATGTAACCAAACAGTAGGTGCGGCTGAGTCCGTCCGATCACTCACTGAGTGCGGCCGGGCTCGGCAGGACGGGCTAGTTCAACGGACTCGTCAAGTTGGAACTTGACGGCTTTCGAAAAGCTCAGACTCCTGAGCCTGGTCACCGGGCCGCCGGGGCCAGGTACTACGGTTTAACTTCGGAACGGCTGAAGGCACTCCGTGACTCAGCAGTGTGAACTTGAACTCCCTCCCCTCTGGCCTCAGGCAGTCACTCTGCGTAACTTTAATGTCTTAAAAGCACTCCATGTAATTATCGTACAAATTCTAATACACAATCACACTCAATTCGTTGTCAAACCGCCGAAACGCCAAATATGGCGTTGAAAAGTGATAAGATAGGAAAAGATTTCAAACAAAGAACTTAGTTCAGTAATGAGGCGATCCTGCTCTTGCTGACATTGTCCTCGGGCATTGTAAGCGAAGATTGAGCCATTCCACAGTGAAGAACTGGCGAGGCCTTGGTTGACAAGACAGGGGTTTGAGGAGCTTGCCTACTGTCGGCGATAGCGGCAGATTGACAAGCAACACTGACTGGCTCAGTGGGATTGAAGTTGCTGATTCCGGAACTGATCTGTGCCCTATCGGTGTCAGCTGTGTGAGCAGAAGATCCAGGAAGTGACTCCCACTCCTTGAGGCCGTAGACGCCCTTGCCCAGGTTCACAATGGCTGCAGTCTTGTTTTCACGGATGGTCTTATTCAAGAAGGCCTTCATCGACTCTCCTGCAGTTCCCTGAGACCCAGTGAACTTTATGAGGCCCAACTTCAACGCCTGGCGGGTAAGGATGTCGTAGTGCAACGCCTTGCCTGTCGCTCGCAGCACACGCACAACAGCGTCGAGCCGTGACATGGTCGGAGCATGCCCTCCAGTCATGGAACCACCATACAATGATGAACACGCTGTGATGTCCTCAGGACTGAGCGGTTCCTCGACTGATCCAGTTGACACAGGAATGTTGCGCTTGGCACGCTTTGGCTCCTTCTTCTCAGCAACATGATCATCAGCTGTGGTTTGGGCAGACTCAAGTGTCGGGGACTTCCTCTTCTTGCTCGAAGGCTCGCTCGATCTCACCAAGGCTCCCTGCCCCTCGTTTGATTCGCTGCAGCTCTCATGATTTTGATGATCGTTTTCATCAATCGACGACTCGAACTCTTCTTTGTCCCAAGGCTCCTCTGGCATATCGCAATTGAATCCTTCCAGCATGTTGCAGAAGAAGCTCTTCGTCTGATCAATTTTGATGCCCGGAGGAACAATCCTCCATTTTCCACAGCTATCGCATCCGACCCACAAGTCATCTTCGCCTTCACTGTCGTCACTAAGCTGTGAATTTTCATTTGCCGAACGTGGTCGGAAAGAGCTGCTCTTGGAGTTCCCGTCGTCTGGCAGCTTTGCTCTTCGCATCCTTGCAGAAACGTTGCTGATATGCTTTAGATCCATGAGGCATTGAGGTTTGCCCAAGGGTACCCATAAGCGAGCAAACCTAGAGAAGAACCAAGGTTTGTACACTCCCTTGGTCACCACGTCCTTCTTCTGCCATTTGATTGTCTGATCCAGTATTGCACCTCGGCTTCGAGTCGCCTTTTCAAATTTCTTGCGTTTCTCGCTGTCCTCAGGAGATTGGTTCTCCAAAAGTTCGCTGACAGGCACTGGCTCGACATCATAAACCTCCATCTCGTCAACATGATACTTGCCGATGTCATCGCCGAAAACTTGTTGTACACTCCGCGAGAATGGATCGGCTTCTTTTCCTTGCAACATGCTTAAAGCATGGATGTCCCTTTTGGAAGTTGGCTCTGAATTCACCATGACAAGGAAACCGCAGAATGTGTGACTACACACAAAGCTGTTCAATTTGATTCACTGCGGATCCCAACTGTGTTTCACTCGTTTCGCTCAGAAAAGGTGTTATCTTGAGTCGAGAAGAGATACGAAGCAAATATACTCAAAGATTCTCCTTTTTGGCCGCAATTTTTCCTATGTTTCAAATCTGGTCCAAATTGTAGACCATCAAAGAACAGAATATGCTCGAACACCACCAAAGACTGCTCGGTTCAAGCAGTTGATTCTCGGAAGGGAAGTGGACAGCGATCAATTTCTAATCACTTTCTGAGCCTGATGAAGCCTGGCGGCTTCTGCTTCTGCACTGGCACAAACTATGTTTTCGGGGATCCAACGGCCTCCAGGGTTTGGCAATCGGATTCGCTTCTTCGAGACCCTCCAACCCCTCAAGTTGGGTAGGCAAGTCGTGAGCAGTCAAGAAGACCTGGGGAGAAGCTCGAGGAGGCGGGAAGGGCAGCGGGAAGGAGGAAGAAGCAAGACGGGAGTAGAAACAAGGGCGGGAGTGCAAAGGGGATAGATGGGATACGGCAAGGGAAGGGATGGGAAGGGTCAAAGGGTGGGGTCATTTCAAGGCATGTGAACGGGTGGGGTGATTCTTGAATTTGAGAAGCCTCTAGAGAAGGGGTGGTAGGTGAGAACCCTCTGTTCACCCCGTCAATTCTAAGGATTTAAGTAGGTAGGGGTAATATGATTACAGGGTAGGGGTGGCGCCACCCCTTGGAATGGGGAGGGGTGTAGCATTGTGCCTCAAAAAAGAACAAAGTACAAATTGGGTGTAATGGACATCCTCCAAGGTTTCCGAACATACGAGCAAAATCAAATGTTTTTTTTACCCAGGTGAGACCAAAGGGTTGCAAGGGTACTCCAAGGCTGGGAGGGTAAGACGATCATTCTGGGGACCTTCGATTTAGGGGTGGCAAGATGCAGGTCAATATGGGGGTACTTCAGAAGGAAACCAGCGGGTGGGGGTATGAAAAAGTTTTTCACAAGTGGGTGGGGGTGGTACAACTGTGGTTGGGATACAGAAAAAGACCCCGGCCCCGGGAAACGAGTGGGTGGGTAAACCACCGGTACTTATGAAAGGGAATAAGGGGGTGATCACCTAGAGGTTTGATACAAGGGTGTGTTGCGGTAGTCAAAGGGTGGGGTAATATCCTCTTTTCTTGGAAGGTGGGGGTAGTCAGGGTTCCCGAAAGGTGGGTAGGGGTCCTTGACCTCCCAGAATATGGAATTCAAAAACTATTATTTGAGATTGTACCTTGCTAATGATATTTAGAGTTTTAAGGTCTAGTTCTACGCTGATATTAGTACCTAATATTGTATAACATATTGTATGTGGTAATCCATTCCCCCAAAATTGTTATTGATTCTGTACCAATTCTGAAGAATTCTGTACACTTTCTATACTTGCTATGCTTCACTATTCCTGGTGGTAAAACAGGAGGAATTACGGCCCATTATTGGCCGCACTGATGACTAGGGTGCCGCAGTGCCACTGGCTCCGAGTCGGCCGGCCGGGCCCCGGGACTCCGGGAGTCCTGGACTCGCGGTCCGGGCGACTCGGACTCCGGCGTGACTGGCTCGGACCGTACTCTCAATGAAGGGGCCGGGCTCCGGCCCGGGGGCCCGGAGCCTCCGCGGCGTGGCTGAGCCGCCGCTTCCACCGGCGGGCGTTGAACCGTTCGGAACCGTAACCGTACGGGTGCCAGTAAGAGCCAGTAAGGGTTCAAACCGCCGGTTGGCAACTTGGCCCCCGGGGGCCGCAAGTGAAAGTTGCCCGGGGGGGGGCGAACCTTTTACTGACAGTTTTGAGTAAATGTGTTTTGTCAATTATGTAACGGTCGATGATTCTTCAATGACCCCCACCCCTGAACTTCCATGTCTCTACCCCACCCCTCCGGGGACCACTCCACATCTGTGTCGGGGCCGTTCTAGAGGAACCGGGGTTGAGTCTCATGAAGGCGATGGAGGGGTAGGGTACCTTTGAGGAATGGCAAGAAGGGGTGGGTATGGAACAGAAAGGTACTCGAGTACGGGTACTTGTATATGATTTTAATAGGCGGAGCGATTGAAAGTAGGTGGGGTTGTCGATGTCTTTTGATCGAAGGGGTGGGGTAAACGTAGGGTGGGTGCGAGGATACCAAAAATGTCAGAGGCTATTTAGTATGGTGATTAGGAGGAAGAAGAAGAGAGGAGAGGGGAGGAGAAGGAGGAGGAGGGCGTGGAACAAAGATATGGTGCTGAGGAATTTGGAGATGATTACTTGAGATAAATGATGGACAATTTATAGCTGCCGATGATTTTTCCCTGCGGACAGGACTAGGAGGAAAGGGAATCCGCTCAGTAGCCATAGCAGGCAATGGAGGGAGGGTTTGCAAAAATGCCTTGAAACGACATGCATGATAGTTTGAGATTCGTTGGTGGTTCGAATTAGGTTGGATGGGAGTCAGTTCCAAACATCTTGGTCAGGTTTAGCCCCTTTTCATTGCTGCCAAGCGATTGAAGAGTTTGCCTGGCATAAAGCATTGCTTTCACGAGTGCGAATCCCATGAGCTGTCATGACTGGCTCCTCCAAACGATTATTTGACTGTCCTGTAGCTTCCGACGGATCATCCGCGACGTGATGGATCCCTTCCGTCTCTACGAGAATGCTCGTAAACTCATGTACGCGGCGATTGAGAAAGAAGATTCTGAACCCTCTGCGGCGAGACAAGAATACGAGAAAGCATTGCAAGGGTTTGCCACCTTCCTGAATGCTGCAGGGAAGAGTCGTGGGATGTACCGCGAGCTGGTACCAACGCGCTTGCAACCAACTGGCTCTTTGACTCGCTGGAACAGGAGAAGAAGGCCCACAAGATGCAAGAGACCTGCCAGAGCAAGATGAACCATCTGCCAGCACAACAGAGAAATGCAAGGCAAGAAGCCAGCAGACCCCCTGCTGGCAGTCAGCACAACATCGACAAAGCAAGAACAGCGGGAGCTGTGATGGAGAGTGACTCACGACAGCAGAGAAAGACCGGTGAGCATCCTTTGAGGTTTGAGAGGTGGAGGGTGATCAGAGTCGTAGATCCCGTGCACGGCATGAGGGTGCCCTCTCCGTCCCCACTCGTGGGGGGGCAGGGCAGCCGGCGGCAGCCATCACCTGCCCGCAGTCTCCAGGGTGACAACCAGATGAAGCCGATGCGGTCCCCTTCGCCACTAGGCTACCGTCCTGCTTCCCCGCTGGAACAGAGCAGAAGGGCTCCATCGCCGAGCCAGTCGATGCAGAGGAAGCATCAAGCGCCCCCGAGATCGGTCACTCCCAACTTGTCGAGACCTCGCGCGCCCTCTCCTTCCCTCAGGGTTTCTGATGCTTCCAACATGACGTCAGACTCGCGGACTAGTCGTGGCCGGAGGAGATTCGTGCCGGACTCGGACTCGGACTCGGACTCAAGCGACTACAACCGACTGAGAAACAAAACTCCCAATGACCCCAGGGCACGGCAGGCAGCGTCTATGACAAGCGGCGGTCGACACAGTCATGTCGAAAAAATTTCAGACTCACATAGCCAGAGGCCGAAACCCAGCAGCGCGAGAAAAAGCTTCAGCTCAAGCCTGATTGACAAGAGGAAAACCATGAGATTGGATTCTGATTCTGATGAAGATGATGCAAACATCCCATCGTGGGATCGGCGAACAATCAACACTGCTGACCTTCAATCCTCGAAATCGAAAGCAAAAGATTCCAAGAAGTTTGAGGGCAACACAGCACGACCTTTGGCATCTGCGCCTAAGATTGATCTTGAAAACGGCGAGATACGAGACAACGGGTATACTCTGAAAGCAGATTTCTTTACCGCACACCGCTCGGGTGAAGTTTCCAAGTCCATCATGGAGAAGCTGCATGATGTGGAAACAGTGGCATCCAAGGTCTCTGCTTCCATAGTCGATCCGAGTTGGCCCATTCGATCAGGAAAGAATTCGTCATCGGGAGTGCCGTCGATACACAGCTCGCTTGACCTCGGAGGCGGGTCGAGGAGTAGGAGAGAAGCGAAGGATTTGGTAGTTAAGCAGGGAAGCAGCGAGGCCGGCGTTTACAGCTCGATATCAGAAGCGATCGCGGAGGCGACTCATGGATCGGTGATCGAAGTGCACTCGGGGGAGTACAACGAGAAGCTGTTGATCGACAAGTCCCTGCAGATCCGCGGGGTGGGAGATGGAATCGTTTTGTGCAACATGAGTGGTGAAACCATTATCGCATGTGCATCCCCGACGGTGACTGTGTCGGGCTTGAGAATACTGCAGACTGGTGGAGATGGGTCCAAGCGCGGCAGGAACAGCGCAAGATGCGTTGAAGTGTTTCAAGGAGACCTCACGCTGGAACGCTGCTCCGTCCAAAGCCAGGCAGGAAGCGGCGTGATCGTTGCTGACTCGGGAGTGGCGACTCTACGGGAGTGTACTTTCCGTGGATGCGGGAAATGCGGCTTGCTGGTCTTTGACGGGGGGAGCTTGAATTGCAGCGACAGTGTGGTGTCAGGCAACGGGCTTTATGGCATGGTCGTACAGAACGGCGGGTCATCCGTGGTGGAGGGAAATCGATTCGGAGGCAACAAGCATGCCGGCATCCTCGTCCATGGGAAAAACTCAGTCTGCTCGATCCGCGCCAACGATATCTCGACTAACGGGGAGATGGGAGTCGGCGTGCAGAGTGGAGCCGAGGTTCGATTAGAGAGGAATCGGATCACAGGTAACATGCATGCCGGCCTCTTCGTGGATGGAGAGGGAAGCAAAGCATCTGTCAAGGACAGCGAGCTGCAGGAGAATGGCGTGCGAGGCATCGGAGTTCAGAGTGGAGCTGAAGTGCACGTGCAGGGGAGCAGAGTTAGCAACAACACGCAGGAAGGGCTCTTCGTGTCCGGTACAAGGTCCCGAGCGACCATGCAAGACAACGACTTGATGAGCAACGGAACCAAAGGGGTGGGGGTTCAGAGCTCGGCGAACGCGGTCTTGATCTCCAACCGCATCGTCAAGAACCTGGAGGAAGGAGTGTTCGTCTCGGACGGCGGCTCGCAAGCGACAATCAGAGACTGCAACATCATAGAGAACGGCATGAAGGGGGTGGGAGTGCAGTCTAGCGGCCAGGCAGACATCGACGGGAATTTGATCCACAAGAACCACAGGGAAGGAGTTTATGTGTCGGGCGAGGGCTCGCGGGCCCTGGTGCAGAACAACGACATCACCGACAACGGAGTGAAGGGGGTGGGCATACAGGACGGTGCTGACGTGGCGGTGGAAGGAAATCGGATCACAGGGAACCAGTACGTGGGTGTGCACGTGTACGGAAACCGCTCGCGTGGGATCGTGCGAGAGAATGACATCCGAGACAACAGCCTCGCCGCGGTGGTGACGGAGAACGGAGGTATCGTTCAGTCGGCCGACAACCGCATCGATGGCGTGCACGAGAGCGAGCTGGCGATCCCCTCGACGGATGAGAAGAACGAGGTCTTGAACCTCGCGGACAAGGAGATGTCCTTCCGTGGTCGCGAGCTAGACGTCTCCGTGCACCAGGGCAACCGCATGCTCTCCAACTCACAGTCGCCTCCCGAAGCCTCTCGCTCTTTGCCCTCCAACGGCCTGCCTGACATGCAGAGCAAGTTTCCTGCTGCTCGCTTGAGCGACTCGCATGGCGTCGCTACTCGGCTGAGTGGGAGAGAAGATGCTTCGCCCCCCAAGCAGCAGGTCATTGCCCCTGCCACCTCCAGCTGGAGTCTGACTGGTCTTGAGCAGATCAAAGCTTCTGGCGACGCTCATGGAGAGTTTGTGACGCGTCAGAACTGCCACATCGGCGAGACCTTGTGGGTCCTCGGAGACGCAGCGGAGGTGAAGAAGTTGACGGACTCGTCGGTTGGCATCTCGTGGAATGAGGACATGGCCGAGTGCTGCGGTTGCCAAGGAGAAGTTGTCGCCATTCTCGATGACTATGCGGGAATAAGGTGAGAAGAAAGAGGAGGGCGGCTGCTCGTGCGTGCTGGCTCTTCTTACGCAGGCGCAGGTTCGAAGCTTGGGTCTCATGGTGTTTTGTATATTCCGCACTGAGAAGGAGGAAGGAGGCTTGAGGGGTTTGGGTTGTCAAGTAAGGGTTGAGCTCCTTTAATTACAAACTCGCTTATCAGAACGCCATCGCCTCGTCGCTGTCAATCACTTCCTCCTCATCCTCTGTGTCTGGGCCCTTGTACGTCGCGAGGAGCTGAAACGTTCCGCCGCTGAGGAAGGAAACAATCTACAGTGAAATCAGATCTTGTTGAGAGAAGCGGGAAAGCAAAGGAAGTAGAATTCAGAGTATTTTGCATATTGAATGGGCCGGGGGGGAGGGGGGGGATGGAATGGATCGTGGATAGTCGGGGCTTCGCTACCTTGACAAGGTGGGTGCCGGATCGCAGCACGGCCTCGTTACAGACTCGCTTAGCCGCATGTCGTCCGTCATTGTGGATGAAGCTCCTCCCATCGAGTTCCATGACTGACCTGCCGGGGCTGTCAACACCCTCCCTCACTTGCCTTAGTCGCTCTCCCCTCTGCTCCGCTCCACTCCACACCCGCTTCCCTCCCCTCTCCTCAGATTCCCCAAGTTGCTCCTCTCTTCCCATCCTTACCCGTCCTTCGATGTCAGGCAGAGGCTGTAGGCGCCAGGACGGCCAACCTCCATCCTTCCGAAAGCCTCTAGCACGAACTCGCTCTGGGGCAGAGCCGGAAGATCCTGCAGCACATGAGGGCAAGCAACTCCTCTCCTCCTCCTCCTCCTCCTCCTCCTCCTCCTCCTCCTCCTCCCCTCCTCCCCCCCCCCCTCCCCCTCCTCCTCACCTCCACCAAGCCTTGAGTGCCCTTGAAGTCGATGCTGTGGACTACAGCTTCCCCCACCAGCTCCAGTCCAGCTGTCGAGCTGGGCACCTGCAGCAGTTGGCTGGCAGGCCGTCAAGGGGCTGGAGGGGGCTGGAGGAGGGGCTGACCTGCTACGGTACGCGCGGATGAGCCACTGCGATGGGCGAGGAAGCTGAGGGGCCCGAGGAGCGACGCTGTTGAGATCGGCCGGCAGGCCTCCCGTGTCCGGGCCCTCATAGGAGAGGCGGAAGATTGGCTCACCCTCGTGCTTGAAGCCGTCCACGTGCACCTGACGATGAGGTGAGAGGAGGGGAGGAGGACCGAGAGAAGTAGTCACATCGTGGAGGCCGCGGGCAAGCGTGAGGGATCGGCAAGTCTTGGTGGGCGATTGAACGCGGTCGTCATGAATGAGCAGCTCAGAGTCGATGTAGAGCAGCGAACTGTAGGAAGAGAGGGCAGGACGTCAGAGGAAGTGAGATGGACGAGAAGGAGCTGCGGAGGGCTGGGCACTCACCCGTCACTGGAGAGGGAACAAAACTTGTACTGGCCGCTCTTGTAGATCGAGAATCTCCCGAAAGCCTGCCATGCGACGTTGCGTGTGGGAGGGTCGGGGATGAACTGACGAGCGAGGTCAGGAGATGCGAGCCGCTAGCGAGTTCCTACCTGTGCCATGCTGTTCGCCTCCTCGTCGAACGAGAGGGAAGGCACGATGGAGTGCCCGAGCAACGAGACATCGCGCAGGTCAGGAAACTTATCAAGGTCCTTGTTGGAAGCGAAGACTCTGAGGAGGAATCTCGAGTGAGGGGGGGGAGGAGGCCCCCGCGAGTCAACGCTTCTGACGCTCTCCTCCTCATAGTCTGTGTCGCGTCCCCTGAGAAAGATCAGATCATCGTTCAAGCTCTTCTTCCTCCAACCTGTAGGTCAAGACGACACCTCCCTCTCCATCCCCGTGAACCCCGTCGACCATCACAGCATGCAACCCCTGCTCCAGCTCAACGTCCCCGCAGGACTTCTCGTCCGCCTGCTTGTTCTCGACGAGGAGCTCGAAGTCGACGAACACGCGAGACAAGAGGTCGGAGGTCGAGCAGAAGGTGTACTTGCCCGCCTGCTCAACCTTCACGTGGCCGCTGAAGCGATAAACGAAGTCGGAGCTCGGCGTGTCCTCCACGAACTTGCGGAACTTCGAAACGTCTGACATATCAACGAATCTCACGATCGCGCTGCCAACGAATTGCAGAGAAGCAAGGTTCGGAACAGATGAGCCCAACCGCTCCCCTTCCCTTGCCGCGAAGATCTGCATGCTCCATCCCCCCCCGGACGAGGTACCTGGAACTCCAGGCTCCCCATCAGCGCCTTCAAGGCCTCGCTCCCCTTGCTCCCCTTGCTCCCCTTGCTCCCCATCTTTCCCGTCGTGTCCTGGCGTGCCATCCCTGCAAATCATGTTGAGGAGAAGACCTGGAAGAGGAAGGGGAGGTGATTGGAACGGGAGGTGGGGGAAGAGGAGGAGGAGGATTCACCTGCCATCCTTTCCTGGTGTGCCAGGCGTACCGGGTGGTCCAGGTGGCCCTTGATCCGCCTTCACTGTCGCGACCTCCTCCGACATGCTCGCTATCGTGTGCTCGAGCCATTTCAGCCTCTGGTCCAGCTCTCCTTCTGTCACCAAGTCCTTGCGAGGCGCTTGTGGCTTCCCAGGCTCCATCTTACCGAACCCCAGCATGTTCACCTCGCGCTTGAACGTGGGCACGGGGGCAGCCGGGGAAGGAGGGCAGTGTGGACAAGGCGCACAGCCAGGCTTAGATGGTTGGCAGGGAGGAGAGTTATCCTCTGCCTCCACCGTCATCCTGAACTCCTTGAGCGCCTGCTTCAGCTTACTCCACCGCTTCGAGCTTTCTTGCTCATCACCCCCCGCCTCCTTCGCTCCGTCAGCAATACTCTTGCGCATGCTCTGCGCTATGTACTCCACTGGTGCTGTGAGCAGTGAGAGCTTCGAGGTCCGAGTCTCGCGCGAGCGAGTCAGCAAGATCGTAGCAGAGGGCTGAGTAACATGGATGATTAGCGCCATCGCTCCTGCTACGAGCAGCAACACGCCGAGCCTGCTCCTGATACCTCCTGCTTCCCTCCCGCGTCGCCCGAAGCTCCCCAAGGCCCTTTCATACCCGTCGTCGAAGTCTCTCCTCCTCTGAGCTCCTCCGTCTTCGTCTCCCTCTCCTTCTCCTTCTGCTCCTCCCCTCCCCCTTCTTGTCTCCCTGCGCCCTCCCTCCTCGCTCTCGTCGCTCAGCATCGCGACCCTTGGAGGTAGAGTCGGGCCAGCCCCACAAACCTGACTGCTGAGGCGAGTCAGGCAGTTTTCAGTGACTAAGTGTCCGGGCCCGGAAATTCAATCCCGGACTCGGAGATACCAAAGTTGACCAATAATTTCACTTGCGGCCTATCGCTGGGGTGGGTGGGTAAACTTTTAGCACGCTTCTTATCCACAAGGGGGCATGGAACAAGGGGGTAGGGTACAGGATGTCACAGGGTTTCTAGGTAGGGTGGGGTCAGGGGGACTTCAGTTTAGATGGAAGGTGGGGGGGGGTAAGAGGGTAAAATACAGGCGAGGCAATATCTAAATTCCAGTATGGTGTGAGGTGCGATGTTTCAGAGTGTTAGCAAAGCACAGCGGGTAGGGGTACAAGAGAATTCGGGGTAGCAGTACAAGGGATATAGGGGGTGGGGTAGTTGATGGGGTTTTGTCGGGATCCGGCAGGGCCCCGACCAGATCTCCCCAATGTGAGGACCCCACCCCGAAGATTTGCTACCCACCCCTCATTGACTTGAACAGTAAGAGGCACTACCCCATGGGGCGCTAGACACCCCAGGACAGGGGATCCGTACCCTATCCTGCTACTGTTTTCATACCCGTCCTTAATCAGTACCCCACCCTACTTCGTTTCAGCGCTTGTCTCGTCACCCCGACTTTTGCACACTGACCCTCTTCATAGAGCACGTGCGATAACCCCACCCCTTCGGGCACACCTACCCCTGATCCCAAATGTCAAGGATGCCCGTCTCGGAACACTACCCCCAAATTAAATATGAAAATGACCCCTAGTCAGACTACTGAGTCCGAAAGGGGGTGGTGATTTTATTGATTGTAGAGGCACTCCTGTAAAATATTATTAAAGTGGTTTCAGGGTGGGGGGTGGGGGTGGGGGGTGTTCATAGTCAGGGTTGCGAATGGGATAGGGTGGGTGGGGTGATCGCTACCAGGTGGTTTTACCCGGAATTGGCCACAGGGGTAGTAGATCTCTTTGTCAAATGTATAGACAGAAGGGGTGGGTATGGCTGATTGTGAGGGGGTAGTGGGATGATATCATTCTTCCATGTGTGGGGTGGGTACTGTAGGAGGGCCTATTAATGGTTATAAACAGGGAGATGCTGGTGAAGCCGTACGAAACTGACTAGAGCGAGAGCGAGAGCAGGAGCAGGAGCAGGAGCGAGAGCAAGAGCAAGAGCAAGAGCAAGAGCAAGAGCAAGAGCAAGAGCAAAAGCAGGGGCAAGAGCAGGAGCGAGAGCAGGAGCAGGAGCAGGAGCAGGAGCAGGAGCAGGAGCAGGAGCAGGAGCAGCAGGATCGTTGATTCGATCTCCCACAGTCACAAGCTGAAAGTTGCTAAAGTTGACAAGTGAAGTCAGAGAAGGAGCTGGGTTGGCCTATCCTGGCACCATGGCGCGAATCAGTGTGCCTGTGTTGCTGCTTGCTCTTCTTGCCTCAGCCCTCGTTCCGTCAGAGGCAGCATCAGCTATACACCCTCAGAGCAGGAACATTCCAAACGTGCAGGGGGGCTTCGTCGATCAGAACGAGAGGGTGGAGTGGCGGTCGTGGCGGATGCACGTCACGGACGACCGGACAGAAGTGCTGAGGTTGCGGGGGCTGCTCAGTCAGGCAGAGAAGGACCTTGAAAACCTGAACGAGGAGCTTATGGATGCAAGGCAAGCGCAGGACAGGGCGAACCTGGCGCTCCAAGACAAGGACAAGAAGATCGAGCAACTCAGAGACATGCTCCAGACCGAGAGGAATGCCCTGGTGGCGCTGCCTTTCGCTGTGCTCACCTTTGAGCTGACGCTCAGCTGCTTGCAGGCCTTGGCGAAGCTGAAGGATATGAATGAAGACGAGGACAAGGACAGGTGGATCGATGAGCTGCAAAGAGAGGTGGCAAGCCTCAGAAACAAGCTGGTCGAATCGCAAGAGTCCGCCAAGGTGACGAGTCGTTCATTTTCATCGCCCGACTGAGTGTCTGTCAGATCCAAGAGGAGTCAATTGCGAAGAGGAAGCTCGACCTCGAGTCTCAGTTTTCAGATCGTGTGCACGTGATCTCTTGACACGTCAGCCTGTGAGCTTGTAACCTGGTCTTGCCATGTGCAGGAGGAGGCTGAGAAGATGGCCAAGGAGCTGGTGGAAGACCTGAAAGCATCTTTCGAGACCAACCATGTGATCTTGAGCCGTGGAAGGAAGAGTTCCGACTGACTCGCCCTTCAGGTGATCTCCCTCGCTTCTGAGAGGGAAGCCAAAGAGAGACAGCGACTGCGGGCGGAGACGTCGGAGAACAAAGTGATGGCGCTGGAGAATCAGATTGGAGACTTGAGGCAGGTCATTGAGGACATGAACAACACGATTGTTGCACAGGTGGGATGGTTGGGGCAGGGAGGCATGTTCTTAAAGAGGGTGCAGGAGAGAAAGCTGGAGGCTGCTGCGAAGAGGTTGGAAGAGGACGAGGAGTCCGACTGGTTGCGAGATGGGGCTTTTGGAGGAGAGTCTCCTCGTCGCTCCAAGAAGGATCTCGAGCGGGTCATCGAGAACCTGAAACAAAGTCTGGTCAAGGTGTCGCCGTCGTCTACACGCCCGCCTCCTTCCCTCACTGGTCTGCGCGCAGGAGCAGGCGGACTCTATACGCACCACGTCGAAACTGAGGGAGGAGATCGGGAAGGTAGGAGCCGCTGCCCCGAGAGCTTTTCTCACTTTCATCGTCAGCTGCGAGGTCGCTTGTCGGAGATGAAGATCGCAGGAGTCAATAGCGAGGATTCTTCCTTCGCTCATCAGGTGGAAGACGTTGTGTCGATGTCAGTGAGCTGACGAGCTTCTTTCCCCTCCCCTTCACTCCCTCTCTTGTCTCCTCCTCCTCCTTTATCTTCTCCACTCCTCTCTAGAAATCTGAATCGCCATCACGCCAAACGGATCCAGCTGAAGGACCCACGAGCTTCTTCCAAGATTATCCGCTGCAGCGAAATGCTGAGATACCGGGGAGGTTCGAGTGGGGCATGCGAGGGGAAGAGCGAGGCAAGAGGCAGCTGGAGAGCAAGGAAGCGCTCTGTGTCGACCTGGCGCTGAACCCGTCGAAGGCCTCCGACCGACTTGCGGTGAGTGACTCGGATGTGGCGACAGGAGGGGAGAGAGTGAACGTGAGGAGCAGCTGATGAAACAAGAGGAGGAAAGCTACGTCGAGGCGATGCTGGGGGATATGAGACGCCTGCGGGATGAAATCAGCTGCCTGGTGCGTCTCCTCGCTTCCTCCTCTTCTCGCTTCCTTCCATCTTCCCCTCCTCGCTTCCTCCTCTCCTCGCTTCCTTCTACGTGCGTGACGAGCAGGCAGGTTGGAGAGAGCACATGCATGCGCCTCGGACTGCGACAGCTGAGCTCCAACCGCTGCTGTGACTACGGGGGTTGTAAGCCCAGCGGTTTCGGCTACCAGCCCGGCTTCGCTCCGAGCTATCCCACCACCTACCCCCACAGCTACCCTCTTGCTGAGGGCTACGTTGACCTCAGGTCTTGGCTTCTCTGCTGTCCCTGGGGCATCTGACCAGCAGCAGGTCCACCACCATCCCCCTCCGCCAGGAGGCTGCCAGTGCCGACGCCCAGCAGTCTTCTCAGGTGACTCCAACTTGGTCACCCTTGGAGTTTTGAGATGACTTGACACCGACAGGACAAGGAGCCGCAAAGAAGACCTGACAAGGATGTCGAACTGAAGCAGGCGCCCAGCAAGGAGAAGCGAGGGACAAGCTTTCTGTCTTGTTTCGGGCTGTAGTGTGCTTCAAACCATGCATTCCTTGTACAGTGTACAGTAGAGAGATAAGGCAAATTGTCAAGAAACTTTCTAACATGTTAAGGCACTCCTGGCGCTCACAGAGTTGCGTTTTCAGCACATGTCAATTATCCGACGCAGGAGTTGCTGACTTCACTGGTGCGGCAAGAACTTCACGAACCTCTTGGCAATCGAATCCTCGATCTTAGGAAACACCTGCAGCCGCAGACGTCAAACTTCTGGAAAGATGTCAGACTGTATGAGACCGTGATGAGGTCGAGCTCGCTCATCAGCTCGAGGACCTGGATCTGCTCGTTCTGCGAGTTGGACAACGAGCGGGTCAAGGTAACTGAGTCAGGGACGTGGGAGTTCAGGACTTGACCTGGAACTTCTCCTTGAGATCTCGTTGCAAGTTTGTTGACAGCACTCCTTCCTTGCACACGATGAGCACAGGGTCGAGCAGCTCCGTCACCTTCCCAGCGTCACCTCCCGTCAACCCCCGAGCTCTCACCAGGTGGATCTCATTCCTGTAGAGGAACTTGGCGATGATACGCACAAACTCCTCTCGGTCTTCAAGAACCTCGTGAGGAGGAGGCGTCAGCTCAACCTGCTCGACAAGCTCTCCTTGCACTGTGAGGGCCACCGCCGACCGCACGAGCTTCAGGTTCTTGGTTGCCAGGACCTCGCGAGCTGCATCGAGCTGGCCGTTCAAGTCCCTGTCATGTATCTAGTTGTGCGAGTGAGCGGAGAATTGAGAGGAGAGATGAGGAGCGGAGGGAAGAGGGCAGGTGAGAGGAGGGGAGGGGAGGACGGGAACATCTCCAACCTCGCAGATCCCAAGTTTCTCTGACCACTTGCAGATGGCGACGGGGGTGTCACACGGGTAGCACAGGTAGTACTTGTTGCCCTGCCGATTCACCTTCTGATCCATGAAGCACTCGACAAACTTGAGCTCCTGCGCTCCTCCTGTCAAGAACCCGCAAGGTCGGGGCAGAGCTCACCCAAGGATCGACGACAAAGATGTTGTTCCCACCCATGGTGATGCAGCTCTTTGATCAAAGGATGAGAACACTCGCGGGTGGCAGGAGAGGAGGGGGAGAGGTGTGGAGAAGAGGAGAGGAGAGGAGAGGAGAGGAGAGGAGAGGAGAGGAGAGGAGAGGAGAGGAGGGGCGGAAAGAAACTGGTACCTCAATGTCGGTCAGGAGTTGTTGGTATTGCATGCTCCATCGTGTCGTTGTTGCCTTGCCCCTCGTCTTGACCTGCCGACATTCCCTTCGCGTTCCTAGCATGCAGCGGCAGAGCCCTCGGAGAATCATCCCTTGGCCGCACCCAGCCAGCACGCTCGACTCTTGGAAGGCATGTCCAGCCTGAGCGAGGAGGAGGAGGAGGAGGAGGAGGGAGGGGAGGGAGGGAGGATAGGGTCCTCGCTCGCTCTTCGCCCGCATGTGGCCCATTACGCCATGCTTCCTGAAAAAAGGTGTTCAGGATTTTTCGGCCGGGGCTGAGGCGGACGGGGGAGGAACCAAGAGGTCGAGGAGGGCAGGGAAGCAGCGGGAGGGGGAGAGGAGACGGAGGGAGCAGGGCAGAGGCTGTGGATAGAGGAGAAGGAGAGCCGATGGCAAGGTAGAGTAGGAACAGAGGAGTGCGGGTGAGGAGCAGCAGCGGGAAGGGGAGCGGGAGGGCGAGGGGGCGGTAAAGGGGAGCTGGGGGGGAGGTAAGATGGGATCGGCGAGGAAGAAGAAGAACCCGAGGAAGCACTACAAGGTGCTGCACGAGGTCGGCCGGGGGACTTTCGGGGTTGTGTGCAAGGCGATCAAGAAGAAGACCGGGGAGGAGGTGGCGATCAAGAACATCAAGCTCGTCCACAAGATCCATGAGGGGGTCAGCACCTCCGCCATCGATGAGATCCGCATCATGCAGGTGGGAGGCGCGAGGCTGAGAGAGCGGGAGAGCGGGTGAGCGGATGGTGGCAGGAGCTTCACCATCCCAACGTGCTGTCCATCCATGAAGTCTTCTCCCCGCGGTTCCTGCCCCCTTTTGTGCTCCTCCTCCTGTTGAAGTTCCCGCGCCATGCAGGGAAGGGACGCTCTCGCTCGTCCTGGACTTCATCCCCATGGACATGGAGATGATCATCAAGGCCAAGGACATGACGTCGGACAAGTACGTCCCGATGCCTTCCGAAGACATCAAGGCCTACATGCAGGTCAGCCGTTTCCCACTCTCCCTTCCCTCTATCCCCCCTCCTTCCTCTCCTCCCTTCACTGGCTCACCTTCGCGCCCTCCAGATGTTTCTCAGAGGAATCAACGCCTGCCATCAGAACTTCGTCCTTCACAGAGACCTCAAGGTCTGCAACAAGCTCAGTCGTGCTCTCCCCCCCTGACCAGCCTCAGCCTGCCAATCTTCTCCTGAGCGCCAATGGCGTCCTCAAACTTTGCGACTTCGGCCTAGCGAGGACGTACGGGAGCCCTAATGCCAAGTTCTCGCCACAGGTCCCTCCACCTCCTCCTTCTCATCATGATCGTTATCATCATCATCATCATCATCATTATCATCATCATCATCATCATCATCATCATCATCATCATCATCATCATCATTCTTCTCCGCCACCTGACGGTGCAGTTGACAGGCGGTGACTTTATGGTATCGGCCGCTGGAGATGCTGCTGGGTGCCGACAGATACGGACCAGCCGTGGACATGTGGGCACGGGCAAGAGGCGGGAGGGAGGGAGTGACCTGACCCTGTCGCAGGTGGGGGGTGGGTTGCATCTTTGCCGAGATGCTGCTGCGAAACCCGCTGTTTCCCACGGGGAGAGGAGCGACTGACGTGGATCAGGTCGAGCAGGGACGTGGGGTGGGTACTTGCTGAGCTTCAGGCAGGTTTGTCAGATCGTGCGTTGCATGGGGGCGCCAACGGAACGGAACTGGCCGGGTTTCGATCAACTTCCAATCCTCCTCAAGTTCCAGCAGGTCTCCTGCTCCTCCCCAGCCTGTAGCCAGCCCCACTGATATCGCGCAGATTCCCCCGACGCCCCTCGCGCGCGTGATCCTCACTCTCATCATCGCCTCCTGCTCCGCACTGACAAGGGACCAGGTGATCCCAGCGGCACCCAAGGATGCGCTCGACCTGCTGGACAAACTTCTCAGCTACGATCCCAACAAGAGGATCTCAGCGGAGGAGGTGATATTTTTTCCCTCCCTCCTTCATCCCCTTGCTCTTGCCGATTGACTTTCACTTGTGTGTGCTTGACCTCGTCTCCTTCCAGGCCCTCAAGCATGAGTACTTCCGCAACGCTCCGGCCCCTGCCTCCACCGCTCAAATTGCCGATCACATCTCAGTCTTGATCAAAAAGCCCAGCAGCCAAGTCTCCAGCACCCTCCCCAGCTCAGGTGCTCTTGCTCTGCCTGCTCGTCCGCCCTCCTGACCTCGTGTTGCCATCCTTGACATGATCAGAGACGATGCCGGGGGAGAGCCCGTACAAGCCGAGCTCGAAGCGATCGGCCGCTGAGGCAGGTTTGGCGTCTCCGAACTACGGGTGATCCACGAGCTGTAGGAAAGGCAGGAAATTGGTAGGACGGGAATGAAGAAGCTGAAGGCGAGGAAGAGCACGTCTGACACAGGAAGGCTCCCTAAGGACTCAGCGTTGCCCTCTTCTGGTTTATTCTGGTTGGCTGTAGGAAAACAAACGGCTGCTTACTAACAAGGCGCGGGCGGCGGATCGCGAGCTCGAGATTCGCATCACTGCAGAACACCCTTGGTGCTGGGAACGCCAGCGCCTGAGTCTGCACTGATCGCCTGCCCTTCAACGTCACTGGGAGCGGATGGGGCAGCAGCGGAGTCACCTGACGGAGGGCGACGCCGAGGGCCTTGAAGGCGGATTCAGCCTTGTGATGGTCGTTCTTGCCCTTGAGGTTGTCGACATGCAGGGTGATCCTCGCCTCGGTCGCGAACGACTCCATGACGTGGGGGATCATCTCGCACGAGAGCTCTCCGATCTTCTCCCTCACCAGGTTGAGCTCGATGTGCGCCGAGGGCCTCGAGGAGATGTCGACGACGGCGCGCGAGAGAGCCTCGTCGAGGGGGCAGTAGGCGTGCCCGAACCTCTTGATGTCCTTCCTGTCCCCGAGGGCCTTGTCGAAGGCTTCTCCCACTGTCAGCGCACAGTCCTCTGCTGTGTGATGGTCGTCGATGTGGAGGTCGCCCTTGCATCTGCGGGATGACATGTCAGGCACATCAGCACATCAGCACACTAGCATGCTCTACAGGCGTTCTCATCAGAAGAGACGCTTCTGGTGCTACACCTGCTCTTCACGATACCAGTGAAGGCTTGCTACCGCAAACCTACTCCTCAACTCTCGTTTGCTGCCAGTGGTCTGCCTACGTCCTCAGAATTTCCATACACTCGAGAAAGAATGCGGACAAAATCACTTGGGCAGACGGATCAGAACATGACAGCATCATGCTTGAACGCGTGAGACAAGGATCTACGAGCTTCTCGCATGGCGACGCCACCTCGCAGCACAAGCACGCATTGCTTACTTGAGCGTGAGGTCGATCCTGCCGTGCTTGGACATGGCGGTGAACATGTGGTCGAGGAAGCCGATGCCTGTGCTGATGTCGCTCTTGCCGGTGCCATCGAGGTTCAGCTCCACCTCCACGTCCGTCTCCTTCGTCTTCCTGCTCACTCGCGCAGTCCTCGCCATTTCAGCCCCCACTGAAAACAAAAAGGGGGAAGATCTCTGTAAAAGGAATGGGATTTTGTTTTTAAAAAAAAAACATCAAAGGAGATCGGATGGGCGAAGCCGAAGGCGGCACGGCAGCTCTATGGCGACCGGCGGGAGCGAAGAAGAGAGGAGGAGAGCGAAGCAGAGGCAGAGCAGAGAGAAGGGGAAGCAGAGAGGACAGGGAGGGACGGGGAGGGAGGAAAGAGGAGGATGAAAGTTGCGGTGAGATCACTTGAGGTCTGGTTGCTTCAGAGATCAGTCATCGACAGCGCGGCCTGCTGAAGATGGACCCCAAGCTCAAGCAACTCCTGGCGCGACGAAAGCAAGACGCTGACAAGTACGATGACTACCATGACCAGGACCCTCCAACGCCGTCGCAACTTCCAGCCAAGAAGAAAGACAAACTCCTCAAGGCGCTAGATGAAGCTGTTGAGAGCGTCATCGAAGAACAGGAGAAGACGCTAGCTGGTGCTGCGGCGCGTGCTAAGGCTGAGCTGAAACCTGTTCTTGGAGAAAGGAAGGAATCCAAGCACGCGAGTCAAGATGGGAAAAGAGACCTCGACGACGTGGCCATTGACATCCCGAGCGCAGAAGAGGAAGCCAGAACGAGACGAGCGAGAGTTGACAGCGACGAGGCCCACGAAGAGCCTCCACAGAGAAAACACGATGCTCTCGCCTCCATGGCACACGCTCGCCTCAGTCAGGCCGACAAGCTCCGTGACTCTGACCCTCAAGTCAAGCCTCTCGACAGCGTCGCCATCGACGTCCGCAGCGTCTTCGACCACATGGAGGAGGCCAAGAAGAAGCCCAAGAAGCCCGACAAGACCCACGACGCCCTCGCGTCCATGGCAGAGGCTCGCTTGTCTCACTCCAGCAGCAGACTCGACGGCGTCGACACGTCGTCTCTCTTCGATCGCAAGCATGCAGACAAGGCCCAGGATAGAGCAGCAGGGAAGGGGCTGGGCGCCGTGGCCGAAGGAGGAGAGGACGAGGAGGACGAGGAGGGAGGGGCAGGGTCGCGGGTGCCGTCCATGCTGGAGTCCAAGGGCCCGTCTGCACTGCAGCAGTCTCTACAGAAAGCCTCGTCCTCGTCGGACAGCGCGGCGTCAAAGAAGGAGGACTTTGCGAGCAAGCTGAGCAACTTGAAGTCGCTGGTGACGAAAGGAGCGAAGCCGGAGGAGGGCGGCAGAGGAGAGGCGAAGGGGGAGAAGGGGGAGGGAGAGGCCAAGGTGTCAGGAGGAGGAGGAGGAGGAGGAGGAGGAGAGTCAGGAGTCGTGTCGGAGTCCATCTGGAGTTCCATGTGGGCGGGGCAGGTGCAAGCGAAGAGGGACGATGTGCTGGAGTCGTACAAGAAAGGGAGACTGCAGGAGCAAGACTTAAAGCGGTTGAAGGTCGACGAGGACGCGCCTGGCGATGCTCAGAGAGAAGCGAAAGAGGCGCCCTCTCCTCTTCAATCAAGACAACGTGTCACTGTTGATGAGCTTCCATCCGAAGACAGAGCGTTGAACTTCAAGATAGCCAAGCTTGAGAAGAAGATGCAGAAGGCAGAGAAGATGAAGGACGCGAGCAAGGCAAGGATGTACAGCATGGAGATCCAGAGGCTTCGCGAGCAACTTCAAGGGCTGAGCCAGGATGATTCCGACGAGTACTTCTCCCCGCTCTTCGAGGAGAAGGAGAAACCCTCCACAGGCTTCGGCTCCAAGCTCGCGCAGTTCAAAGACATGCTTGCCATGCGGCGCAAGCACGAGGTAGCGAGGAAGGCGCCGAGCGAAGCGAGCTCCAAGACAGAAGTGACGGAGAAGGGAGCGATCGAAGAGGAAGAGATCTGCGGCGTCGGCCTCCGTCTGAACCTCGTTGGGCAGAAGTTTGTGGTGCTGGCGATTCTTGCAGGAACTTCAGCTGAGAAGTCCGGGATGAGGATTGGGGATGTCGTCACGCGGGTGGATGGCACGAGCGTGGCGGGATGGACGATCGAGATGATCTCAAACAAGCTGCGAGGTCCCCTCGGGTCTCAGGTCTCTGTCTCCCTGCTGGACGGCAGAGAGGTGGTGCTCACAAGAACTTCCGTCTCCTCGCTCCTCAAGGACCTCGAGGACGCGCTGCATCCTCAAACCTGGATCAAAGAATCTGATCGCGTCAAGCGCCAGTACGCTCAAATCCAGCAAGACGACCTGCCGGTTGCCATCGAAGAGGCGGAGGAGGGGGAGGAGGACGAGGACGTCGGAGGATATTTGAGACTATCGCGATCGGCCGAGAAGTTCGAGGCTGTCAGAGAGTCTGTGGATGAGAACAGACGCTGGAGCTTTGGGTTCGACTTCGACACTCAAGGACCCGCCGACATCTGGTCAAAGCCGCCCGCAAGGTAAAGGAGAGAGGGGCGAGGAGAGGAGAGGAAGCGGAGAGGAGGTGAGAGGGGAGGAAAGGAGGAGGAAAGGAGAGGAGGATGGTAGAGCTTGTCTGGAGCTAAAAGTTTTGGCTGGCAGACACGTCCAGGAGTCCATGACTTCAGCGATCGCGTCTGCCATGAACGCGATGCGCCAGCATGGAGGAGCCGAGTTCGGGTCGGGCATGTACTCAGTCAAGTCAGGCGGCGACATGAGCAAGGCTTCCATGGGGATCGGGCGGCTGTTGAGCAGGAGCAGGCAGAAGGCAGGGAAACTTCTCGGGCAGCAGCCCAGCAGGGGTGGCATCAATCATGACATCCTCTATGCTGGCGTGCAGCTGAGCGAGATCGAGTCGCTCCCTCGCAAGACCGCCAAGACCATCGCGCTCGAGAGGATCCGCAAGGCCTTGAGGTCGATCGAGCGGCAGAACGAGGCTGCTGCTCGCTCCAGATACGACTGGAGCCTGGAAGAGGAAGAGGAGATCTTGAACCAGACCCTCCCTCCCGCCAACGTCCGGGCGCAGGAAGACAGCGACCGGGAGGACACCTGGTGCCTCCTCCTGTGCTGCAAACTCGTGCGCCGCGACCTGGCGTCGTGCTGGCAGGACATGTTCGACAACCTCCAGTGTCGCTCTCGCCCGACCCTCAAGTGCGTCATGATCGCCACCTGCTCCGCCTACTGCGCCCTCATCGCCGCCGGCGTCCTCGCCCTCCTCTACCTGGTGCCGGTCACCACCCGGCAAGTCTAGCCCTGTAGACCCTAAACAAGACCCCTCTACCCCGCTGTTTTTATAATAGCCCTCCTAGGAGAAACCCACTATCCCTTCACCCTGCCCTATTACGTCACCCTGTCCCTCTCCCCGACAGCCGATGCACGTGTAGAGGAGGGATGGAAGGGAAGGCAGGAGGGAGGGAGATGAAGATGAGGTCCAACTTCGCTCGCGTCGAGGCTCTTCACGCCGCCGCCATGGCCCTCCAGTGCCTCCTGCCGCGGGAAGCCGGAGGGCCTCGAGAGCTCGCGGGTGACCCTGAGGGGCTGCAGCGCTGGCTCTCAGCAGGAAGAGAGGCTAGAAACTCGATCCCCCAGCTCGATTGGAGCGAGAGGAGCAGCGTAGAGGCCTGCGGTAGCCTCGTCTCCTCCGTCCTTCCCTGCTGCGTTCCTGCCATGCAGAGCGGCTGGGGCGGGCGATGGCAGGAAGACCCAGACCTAGGAAAGAGAGGTCTGCTGCTGATGTTACAAGTGCTGGGGAATGCAGCCGCAAGCCATCGGAGCATGAGAGATCAGATCTGGGAGGATGCATGGCCGGCGCCTCTCCTCGACCTGGTGCTTGCGGATACACATTCCAGTTGCAAGTCAGTGGTGGCGATGATTGCATACAACGTGTTGAAGAACAACACCGAGGCCTCGTTGAAGTTTGTGAGCAGCGAAGAGGGGGGGGTGTTCCTCTTCTCCCTCCTCAAGTGCTTCTATCACAAGCAAGAGACTCCCCTCAGCCCGGACGAGCAGAGCGGCCTGACAGACCTGGGAGGATGGTTGGAGGTCATCATGGAAGAGCTGGTGCAGCAGGGGCACCTGACGGCGGTGCATCAGAGGCTGGGGACGCTGCCGAGCTCGGGCGGGGACAACGCTGAGCTTCTGTTCTGGTACCTGATGGACGACATGACGAGCAACTCCTTACAAGGGATCGCGAGCAGCGAAGAGTTCGAGGAGAAGGGCACGTTGAAGCTGCAGCCCCGAGACTACGAGTACCTGGCGGTCGAGCTCGGCCTCATCTTCGAGGTCTGCCTGGATTGTGCTCGCAGGGGAAGCAAGTGTGAGGCCGTGACGGCGATCAAGCTCAGGCAGGTCATGCATGTTGTGGCCTCCTCACTCGGCTTCGCCTCCAGCAGCATCCGCAAGTGCTACCGCGACAAGGGGCTGCTGCGCAGCTGCATCAACCTCCTCAAGTCGCTCTCCCACGCGCAGGCGCTCAAGACGGAGATGGGATTAAAGTGTGACGTCATCCGCATCCTAGCCAACATGTGCTACCGCGATCGAGAGTCTCAGGACATGGTGCGAGAGCTCGGGGGGATCCCGCTGATCCTGCAAGCGTCCAACATGGACGAGAACAACCCTTTCTCGCGGGAGTGGTCGATCTTGGCCGTTAGGAACCTGTGCGAGGGTAACGAGGCGAACCAAGAGATCATCGCCGGGATCAAACCCAAGGAGGTGGCCTCGATACCGCAGGAGCTCAAAGACAAGGGGATGCAGGTGGAGCTGGACAAGTCGACGGGGAAGGTGAAGTTGGTGCGCGATGGGGCGGTGAGAGCGACTTGCTGAGCGCGAGATGTCGAGGAGCCTCTGACTCACTCGCAGGGCCCGACCGGCACTGGGGGTGCGACACCATCGAGACTGCAAGACACGGACAACTCGACGAGGACCATGGTGGAGGAGCTGAAGAACATGGGGCTACGGGCAAACGTGAGAAGCTTGCTGCTTGAGCTGTTGGCAACAAGTAATACTGATCGGCAGATGGATGAAGACACGGGATTGGTAGATATCAGCCACCCTGACGCCAAGCCTTCTACATCAGTTTATCACCCAACTATATGACCAAAAAATGACAACCAAAACTGTAAATTTCAATTCAGAAAGCTCCAGCGGTGATAGCATCTGCTGTTAACTTGCTGGGTAGCACATACTTGGACTGATTCAAGCTTAGCTAACCGACATCTGCCGCGAGGGATCTGATTTAACTCGTTTGCTCTGTAAAAGAATCAACGGAAACCAGCTCATTGGCCAACACCATCAAGAACCTTCTGCATAGTTCTCGAAGACGTAGGTCTCAGCAAGTGTGTCTGAAGCGACAGTGACCAGGGAAGAAGCACTTTGACAGCTCACCTTTAGAGTCTCTGAAGGAAACTTTCTTTTGTAGCTTGTTGCTCTGACGCAAGTATGAGGCTTCTTACTGTCCTAGTGCGCTAAACGTTTTACCTTTCCGGAGGCGGGCTTTCCACTTCCTGATGACCCAGCAACAGTCACGCATGGCAAGACAACTCAGAGGACCCTCACCTTGCTCCTTGTTCTCTTGTTGCTTGGAGTTGTACCTGCAACATTCATCTCAACTGGCGGATCATTCCGGGGAAGCAAACCTCTCCCATCCCCCTGCAGAGAGCAACAGGATGTCGTACTGCCAGGTGCGAGCAGGTAAGAGGGCTGTCGGGTAGAACTCGAGTCTACCTCCCCATTGACGCTCTTGTCGTTTCTTAGGATATCCAGAAAGTGATCCCATTCCTCCTCGTTGCGCACAGGGAAATCGACCCCAGTGCCGTCATCGTAGGCGAACATCGCCTGAGCCCCTAACACTGAGAATACCGAAAATCACTGCACCAGAAGGCAAGGGAAGAGATCGGAGGAAGACACAGGCTACGATGCTGATAGGGAGGAATGAGGAGGAGAAAGTGAGTGAGCAGGGAGTGGAGATGCGGAAGACAAGTGACGAATATGGGAAACAGGTCTTTCAACCTTCACTGATGCATAATTGCATCTCAGTCCACTTGGTCGTTGGCTGGATCTTGATGTCTCGTAGTTCTGCCGGCAAGTGACTGGACGGGAAAACAAGATCAAAGTCTACCTGTGTCGCTCTCGTCGAAACACGTTATCAGAAATGGGCCCTGAACATGTCTGCTCAACTCGTATGAAACATATGTTCGAGGCACCTGAATTTCGTCGGTAGTTTTGACGTCTGGCATCCTGCGTACACGTCGGGTCAGGTCGACGTGATAGTACAAGATACGCTTTTCGAGTAAGGGAGAGAAGAGACAAGGAGCTAGCGAGAGAGGGAGCTTGTGTGCGACGGAGCTAGCCACGAAGTGATGGAGCAATGGAGCGAGCGGGAGGCGAGCGACGCAGAGAGTGAGGGAAGTGGGGGAGAGATGAGAAGGGGAGAGAGGTAGGAGAGGTAGAAGAGATAGAAGAGGTAGGAGAGGTAGGAGAGGTAGAAGAGATAGAAGAGGTAGGAGAGGTAGGAGAGGTAGAAGAGATAGAAGAGGTAGGAGAGATAGGAGAGGTAGGAGACAGAGGAAAGGGTCGACCTGTTGTCGCAGCAAGCCATCGTCATAATCCACCTCTGAGCCGCCTGCATGGCGGGAATGACAGAATATGGAGGGTGGGTAGGAAGTACTAATGATCCCGTTGTTTATGGGGTGGGGGTCATTAATTTGTGGGGTAGGGGGTGGTAGGAGGGGGTGGAAGTTCCCAGACTTTTCAGGGCCTGAGGGGTCACCAAGCACTTTTTTGTTGCTTTGTTGTTTTTTAACTTTTACGTGAATTTTTTTCCGGTTGAAAAGTTTTTTTTCCCGATTTAGAGTTTGACCAGAAATCGCACATCAACGAAATACGAAACAAGAAACTTCGATTTCCAAAACATGCTTCACATCATAGTAAATATTGATACAGAAATTTCAAACCATATTCTACAATTGAGAATGAGGACATAATGACGGAAAACTTTGACACACGTCCCCACTGAAATGTTCTCGGTAAGCGGCTGAATGACTTCCGCGAGGGCTAAGAGATTCTTGTGTCTGTAAGCGATGAAAGAGATGAGAAGACTTGAGATGAGAAGACTTGTAGATAATGTTGTCACGAAGGAGAAGAAACAACATTAATACATGTTGTTGCTCTCAACTTTCAACAAAGTTTGAGTGGCACCTCGACTGTCACAAGTTGTTCGGTCCGCCGACGCCTCGAACGATATGTGAACACTTGCACAATGATGCGGAAAGAAGAGTGCACACATACCCGAGACTGTCGCTTGCAGGCCGCACCTGAGCGTGAACAGATGCGATGTTGTTTAGAGTCGTGTGGTATTTGACCAGTGCATATATCTGGCATCCAGGTTCATCTGATTTACTTGTAGACTGCGAGTAGGAGTGACTTGATTGTGCTTGTTTGTCTCCGCTTGTGCCAACTAGACTAATTTGTTTGTTCGATAGCTTCTTGCAGACGCAGTCAAGTACAACGACATTCCTCCCACCGTCAGCACCAACTGGGTCGGACCTGTTGAGTACCCTTCCTACATCGAGGCTGAGAAGGAGGCCTATCTCCGCGATTCTGAGTGGACACAGGACACTGCGGGCAAGTAAAGTTTGTCTTGATGTGAACATGGAATAGACAAGTCTCCTCGGAATCGTGTGATGCACTTCCTAGTATCACTTTCAAATTTACCCCTTATTCAAAATCGTTACAAACATCAGTATTATATCAAGCGGGAACTGCCATGACGAAATCGACCGTTTGAGTCAGGGCACAGTATCCATTCATGGGCTGTTTTCCGCAAAGTGTTTGAGTCCGTCCTCCCATATATCGACAGTGATTCCATACCTTTGAAAAGGAGTCAGCTGTCTCGCTAAGTGAAAAAGGTTCTTTGCACTCACGGTACGCGGACGCTAGTGATTCCCATGCTCGTCAAGTCCCGACACACTCTTGATTCCTTGCCGAAAAAGAGCATCTGATTGTATTCAACCTGCCGGACGTCAGGAGACAGCCCAGCAGTTGCAAGCAGACCTTGGTGCGACGTTTCAAATTCTGTATAGATGAAACTGCCATCACCGCCCGCAGAGTCTCGGACAACTAGAACAAGAATCAAACTAACCATAACGAGCTTAAGCTGACCTGTCTTGTCTTCTCCAGTCCTGACTGCACGACAACGAAATCTACGATGTCTCTCATTGAAGTTCCTCTGGTGATCTTGGGACAAAGTCAGCCGTTTTGAGTAGTGCACGATTTTGAAAGGCATGCCTGAATGCTTTCCAAGAACTCTTCAGTCCAGCCGGGTTTTGTAATCCGAGAGAGGATTGCCACCTGAGATTGAAATCACAGACATCAAGAGATATGAAGAAACACACGCACATGTAAATTTGATCTATCCAGAGCGGATAAAGTCTTAAAAACCTACGTGCAGTCAAATGAATGACATGGAAAGCAAAACAAAAACGCACTTCTAGTGCGCCCTTCTGAATGACGATTTCCTTGTCGTTTGTATCCCTGATGCGAGCAGGACTACAAGGCCTGAAAGGCGGTCCAGATGTATCTTCAAACGACTCGCAAATAGCTCCATCAAGCTCAAATAGCACAATCCGCGGCTCGTGGTTAAGAGGACCACCTGACAAGACGTTCACGGTGCTCACGACAAACTGTATGTTAGAACTTACCAGGAACTGTCCGATCGAGGAAACGACTGCTCAAATCGGTTTTGCTCCTCGGACGGATTCCAATCCTGAAGGTATTCGAGACTGCACAAGGTTGACTTACACGATACTTAAAGTTGTAGGTCTCACCGTCACTGCTCGAGACGTTAGTGGTCAAATGAGGCATGTCTGGTGGTTTCTCAAGGTCGATTGCATCTTGCGGCACTTCGTGCGAAAAGTCTTCCTTTTGCGCCAGATAGTATGATTGGAGCGACGATACCTCCTCTTCAGACAGAAGACCACTTTCTGCGCATTGATTCTGCTTTGACTTCAAACTTTGAAGATATTCGTGTGCCTTCTGGGCTGCAAAGGCAGCCTCTTCAGCTTCTATAGAGCATCGCAAGTCAGACTTTCCATCAACCATCGCTGATCTGTTCGTTCACCTTTCGCCTTCAGCCGTGCTAAACGGTTTGCATCGGCAAACAGCTTCTCAGCGCGGGCAATTTTGGCCTCCAAGAGGCGTCGCTGCCCACAAGAAAACTTCAACAAGTGAAGAAGAGGCCAAGGGAGACAATGTTTCAGGCGAGCTCGCACCTCAGTATCCCCGTCGGCAGGGTCTGTCCTTGCCCGAACTGCAGCCTGTGCAGAGCAGAATCAAAACCACAGGTTTGCCTCGAGTTTAGCACCTGATGCGCCCAATGCTCACGCTCGACGATCACACGATAGAGACCTGCTTGCACGCTAAAACCACCATGCCTTGTTTATCACGTTTACCATGCTCCGTGGTACTGTCATCCATTTGCTCTCCATAGTCTTTAATGTCCTCGTTGTTTGCATATTCCTGTGTGGGTTGCACTTAGATTCGATCTTGCTTGTACGGTGATCACCTCTTCGAATTTCCTTGATGAAATGCCATCGTGCTGCTCAGATGAACGTAGTTCAGTCTTCTTGTGATCTAGCCTACTTTGTAAACATCTCGATTCAACAATCAGTGGATTCGACCTTGTAATAGCTTCTTGAAGTGAGGAGAAATACGGCTGAAAGAGTCTGATGAAGGTAGTCAGAAGACGGCTTGTCGACAGCAAGTCTTCACCGGTCCTCTTTCGATCCCAGCGCGCGTCTGATCCATGGGAATGCATTCGTGGGTTACAGGTGTTGCTACCGTGAGCACGTACAGCGTTCCACCGACTTGGGTTACGGGAGGGATGAATCCACCCAAGACATTCAGCATGCGCTTCCATCTCCCTGCTCACCAAGAAGATTCCAAAGTACAAGCACGCCAGTCGAGTCATACGCATCTCAACCAATGGTTTGCTAGACGAATCCTGGAGCGAAGTTGGATGTAATCTATCTATGCTGGTCGCCTCCTGTCATTCGCCACTAGCGGTCTCAGCTCAGCGTCTAGTGCAGTGGAGGAGAGGACGCAGCAAACTCGCCGCATCTCCCGCCTCTGTTCTCTCCCTCCCCCTCCATGAAATTACAAGCGCGGGAAAAACATTGAACACTCTACCTCGCCCCCATCCCCGCCCAACCCCGCTGACCGCCCGGGATGCTCAGCCGCCGGCCCAGCTGCCGGGCTGGCTGCCCTGGCATGCCGCTGGCTGCCGGGATGGCACCACTGAGGGATGGCCGGGCACGGGGGCAGCGGGGGGCGGGATAGCCACTGCTGGGCCACTGCCGCAGGCCGACCCTGAGTCTCGTCGGAGGCACTCACCAGGACCACGACTCGCCGGTGTGACTCCCAGCAGGCCTGACACTGAACTGATCGGAATGGGTGCGGGCAGCGACTTGTGGTGATATGTTACAGCAGATGCCATTTCCCGCATACTCCTGCCATGACCTCCAATTGATGGAGCTCGCCGATCGCATCTCCGAACGCTATGACGCCGCCTGCACGGCATCGTCGTTGTCACAGTCGGAGTTCAGCTGGTACACTTTGACTCACCCTTGATGCTCGCCAAATCCATGCACGTCACCGCAGAGTGATGGGCCCACCTCCCCACCTGCTCGGGCCCGCCTCAACCTCCAGCTACCGCCAACAAGATCACTCAACCTCGCTGAAGTCGAAGCTGTCAAGGACGCAGACGGAGCCGTCGAGCCCGCACGTGAGGATGTGGGTCCCGCGAGGGGAGTAGGAGCATGCGGTGACGTCCGACGCGTGCTGGCGGCTGATCCTGATGGACCTGATGCCCCGACCGGTCAGCTGGACTCATCCTAGTGACACTTCCGCCTTCACCTCCCTCCCGCCTCCCACACCCGGAACGTGCCATCAGTCGAGCCAGCGAGGACCTCGTTCCCTGTAGAGACCATGAGACACTGGAGCATGCTGCTGCTGCTGCTGCTGCTTACCTGTCGGTGAGAACTTACAACTTCGGAACTCATGGTTGGACCCTGTGAATCGCCGCGCAGGTGCTGATTGCCTCACGTCCCACATCCACACCAAGTTGTCGCCCCCGGACGATATGAGATACCTCCCGTTGGGACTGAAGTCCAGCGCGAGGGTGGAGGACGAGGCGACGCCCGATGATGAGAAGGCGGTTCGATTGAGACGCCCCGCCTCACTCCCCACGTTCGCGTCCCACACGCGGACCTGCAACCATGTCAGCACGAGAAGCAGAGCAAGCGAAGGATGGGAGGGATGGGAGGGATGGGAGGGATGGGAGGGATGGGAGGGATGGGAGGGATGGGAGGGATGGGAGGGATGGGAGGGATGGGAGGGATGGGAGGGATGGGAGGGATGGGAGGGATGGGAGGGATGAGAGGGATGGGAGGGATGGGAGGGATGAGAGGGATGGGAGGGATGAGAGGCGGGTTCTCGTACCGTCCCATCGAGCGATGACGAGACGAGCTGAGGCTGCAGAGGCGAAACAGCGCACGACAGGACCATGGCCTTGTGACCGGTCAGCTTCATCACGAGCTCTGGCGCGCTTGCTCCTGTCCGGAAGAGGGAGCTGAAATCCCACAAAGAAAGTGCCCCGTCCCCAGCTCCGCTCACCAGGTGGAGCCCCTGCTGCAGGAATCGAGCCACCCCGATCCCTTCACCGCTCGCGGTCCCGAAGAAGGGGACGGCGAGGGAGGAGCTTCCTCGCAAGCCTGTTAGAATCAACTTGCCGTCGGACCCCCCGGAGATCATGTACCCTCCCCCGTGCGAGATGTGAAGGGAGGTCACTTGCCCGCGGTGCCGCAGGTTCTTGTCCTCCTTGTCGCCATTCCACGCCATGCAGCTTGCGATTAACCGAGAGATCTCCAGCAGCGCTCCTCCCCTCCCGCCTCCCTCAAGGGGCCCTTGTCCTCCCGCGACTTGAATCGCATCTGGCAGAATTCCTCGGAGGTCCCAGATGATGAAGAGTCCATCCGAGCCTCCGGAAAGAAGCGTCTCCTCGCTCTCACTCAGCGCCAGACAGTACACGGCTCCCGGGTGCTGCAGGAGGGTGTAGTGCACTTGAAACTGATCTGCTGACCAGACAACAACCGAGGCGTCGAAGCTCGACGACACGATGTACAGCCCTGAGGAGGAGAAGAGGCAGGACAGGACTGGGGCTGTGTGTTTCTGCAGAGAGCCGAGCACCCTCCTCTCCTGCACCTTCCAGACGAGAAGAGAACAATCGTCCGAAGCTGACACAATGCGGTCGCTCAAAGGAGACCAGGCGAGGCAGTTGACGGAACCTCGATGACCTTGGAGGGCGAAGCTTCGAGGAATCTGCAGAAGAGAGTCCAGTGAGGCAACGGGTGAAGAGGCGGATGGAAGGGAGGAGAGAGGAGGGGAGATAAAGGAGGGACAGAGGAAGAACCTTGCTGCTGGAAACAGAACTTCTCTGTTGGTCGAGGTCGTCAGGCATGCTCCATACGATGACTCGTCTGTCGGCTCCGCAGCTCGCAACGAACTTGTTGGCTCGATCCCACCGGCAGCAACGCGACGAGTTGCCGTTACCATGCCCCTCGACGAGGGTGAAGCGCTCCAGGTTGGTCGCGAGCTCGAAGACATGCCCGTCCCCGTCAGCACAACCTGCTCCTGTTCGTCACTCCCAGCTCGTAAGTGCTCTGCCATACCTGCCAACACCAACTTCCCGTCCTTGGAGAAGTCGAGCGACGTCACTGCAAACCCCCAGGCATGAGACGAGTCCTCCTCTAGCGCCGGGTTGTTTCGCTTCTGCCAGGCCCTCAGCGTCTGCTGCCTCTTGTGAAACTCCTCGGCCACTTGATCGTGCGGGGCTTTGACTGTGCAGGAGGAGATCTCGTCTCCGCTGCTCGCCTCGTACACATGCAGCCCGCCCTGCCTTGACGCCAACGCGAGACGCGACGAGTCGGAGGAGAGAGCAGCAGCGAGGCAGCCGAAGGTGTGACCTCCCCCGTCCTCGCTCGTCAAGGTCCTCTCGAGGGTACCAAGAATGTTCCATACCTAGAAACGTCAAGCTCAAGCTCAAGCTCGCGCTCCCTCCCTCCTCACCTTGAACTTGCCGTCGTCTGCTCCGGAGATGATGATGGTGCCGCAGGATGAGATCACAAGATTCCTCACGTTCCCCTTGTGCGAGTAGACGCGACGGCAGGGGATCTCCCCCCCCCGCCCCCTCCCCTCCCCTCGTTCTCTCATCCAGTTCTGCCCCTCCCAGCCTTGCGATACTCTGCAACACCTTCAGTTCCCCGAAGCTGTCTTAACTAACAACCTTTGAAGCGCATGCTGCCCCAGCTGACCTCCAGCGTTGCAGGCAGACTGGAAGAGAAGCGACGGGTGAGAGGTCAGAGTCTCGCTCTGCCTGCTCAAGAGCAGAAACGTCTGGACGAGAAGCTCCCTTTCCCTGCTGGCGAGAGACCGCGAGGCCTGACGGGACGCGACGGCGAGGAGGAGGAGTCGCTTCATGTCGCGAAGAAGGTCTTGAGCTTGGTTCAGGTACAGCCGCTGCTGCAGGTAGCCGAGGTCCACGAGCAAGGAGCTGCAGACCTCGTTGAAACCAGCGGCCAAGAGATGGTGGGGGAGGTACAGGAAGGCTCTTTCCTGCCTCCAACCCCTCCACGTGCACATCCCCTCCGGGTCCGCCAGGTCTCGGTAGAGTTGCCCGATGCGATGGTGGAAGGAGAGGGCAATGCCGGAAGGGAAGAAGCGTGAGAGGCAGACGTCGATCACCTGCCGCGAGGAGATTCTCAACAGAGGAACGTGAAGCTTGCGCGACCCTCCCGGCAGCAGCAGGGGCTCTAGATAGTCGCGCAGTGCCATCCACTTGCCCCAGATCATAAGGGAGGAGGAGGGAGAAGACTGAGAGGAGGAGGAGGAGGAGGGGGAAGGCGACGAGGCAGCAGCTGCCAGCTGCCAGCTGCTTTCATTGGCAAACGGCGTGTCGCTCAAGAGCTGCCGCAGCTCCATCACCTGCTGGGGTTCAGCTCATAGGTAGCAGACGCATGTCAACTCACCGTCAAGTTGCCATTGCGAGCGGAGAGGACAAACCCAACAGCCTCCTTGACGACCTGCACACCACAGCGCGAGCAAGCTCGGTTGAGCATGAGATGAGCGAGCTGGTCGATGCTGGGAGGGAGCGCGGCGATGACAGCGCCGGCACGAAACTTCTCTTCCTTGGCCAGCATGTCAAGCAAGTAGGAGGAGCAGAGACGAAGGTAGTCGGGCGAGACGGAGGCGTGCTTAGAAGCGAGGGACGAGGCCTCGTCCATGTCCAGCGAGAGGCGGCGGGAGAAGAGCCCCCTCAAGATCGTCTTCCTCTCGATCATCGTCAGGGGAGGCACCAGGAGGGCATCTGAGTCGGACACGAAGCCCTGGCTGAGGAGGAGGTTGTAAGCCTCGCTGCCTGAGCAGCAGGCGACTACGACTTTCATCTTAGGAGGGAGAACACGAGGGAGCCAATCGAGATCGGCTTCCCCGAGGATCAGATCCATCCCATCGACAACAAGAATCAAGTCCCTCCTCTCTTGCCATTGAATGTACCTCCTCCACTTCTCCAGCTGCTTGTTGCGACTGCTGTTCCATTGCTCCAGCTCGCTCCGCTCTGAGCTCGCGATTCTGCGCGAGAAGACAGTGGAGGGAGGAGAGACCTGCTTGCCCGTCTCTGCCGTCAGTCGGTTCACCAGCCAGAAAGGAAACTTAGCGACGGACTCGGAGAGCATAGCGGAGGGATAGATCGCGACAACATCCACCCCCAGCATGTCCGCGCCCTCCTGCTTCAGCTCGCGAGTTCGTTCTTTCAGACGTGATTCGAGGGCGCAGAGGATGGAAGACTTGCCGCATCCCTTGTCGCCATGCAGCAGAAACGAAGTTCGCGCCTTCTCTGCAAGGCAGTAGCTCTCTAGCCTGCTCAGCACCTCCGTCCGACCCACGAGGGAGGCCTTGAGCGAGTCACTGAAGCCCAGCAGCATGTCAGCAGCGACGGCTACGGGATGAGCAGCATCGCTGTCGGCCTCCCCCTCGCTGTCCAGCAGCTTCAGCATCTCGATGTTTGTCAGCAGGTCGAGCGTGACTCTGCTCGAGAACTTCTCCAGCCCTGAGAGGAGGATGCGCTTGCTCGAGTCAACGCCCTGGAAGGTGGCAGGGTAGTGCATGAAGACGGAAGAGGCGCTCCTCGCTATCTCTTCCTTGAGGCTCCGAAGTTTCGCTGCCTCCTCCCGATCCTCTGTGTTATGTCGCTGCCACAGCGAGAGCTTGGGCTTGAGAGCAGGAGACGGCTTCACGCGCTCCTCTCCTCTCCTGCTCCTGGAGATGGGAGCGGAGGAGGACAAGAGCTTCATGCGGACCAGCAGGTTGGCCGGCGGGTTGTCAGGAAAGTCCAGGTTGACGTTCTTCCACCTCCCGGGGATCAGCGAGTCCACCCGCACCTCCGCCCTCCCCAGCTGGATGGCGACGAGCTGGGGGTCGACGGGGTCATCCTCCACCAGCCGATCCTCGAGGAAGGAGCTGAGAACGAGCGGGGCGGGCGGCTCGAGCAGAGCCTTCCTCTCGCGGAGGAAGAGTGCGACGGAGACGCTGCTGCTACTCGAGGGCGAGCCCTCCAGCTGAAACTCCTCCTCGAACTTCCAGAGGCCTCCCACGAAACCTCTCTCCAGCTCCCCCTGGTTGGCAACCACAGTAGACGAGTGCGAGCTGGAGTCCAGTTCGAACCTGACAAAAATGTCGAGGTTCGAAGTCCACTCTCCTGCCTCAACTCTGCCTCCAGCTATCTCTCTCCCTTCCTCCTCCTCCTCCTCCTCCTTGTTCCCTTCCGCCTCCTCCTCCTCGGGCTGCTCCAGCTTCGGCCACTGCCTTCCATTTCTCTCGAGAAACTCTTTGGTTGTGCTCACTTGCTGCGAGTCGATAAGTAGCATGTCCAACAGGTCGAGCACAACTGCTGCCGCTTCCTCCTCGACCCTGTGCGACCTCATCGACCGAACCAGGTTGGCGAACTCTTCACTTGACATGGCAGAGCCGGCGCTGAAGGGAAGGAGACTGAGAGGAGGAGGAGAAGGAGGAGGAGGAGGAGGAGGCTGAGCTGACGGCTGCGCCTTCTCCTCCAGCAGAGCATGAGCAAGAGGGTCATGCAGAGGCTCACGAGTGATCTCAACTCCCGTCTCTTCCTCCGTGTTGGAGACCTCTTCAGCTCCGAATTTCGATCCTGAGATGTGTTCTCCCTCATCCTCATCCTCATCCTCATCCTCATCGTCATCGTCATCGTCATCGTCATCATCCTCATCGTCGTCGTCGTCGTCTTCTTCTTCCTTGTCCTCTGCCTTTGTTTTCTGGCTATCCACAGATTTTCGTTTGCCTTTCATCTTCCTCCTCAGCGACGCCTGCGCATTCTCTTGTTTCTTTCTGGGCGAGTCTCGCGGGCCTTCGAACAACTTCATCCCGAGTTTTTTCAGGAAGCGAGAGGTGGGAAACAACCCCTTCTTCTTCTTCTTCTTCTTCTTCTCACCTTCACCATCCATTCGCTTTGACTTGCTTACGGGAGCAGGTGCAGACGATTTCTCCCCTTCTTTCTCCTCCTCCTCCTCTTCCTCCTCCTCTTGCTCCTCCTCGGTAGACTCCGACACCTCAGACGCCTCCTCCTCCCCTAGGATGATGTTGACCAGGTCGCTTCCCTCTACCAGCTGCACCATCACTGCCTCGCCCTTTGACGTTGGAACCTCCCCGCTAGTCAAACTTCCCACTTTAGCCGCAGCCTCCAGCTCAAGGAGTCGCTTCTCAAAATCCCTGCGCTCCTCCTCCTTCACCTCCTTGTCGTCCTCCCGGCACAGGCGGACGAACTCAGAGGAGGAGCGCAACACCGCGGGGTCCCGCACGTAGAAGCTCGCGTGCCGCCAGCCTCTCCCTCCCTCCCAGTGGAATGCGAAGAGGATCTCCAGGTGCGCGATCGACAAGTTTGCGGGGACCTCCCGCAGCCATTCCAGCTGGGGGGTCAGCAGGGATTCGTGCAGGCGGTAAGGAGAGGAGGGAACCCAGCCGTAGCGCTCGCCGAGGAGGCCGATGAAGAGAGGCATGCAGCGAGCGATCTCGGCAAAGAGCTCGCGGAGGAGGGTGAAAGGAAATGGGCCAGGCGTCATGCCGACGCGACAGTCAACGGGGACAAGCGAGACTCTGCGAGGAAGGAGCAGCTGCTGGAGGAAAGGGAAGGTCTGCTGGGCAAGCAGGTCGAGCTCAGGGAGCATGTCATGCGCGTCGGCAGAGATGTAGACATGGAGAGACCTGAACGTCTCCTCAAGCTGAACCCCCTGACGACACTCAAGCGGAAACAAGTCAGCTTGAAGATGATTCCGAAAGATGCCGACGGAAAGACCTCTCCCCATCCTCGTTCTCCTCCTTCCCTTCCTCGCCGCCTGTTTCGTCTTGCTCGCCTTGCCTTTTTCCCTCTCCCCCTGCTCCTCCTCCATCACCTGCTCCTCTTCCTCCTCCTCCTGCAAGAACGTCTTCTGAAAGAAATCGGCGATTTCGATGTGCTTCAGTCGTTCGCTCTGCGACTGGTTCTTGAGCTTCCAGGCGAACTCATGGTCCCATCGCTTCCTCATCAGCATCTCGTTCTGGTGCTCGTGGCTCGACAGTTTGCTCTCCGACATCAACTTCATCTCCTCCGGCTTGTGCAGCATGAAGCAACTCGCCTCTGCCTTCTTCACTGTCTGGAACGAGGGCTCGTGAAACAAGAGGCCACATACCGCACACCGCACAGGCGGCTCGACCACGAGGAATCTTCTGCCGCATTCCGCGCAGCACCCGCGGTAGTTGAGCTCCTTCTTCCTCCTCGACTCCCTCGCGATGACAAACTCTCGCTGCTTCCTCCTCTCGTCGTACTTCTCTCTCCGCGCCATCTCCTCCTCCTTCAGCCTGTCGAGGGTCGACTTGGACCCCGTAGCCTCTCGTTGCAACTCCTGGGAGGAGTCAGTGATGAAGCACTTCAGCTCCACGCCGGACGAGTCGAGCGACAACTTTCGAACTTCCCGCCACCCGCGTCTTCCCTCCTCCTCGGTGTCTCCTCCCGTCAAGACCTCGTGTGCTCGCACCACGAGAGTTTTTGCCTCCTCCGGGGTCAGCAGAGGGTCGACCAATCGCTTCCCCTCCATGTAAGTGGCGCTGCGTCTCTTGTCAGCCTCTGCTGCGGCCGCTGCCTTCTTGTCATGGAAGCAGACCTCTACCAGCAGCTCTCCTCGCTTGCTTGGCACCTCCTGCTCGCGATCGAAGCTGTCGAGAAGAGGAAGAAGGAACTTTGACCGCTGCTGAAGGTTCACGTCGCCGAGGTAGAGCGAGCAGCACCCGACAAAGACATCCGAGTAGCCTGACGAGCAGGAGAAGAGCTCCAAGTCGACAGGGCCAGGAGGAGGGAAGTTGCATCGGAAGAGGAGCAGGCAGTCGAAGGTCGCGTCTGAGGAGGCTGTGACCACGTTGGTCTTGTGAGTGGTGGGCCCTAAGGTGGCAGTCACGAACAAGCTGAGAGAGCGGGAAGGAAGCAGCTCTTGTCTCGTCATCTTGGCCTGCACAATCTTGAGCTCCAGAGTGCCGCTCGGGCTCTCGTTCATGGACTTAGAGAAGATGCCGTAGGAGAGGAGAACCTCTCCCTTCCACTCGGGATGTTGCGGATGAACAAGCTGGTGCCAGCTCCTCGAGTAAGCCTCCACCCTCACCTGCGCCAGGTCAACCACAAACCCTCCCATGCCGTCGTCCCTCCAGCTCATGTCGTGATCATAGCACTCGACCACAACCTGCGAGTCAACGTCGTTGGCGGCAGCAGCGAAGACGAGCGTCTGGTTCCACCGCGGCTGCAGGCACTGGTACACCACGCAAGTCTTCTTAGCCACGTCCCCGTACTTGACAAGCAGGTAAGGGTCGCTGGTGCCGTTCCTGTCCAGGGCCGGCAGCCCTCGAGCTTCGATGGCGCGAATCTGCAGGACAAGGTCACCGTCAGACAGACGTAAAGCCGAGCGTAACCTCAAGGTAGCTGTCTCCCACTCCCGTTTCCTTCTTCCTCTTCAAGAGCAGCGACACTCGAACGTGTATACTTGTCTTGTTCCTCTCAGTCTTGTTTTCAAGCTCCACTTCGACAGCTTGCTGCGAGCCGACCTCCAAGTTTTGCATTGAGTAGGAAGCGCTTGCAATCAGCGTTTCCTGCGCTAGTCTCAAAGGACGATCTCACATCAACGTGAGCACCTGACAGCTGTCGTCCACGTGTCGGAGGGAGAACATAAGAGTCGTGTCTTTGCTCCACGACATCACGTCGAACTCCAACGTCTGATTCCACACGGGCTGATCGGTCTGGATCTTGAGACGAGTCTTCTTCTCCTTGTCTCCCAACGCGACCGCCAAGAGAAGGTCTGGCTTTCTTCCCTCGTACGTCCTGAAGGTGACCCCAGCTGCATCCGAGCAGGTCACCAGGAGTTTCTGATCAGCAGAAGAAGACTGAGACTTTGGGATCAACGTCATGCGCAACGTCAACCCTGGATGCCCCTCCTCCCTGGGCTCGTCTTCCTCCTCCTGTTTGGCGTTGGGAGGGAAGATCCTGTAGGTGTGTCTCGGAAGCTCCGAGGCATAACTAAGGTTCTTCAGGTGAATGTCCCTTGACCCCAAGATCGTTCGGTTCTCGTCGTCATTCAAACAGAGCACATGCAGACAGTTGTCAAGCAGGTCATTGCTGTCGATCTCGAGCTCCAAGCTCTGTTGCCATATCGGGAATTGAGTTTTCTGACATGTAGAGTATGTCAAACTCTTTCCCATGAACTCAACCTGTCAAATGCTCTCAAACCCTCCCAGCACCTCAGCAGAGTCACCTGCACCAACGGGTCGCACAGGCCGTTGACAGTGACTGAGGGCAAGAATTCTCCTGATTCCAGCAAGATCCTCAAGATAGAATCGCAAGCATCGTCTTTGTTCGTTCGCCAAAGCAGGCCTATCCGGATCACTCCGCCACCATCAAGCTTGAGCTCACGCATGCACTCATCCAAGTCTAGGTTGAGCTTGTCGCTCTCGCCTCGCTTGCTCTCTTCGTAAGCATCAGGATCCCAGCACTCCCCGTGCAGATCGACGGCAGCCTTGCCTAAGAAGACATGCTCTCTATCTTCATTCCAATCAAAGCACTCCAAGATTAAAGTGGTTCCTGCCACGAAGGAATAGATTCCTTGGCGCTTTCCTCTCCTCGTCATTTGTCCACTTGCTAGTTCTGCTCGCACAGGTAGAAACAGCGACTCGTCCCATCGGGGAGTCAATGTTTTCTTGCGAACTGACGACTTCCTGATCTCCGCTTGCCCGTCAAGACGCACTAGGACGTATGGATCTGACAGCCCGTTGTCGTCTGCAGACGGAAGGGAGCTTCCTTCATAAACTTTGACCTCTAGCCAGCTACCCACATGATCAAGCTTGATCGCACTGCTCTTCAGTCCCAGAGCTCGCAGTATCCCTCTCCTCGGGAGGTAGTTCGGTACTCTTTCTTTCCGGCCAGAGACAGAGATGGCGCCGCCCATATCGATATTATGCTTCTCCTCTCCCTTCTCTCCTTCCTCTCCCTTCTCTGCCTCCTCTGCCTCCTCTCCCTCCTCTCCCTCTCTTCACTAGCTCACCCGCATTGTTCTGGGCCTGATCGCCTTCATGGGACTGATGTTGTTTCCATTCTTTATTTGACTGAAAAAGAAGGACAAACCGAAGCAAACAAAGGAGGGGGAGGATAGAGCCAACAAATTTTCCAGTGATTGTCGTTTGACCTTTTTTTTTGGGGTTCAGAGCATGGCGGAGAGCGCAAGCGAAGGTTACACCCCTGACTTGACGCCCCCCAGCTCGAGTCGCAGCAGAGGTAGAGCAGGAGGCAGAGGGTGTCAAGGTGCCTCTGAGGTGATGTCTGTGCTCCAGCGGCAGCAGAGAGCGTGAGGAACGAAGGCTTCCTCGAGATCCGCGTCAGCAATGGAGAATGGCTGCCGTGCTACGTGGTGCTGGACGATCAGCTGAGGTTGCTGCGACCTGGGACGAGCGACCAACTGACGAGCAGCAGGGCGTACAACGACGACAGAGACTTCAGGGAGGGCAGGCAGGAGCTGCTGGTTGTCGACCCTGAGAGAGCCCGAGTGGAAGCGCGTTCGGAGGACGACGATGAGCACATCTTGCATGTGGAGTCGAAGGGTGTGCAGAAAGACGCTCTCTTGCCTTCCTTTGACTTGCTTCTTCTGCTCAGACGAGTCGCTGGACATCTTGTTTCACGACAGGATGACCATGGTACGCGGGCGGCGCAGCGGCAGGAGGTGATGGATGGGATGGCAGATGCTGTGGAAGGCAGCCATGTCAGGCTCGGAGTCGGAGACGCAGACGTTCCAGAGCAACGGGAAGATCCAAGGCCATCTGATGATCAAGTCCCAGAAGTTCTTCAAGACAAGATGGGACAAGTGACACACTCTTGTCCCTTCTGCTCGCCTCGCTGACTGTCACTCGAGGGTATTCTGCACAGTTGACCAGGTGAACTTCATGTGCTATCATAGCCTCAAGGATTTTCAAGCATCTGCAAGTCCACTAGAGACTATCAGTACGTCATGCGTCTTAGCGAAGAATCTGTGGTTTCAACCCTCTGCCAGGAGTTGGGAATAGCAACGTTCAGTACAACGAGGAACACAACTCGTTTCTCGTATGTTTGCCATGTTGAGGCCTCGATCTGAGTTTCTCTGAAGCTTTACAACCCAACGAACAAGAAGACTCTAGAGTTCATGTGCGACACGATGGATGATGTCAGCCTCTCCAAGCAAGTGCACGTGCGCTGACCCTAATCAGTTTGTGATATGGCGGAAAGGCTTGCAGTCTGCTGATCCCAAGCAGGTTCTTGCTGTTGCCTCCCTGCAGTCAGAGGATTGACGCGTTTGACAGCAGAAGAATGTCGCTTGACAAGCTGTCGACTTAAGAGGTTCAGAAAGACTGAAATTTGGCCAGGTCGAGTCTGACCCGAGGCTACCGGCTGACGAGGAGAAGAACACGGTTATCGGTTGATGCAGCGACGACAAGAATTTGACTCATCTAGTCAGATTGTTCTCGAGGGATTTCTCGACTTGTGGTCCAAATATGCGGCGAGATGGTCGCGCGGTGAGTTTCAAGCTACTTCTGACGTGTGAGGCAGGGAGGAGAAGTACATCGTTCTGACCAAGCGAGAGCTGCTGGTCTTCAGCGCCGATGAAGAGACTTTCTCCGACGACAAGGCTGAGGCGCGGATTCTGCTACGGGTGAGCCAATGAGATAGAGCTCGGGGGATGGAATAGGAAAATGGTACAGGGAGGGGGAAGGGGGAAAGGGGGAAGACGAGGAGTCTGATTGACCACAGCGAGCAACGGCATCAGATGCATCAGATGCATCAGATGCGCAAGAAGAAGATCGGTATGTCCTTCGAGTGTTCGATGGCAAGAGGAGGAAGGAGTACCTGCTTGCCGCCTCCTCCGAGCAGAACATGATCGACTGGCTGGACGCGATCTTGGAATCCATAGAGCCGCCAACCCCCGTGGTGTACAAGCCAGTGGTGAGAGCGAGTGAGAGAGGGCGAGAGAGGCTGAGGCTGGTTGAAAGCCTCACGACGAAGATACCATGCATCGAAGAAGTAAGTTCGCTCTCGAGACCATCAGCTCGGAGAATGCGAACGAGGCTGACGAGTATAGTCACGACAAGAGGTAGCAGAGAGGAGAGGAGAGGAGAGGAGAGGAGAGGAGAGGAGAGGAGAGGAGAGGAGAGGAGAGGAGAGGAGAGGAGAGGAGAGGAGCAGATGAGGAGAGGAGAGGAGAGGAGAGGAGAGGAGAGGAGAGGAGAGGAGAGGAGCAGATGAGGAGAGAGCGACCGATTGTTCTCGCAGTCACGATGAGACAAGAGAGAGTTCAAGAGATAGAACTCCCTTGACGTCCCAGAGGTACACTGAACTTTTCTTCTCCTCCCTCCCCTCCCCTCCCTTCTTACCTTCGTGCTCAACCGCAGAGCAACTCCAGTAAGAAGTTCAGCAACGTCACCTTCCCTGCCAAGGTCCCTTTTCTCTCCTTTGTCTCCTCGACTGACCTTGAGGCTTTACAGCTCTCGCACCAACTCTCCGTCCTCCAGGCACAAGATCGAGGCGAGTTTCAGGGGATGAAGTCTTGAGGCAGGAAGCTGAATGCGCTCGAGTCTGAGAGCGAGAGGCTCTCCCAACCATCGAGAGGGTCAACCGCCAACAAGACAAGCGTGACAGTGAGGGATCGTTTCATGTACATCAAGGAGGTTCTTCTCCTCCCCCCCTCTCCTCCTCTCACCCTCCATCTTCTAGGTCGCAGCCTTGAGGAGAAGCGCAGAGGAAGAGCTCTCCTGCAGACTTCAAGTGACTCCTCACGCCTCTTCCATTCTCCTGATGCTTCGCAGCTTGCAAAGGAAGTTCGACGACTGGAAAACGAGCTCAAAGAGCTTCAGCGGCAGCTCGACGTGCTTGTCTTGCTGTCTGCAGTCAAATGATGAGAAGATGATGACAGGAGTCGAGTGCGAGAAGGGGAGGGCAGCGAGAGATGCTGATGGAGCTCGCAAGAGCAGTGAGCTTCCTAACTCGTCGTGAGGCTCCTCTGAGTCGATGCATGAAGGAGCAAGGAAACAAGGACGTCATGATCGAAGCGAAAGGGCTGCTGGAACAAGACTCGCAGACGGAGGGCATGACATGACGCTCGAGTGCTCGAGCAGGCGCATCTGATTGCTCGGCAGCTACGCGAGGCGACGAGACGCCAGAAAAGCGCAGCCACGTCGTCTCAGCCTTCGCACGAGAAGCTGCGAGGCTGATGGAGGTGAGAGCTGAGGCGACCGAAGCTCGTCTGAACCACCACAGGAGAACAGCAAGAACAAACTTCTTGCCGCTTCTCAGATGATGAGACGCGTCCAACTGGAAGTGACGCGCGAGAAGATGGCAGAAGATGTGAAGGACCTTTGCTTCCTTGCTCCTCCCTCACTTCCTCTCCCTAAGATTTTCTCCTCTTCTCCTGCCTGGCTTGGACGTGCCATCCATACCCTCACTTGGAAGCTCGACGACACGGCCAATAGCGAGCGAAATTCAAGTCGTCTGGTGAAGGAGATCGAGGATGAGAGCAAAGAAGAAGAAGCAAGCCTGCGGTCTCTGATTTCACAAACCTCTCTTCCTCTCTTCCTCTCCTCCTCTCTTCCTCTCTTCCTCTCTTCCTCTCTTCTTTCTTTCGCTTCTTCTCTACTTCTCTCCTGCTCTTCTTCTCTCTTGCTCTACTTCTCTCTTGCTCTTCTTCTCTTTTCCTCTTTGCTTCTCTGCTTCTGTCCTTGTGTTCTCTTACCTTTCTCATATTGCCTCTGAAAGTCGAAAACTGGACAAAGTGATCCAATCCAACGCCAAATTCCGCCAGATGATTCAAGTTTGACGCGCGAGGCGGGGAGAGTCTCTGACGGGCTCCAGGACGCGGCCAAGGGCAAGGCAGAGAAGCTGAGGAGACTTGAAAGAGACGCGGAGAAGCTCGCGGAGCCGCAGCTCCCCCTCATCCTCACGCGCGATGCAAGATTCCGCAGGGCCTGTCTGGAGAGCGTCGACCATTGCGACAAGGTGAAATTGAAGGTGTCAAGTCGTCGGTGAGAGATGAGGCGGTCAGATGCGACTGGAGGCTGTGGAGAGCGGGTACTGTGAAGCTCGAAGAGAGATGGTGGAGAAAGAGCTTGAGAGGGTGAGCAACAAACTTGCTCGAAGACACCTGAAGCTCTCGCAAGCAACTGCAAGATCACCTGAATCTCTTCCAAGAGGCTCAACGCTTACGTCGAATGCTCTTTCACGCTCTTTCTTCAAGCACATCGAGTAATTCCGTTGGACTAGGTTGATATGTCACCGCCTTCCCCTTTCCTCTTCCCTCCTCCCATTCCCTCTACTCCTATCTTCTCGCCTCCCCTTCCATCCCCTCTCCTTCTCCCTCCCCTCTACTCCCCTCCCCTCTCCTCTCCTCCTTTCCCCTCTCCTCAACTTCCCTTCCTCTCCACTCCTGTCTCGTGATTGCGGTGAAGGTCTGGAGCTCAAGGACGGGGCCGGGAGGGTCAACGGCGAGCAGGCGTTTCCTGTCATCGCTTCCATTCTCCCTGGATCCTCTGCGGCAGCAGCCGCCAGGAGCAGCCGCGTGCTGTCAGCTGGGTGTGAGGTTGGGGACAAGAAGGCCATGGCTGTCGCTCACGCGCTCATCTCAGCTCCTCAAGATCGACGGGCAAGACTTGAAAGGGGTGAGGGCGGAGGAGGCGACGATACTCTCCTACGGTCACCCGCTCCCTCCCCGCCAGCTTCTCTGAACCCCCCCAGGCGCCCCAGGCACTCACTCCGTCATTCTTGTCCGCAAGGAGATGGACGGCAAGCAGGTGGTGACGAGTCTTCGACGCTTCTCCTCTCACTCTCTTCTTGAGACCTCCGATGAACTCGCTCTCGTCCGAACTGCGACAGCTCAGTCTGACCCGGCATGGAAGTATGCGGCGAGCATGGAGCGGAAGGTGAGAGATGGCTCTTCCTCCTCCTACTCCTCCTCCTCCTCCTCCTCCTCTTCGCAGTGAGACTTGAGCAGGCCTCGTCCGCATCTTCTCAACTGGATGACGTGCAGATCTCAATCGCGAAGTTGGCAGGGCGAAGCTCAGCCCGTGAGGAGCGTGGGAGGTGTAGTGAAAGGTGATGAAGCGGCAGGAGAACAAGAGGTCAAGGCGTTGGAGAAAGAAAGAATCCAAACGATCTCAAAGGTCAGGCAGGCCACACCTTCGACTTATGTAACGATGATGGTGACTGTTGTGTGAAGATGATGATGGTGACTGTTGTATGACGATGATGATGGTGACTGTTGTGTGAAGATGATGATGGTGACTGTTGTATGACGATGATGATGGTGACTGTTGTGTGAAGATGATGATGGTGACTGTTGTGTGAAGATGATGATGGTGACTTCAGTTCAGATTCGAAGGATGCAGTCCGTCTGCAGGACTTTGCTGTTGCACGTCAATGATGCGCAGACAAGACAGTGAGGGCTGCGGCTCATAACCTGTTAGCTCACGTGTAGAGCAGAGGAAGGAGACTCGGCCCTCAAGACACGCTCGGGGAGAGCAGGACGAGTGGGGGTGTCAATGGCAGGGGCGCGATGGAGGAGGAAGGAGAAGGTGACTGCGATCGAGACGACTCGCTGCTTCCCGATGGTTTCTGTCCTTCAGAATCAGCTGAAGACGGTCATGCATACATCTTGCTGGACCCAGGTGAGGAGAGTCTTGCTAGGAGCTCGAAGTGAGAAGCTGCTGGCATGCAGATACGCTGAGACCTGTCAGAGAGGGAAGAGACGAGAGGACGGGCCTCAAGAGCATGCTCTCCGACCTCTTGGGGACTGCAGCTTTTGACTTTTGACATCTCTTGTAAACAGAATGTAATCATGAGAAGAAGAAAAAAAAGAACAGACGACAGGGCTCTTCAACCTTTACAAGAATGAACCTCGTCGCGTGGTGATGTCGTATGAAGCTTCAAGCTTCTGCTTGTTCTCCTCGATTCCTTTCGTCATCGGCACAGCCAACCAGGCGTCGCTCTCCCCAGCGATCACGCTTTCCACCTGCATCACCAGCAGACTGACGGATTCAACAGAAGCCTTGTGAGAGTCAGAGATGCTGTTCCACCAGGTGACAATGTTGTTGAGCGACACAAGCGACTTGTTGTACCGCGAGAGCTTCTGCCGTGTGCCGTCAAACTCCATCCACGAGACTACAGCTGTAGCCAAGGCCATGCAGATCGCGCCATACTCCGCGCTTTCAATGTTGGCGACCGCAGCAGCAGCTGCGATCAGCACAATGATGAGCCAGTTGAAGAGCGCGACGCGAAACTTGTATAGAGGAAGTCTTCGACGGAAGAACTTGATCATGGTGTTGACACGGAGCTCCATGTACTGGTGCGAAGGCAGCGGGGAGTGATGGTTATCTTGCATCTCGTCAGCCTTGTAGGATTGTTTCCGAGGCGGGCAGTCTTGGTTCTGATGGTGAGTGAAGACGCGGGGCGGGTATTTGGCCATGAAAGAAGTCTGCTCCATGCCTGCTGACTCGATCAGCTCTGCTCGCAGCTGCATCACCCGGTCTCGCAGCTGCACGTCAGGAGCTGAGGGGTCGGCGATGACAACCTGGAACGGTCCAGCTCTCGCCCGATACATCCAGATCTGACTCGTCAGTCGCGTCGCCACGTTCCTCAGCACCCGCCAGCGCTGCGTCGGGTTGTAGTAAGACGCGAGAGCCCAGACGACAGCAGCAACCATGGCAACGTAGAAGACAATGTCCCTGGCTCTGTTGCCGTGCTTGCAGACCATGCAGACACTGCAGTCGTCGAGCTTGACCTTAAGCAACGTCACAGCTGTTGTGGCGAGACCCACAAGCAGCAAGAAGAGGTAAAGACATCTGGACATGAGCTTGTAGCTGTTTGCAACATGCGCACAAACATCGACAGTGTTCCATGCCTCCTGCAAGACTTTGAGGCCTTGCAATGAGTTCTCCTCCGGCGTCTTGCCGACGCTCAGGAACTTGTCGATGAGAGTGCGCAACCCCTCGAGGTCTCTGACATTCCGCCCAAAGAACTTGGGGGAGGAGAGCATCTTTGCTACCTGCTCCCCGTACTCAATGCGAGATTGATCTGAAATCTCCGATCTGAGCTCCTCAACAGTCTCCCACTTCTTTTTGAATCCTTTCTTCTCGCACACTTGAACGACTTGCCAGAAGCTTTGAATGTGCTCCTCTTTCAATGTGTTCACCACAAACTCTAGATCCTCTTTCCAGCTGTCTCTTTCGAGCGAATCGCCATCACGAAATTTATTTTTCCGGTCAATTGCTGCTGAGAGCGATTCATACTGACTGGAATCGAATGAAATATTCACCACTTTGTTCTCCTGCAGATCGTAATGCCCTTTGAGAACAGCATGGAGAAAAGAGATATTGCAGATGTCATACACTTCATTTTGAAAGTTTTCAAGCAACTTGTCACGGTATTGCACAACCTGTTTTGCTGCCGTCATGAGCTTTTCTCTTCTAGTTTCTCCTGTCACAAGTTGTCTGTCTCGAAGGTCCAAGAAAAGGACGGGCACCGAAGAGTTCAAGACATCCACGCAGACCTGAGGCAGATCAGCTGGAGGGAGAGAGAGATGGGCGAGGACACCTGGTTTTGCATGAGAGGATGGGTTCTGGTGCATCGCATTGCAAACGATGGGATCGACTTATTGAAATACCTGAAGATCAAGTTCTCTAGCGACATTGCCGGCAGCGTATCCCAATGCCTGAATCTCCCGTAACTGTTGAAAGCCGCTCCTTCCCAAAGGATATAATTATCAATACCAGCAAGAAGATCTGGATTGACCCACTTGCTTCTATCAGGACCCGAGTACTTCTCGTTGAATTCTTCCATCATATCGTAGTTCTTGCGGAAACTATTCGACCTGTTGTAGAGATGAAAGGCAACGCTGCCTTCTTCAGTCGACTTCCTTTGGAACACCCATCGCCATCCGAACCCCAACATCGAGAACGGCAGTTTCTCTCCCCACTTGGATCGCAGCAGGTTGGCTGCCTGGCAAAAGGCATGCGCCCCCACGTCCCAGTCTGACGCTGGCAGCAGAACAATCGCGTTGGTCTCGGCACAGAGGGGGATCACGACGTCAGAGAAAAACTTGACGAGCTTAACCTTTGCCTCATCGAGTTCGATCGCATCAATTGATGGTCCTTGCTTCCCCGGAAGGAAATTATCATTCCACAGGTGCCATGTTTCCGGGCTGAGGCTACAAATGCTGGACTGTGGATCGAACTCATGAGCTTCAAAGCTCGATGCAAAGGTGTTGGTGAACCATTGATAATGTGCTGCACCTGATTCTGAGTTGAGAAGTTTGATAACAAGCCTTGGGTTCTCGTGAAGCTCAAAAGCATCTATCAGCTTTCCTATGGAGTCCATGTTGAAGGAAGCCGCCTGCCTGTTATTCAAAACCAGCAGCTTCTTGGCCATTCCAGAAGCGCCAAACTCAGTAGCAACTTCTTCAACTGCAAGGAAAAGCTGAGGTTAGCAATCGATTGCATCATCTTCGAATCAAGCAGGATAGATTTTACTCACCTAGCCCATACATAGTCTGCCAAACAGATCAAACCAAATCAATGAAATCAAAGGCAATGTCAAAGTCACCTTGGCACGGATGTCGAATTGCATGTTGGTTGGGTAGTCAGGGTATGGTATGGTTGCGCTTTCAGGCGAGAAGAGAAGGCTGGGATGGCGCATGCGCTGTGATTCAGTCACCTGGACGTGCAGGTGTCTTTGAGGACTTTCATGGTTGGCATGATGACCCGACAAAGTTGCCGTGTTCTGGTCTTCCTCACCATTGGTGGCTGTGCCAGGAAGAATGCTTTCATGCTTCAAGTCACTCATTGAAGCGATGATGCTTGATTAATAAAGTGACTAAATGCTTGGCTTTGTTAAGAAAATCCTTGCAAGATAGATATTGAGTCTGCAGGGGTCAGGTATAGGACAACACGATTTAGCAAGAGCAAGTTTGAGATGATTGCAAAACAGTGAATCATTCACCGACAAACACAATCTTCACAAATTGTGGAGGAAATACTTGTTACCCCAGACTAAGGTGGTGGATCACAGATGGACAACATCGGTACAGCAGAGCGAACTTGTAATGCAAAGGAACGGGAGTGCACAGATGACGGGTGAAGCGAATCGAAAGACAGACAAACTTTCAGTCTGTGATGAAGAGGGAAGTGAAGGGAAGGAAGCAGCACGAGATCAACGGAAGGAGAGACAAAGAGGAAGGGTGAAGAAGTAAAGGGAAGGACAAGATATAAAGAGCACTGAAGAGGGAAGGACGGGAAGGAAGGAGACAGGAGGGAGGAAGGGAGGGAGGAAAGGAGGGAGGGAGGGAAGGAGAAGCGAACCGACTGGAGATAGGCAGGTGGACAATTCAACGGTAGTAGACCCTGCTATAATAGGTGGGGTGGAACAAGCTATATCAAGGGGTGGGGGTCCACTCCAGCCGGTCGTCAGGTATCATATCCCTGCCACTGTGAGTAATAAAAGTCCGGGGTCAGCTAAGCGAGTCCGGGGTCAGCTAAGCGAGTCCGGGGTCAGCTAAGCCACGGTCCGGGGTCAGCTAAGCGAGTCCAAATTTTAGAATATGTTGAAGTTCCCAGTAACCTTCTCTCCACAGATCGGACGGTGACACAATGACAGTGACACCCGAAGTAGACAGTTATAGCACCGACTGCAAGTTTCTGTAGCAGTGGTAATAGATATCACGAATGGCCGCGCAGGAAAGATATCAGGATCACTGTGACAGAGAACAAACGGAGGTGATAAGAGATTGGTATAGATGGTCAAGCTTGTTTACTTCAAGCAATCCAGTCTCACAGAGACCATACACCTCGTTCTCCTTTCCCTGTCCTGCAAATGCGTGCGGCCCTTCTTCCTCTTCCTCGGTCCCTAAAATAGGGGCTGCCCGGTCCCAGGAACTACCACTCGGTGACTACCGGTACTCTACGCTTCTCAGTATCTGCGATATGATTCTTCGACCGGTCCGAGGCCTGGTTCCGTAGCTTGAGGGTTCCCTGAGAAACTTCGGAGTCATAGGCTTGACATGACGAGGTCTTCGATTCTCATCCAACGCTCTCTGTGAAGTTGATGTAGCTGCTCCCTTGACCTTGACAGGTCCTGTGTCTCCGTAGGAGCATGCTTGGAGGTCACCAGTGGTCTCGTGTATCCCTTGTAAGTCCTCCGCTAAGATGATCATGATAGTACTGTCTTCTTTGATCAGACCCCTTGTTCTCCCATGTCCATGACCTTATTGTAGCCGCTGTGTTGCTGTCCTCTCCAGGGATGCATTCCGAGGCTCTAAGCATCTGTGCACTTGAGCCACGTCGATTACTTGGCATTGTCTGAGGTGAAGCTTCCTCCTATCAGGTGCTTCAACAGTCCGAGTTCAGCTAAGCGAGTCCGGGGTCAGCTAAGCGAGGCGAGTCAGGGGTCAGCTAGGCGAGTCCGGGGTCAGCTAAGCGAGTCCGGGGCCCCGGGTCAGCTAAGCGAGTCCCGGCGGGGTCAGCTAAGCCTGAGACTCGCAAGCGTGAGTAACCGTGAACTTAAGTCCGGGGTCAGCGGAAAGTTTAAAGCCTCGGGCCCTGAGACAAGCGTGAGCAACTTAAGTCCGGGGTCAGCCGCAGTAAGCCTGAGACAAGCGTGAGTAACTTCAAGTCCGGGGTCAGCGGACTAAACCGGAAACTTCGTTTAAAGCCTGAGACAAGCCGCTGAGCGTGAGGGCCGCTTGAACTTAAGTCCGGGGTCAGCTAAGCCTGAGACAAGCGTGACTCTGTGAGTACGGTAACTTAAGTCCGGGGTCACTGAGCGGAAAGTTTAAAGCCTGAGACAAGACGGTGAGCAACTTAAACTTGAAATCCGGGGTCAGCTAAGCCTGAGACAAGCGTCTGAGTAACTCACTGTAGTAAGTCCGGAGTCAGCTGGGCCTGAGCCCCCGAGACAAGCCTCGTGAGTACCGCGCGGCGCCGCCTCAGTTGAAGCGGCACTGCGGCAGGCTGACTCTGGCAGCCTAGCTTAGTAAGCCGCCTGAGACCGTGGCAAGCGTGAGTAACTAACTTAGTAACGGTACGGTAGCCTGTCCGGGCCCCGGCGGTCAGCTAAGCCGCGGCCTGAGCGGACAAATAACTTTCAGTCCGGGGTCAGCTGAGCCCGGCCTGAGACAACTTACGGCGCGTGTCACCCCCTGGCCGCCGGGGAGTACTATAAGTCCGCCGGGCCGGGGGTCAGCTAAGCCCGGTGAGACAAGCCGCCGCTAGCCGCCCGCAAGTTCCGGGCCGCCCAGTGCCCGTAGGCTAAAAAGAGTCCGATCGTTGCAAGTCTGGGCCTGTGCCCGTAGGCTAAAAAAGAGTCGGTTTCTCTAGGCTTCTGACCGCCCAGATCTGCCGTAGCTTCTCAAGCTACACCGACCGGGAATCGAACCCGGGTCTCGCCCGTGGCAGGGGCGTATTCTACCACTAGACCATCGGTGTGCGGGGCGCTGAAGCCCCTCAGTTCGATACCGACCACCCGTCCCTTAGCCTACATATCTCCTACTACCCCCTGATTACCCTACCCCCTCTTCTGCCTTTTCACAGGTCCGGTCTAACCCCTGCTTCCTCCTCCGTCCCGGCCCCAACCTTGCTTGTGCATGCTCGTGCCTGTGACCCGTTATCTCGCTACTAGTCTTTATCTCAGACCTCTGAGGAGCATTCATCAAGCGCTGAGAGAATCACTTCCAAGTCGATGTCAGTCGGTAGCCGTTCAGCCATCAATGCACCAGTACAGACACATCTACACATCTTTCGAAACTGCAAAAATATTCGATTCCAGAATAATAAATCATGATGTAGAGGTATCTGCGTTGATGTTGCTCTTTTATTGGTTTCTACTGAAACTCGTAAAAAAAAACATTCACATGGAACATTTCAGACATAGCCTTGTTGCTTTGAGCTATTGATCATGATATTCAAATATCAGACAATTTGAGGCACAGCACTGCTGTTCTCAAGAATTCATCATGATATTGAAAAAATATTGAGGCGGAGGAATTTGATCTATCGACAATCTGATACAAACTTATCTTGTTATGCCTATGATTGTCCGATGCTCTCAGGCAAAAAGCCGGACAACTTGGTCAGAAGGAAGGGGCTCAAATGTTCTCGAGGAAGCAACCTTCTGCTCGAATTGTCCATTCTGGAAAAACCAGAAATATAACCACGGCAATTCCGTGACCCGCAACTGCAGGTGAAAGGGTCGCTCATTAGCTGTCAGATATCGAAATCAAAACTCAGCCATCGAACCGAAAGAGATTACCCATTCCGTAGTCTCGTAGTCGAAAGACAAGCATTCAGATGGCTCTATGTCCTTGATGGCAATCAGGATGATCTCCGAATTATGGCTATCTATCAGAATCCTGCAATTTGGGTCGCACGAGTGACTGGTAAATCGGATGTTCCCGGAGCAATCAAGATGCTTCGACTCACTCAGCTGAACTGTATGCATGTTGGGTGAATCTGTAACCTATAGGAATAATCACAATTTACTAACATGGCCCTCAAAACATTGACAAGAGGAACATTACAGACCTTTCCCACTTCTCGAAGAATCCATGTGCCTGAAGGGATTTGAATGCTTGACTCTAGATAGCAGCCCAAAGGCGACAGCTGCTTCTTAACAAGTACTCTTTCTAATGTAGTTCCACCGCTCAATGCGAATTCCGGCCTTGGATGTTTGGTTGGCCTCGAGTCCGGCTGTTCCAACGTGAAACTTCTCCTTGCCGACATTGATGGCTGAACGGCTACCGACTGACATCGACTTGGAAGTGATTCTCTCAGCGCTTGATGAATGCTCCTCAGAGGTCTGAGATAAAGACTAGTAGCGAGATAACGGGTCACAGGCACGAGCATGCACAAGCAAGGTTGGGGCCGGGACGGAGGAGAAAGCAGGGGTTAGACCGGACCTGTGAAAAGGCAGAAGAGGGGGTAGGGTAATCAGGGGGTAGTAGGAGATATGTAGGCTAAGGGACGGGTGGTCGGTATCGAACTGAGGGGCTTCAGCGCCCCGCACACCGATGGTCTAGTGGTAGAATACGCCCCTGCCACGGGCGAGACCCGGGTTCGATTCCCGGTCGGTGTAGCTTGAGAAGCTACGGCAGATCTGGGCGGTCAGAAGCCTAGAGAAACCGACTCTTTTTTAGCCTACGGGCACTGGCCCAGACTTGCAACGACTCTTTTTAGCCCGGCTACCGTAGTTATGATGTTGTTTTTACGAACAACTGAGCGGCTTGAAGGCTAACGATCATGATGCACTTACTTAGAGGGTGACAGGAGAATCATTTGAATGCTTCAAACGATCACAAAGGACTTTGCAGAAGAGCCTCGAAATCTCCTTTAGCGCAGAGAGTGTCATACGCTCTTCGAAATTCATCCTCGATCCTTTGACGTCCTGCCGAGGGAGCTTCGTCACCTCATCGCCTCCCCCTCGCAACTCACCAGCTTGATCAACACATCTCGCCACGTTGTTGGACTCGTCCAGGAAGTCTTCGATGAAGACATGAAAGCGCTCGGACGAGGGGAAAGCCGTCTCTTGTACCTGGCGGAGGGTGAGGAGGGAGAGAAAGGGCTTCAGAAGAGATGAGGCAGGATGGAACCTTGCGAGTCCTTCCTTCACGGATAGAGAGGCACTCCTGCGACCAGTTGAACTCCAAGGCGAAGAAGGCGAAGAAGCGGAGAAGAATCTCTCCAGCCTGTTTCCTTCTCTCAGCCTTCCAGCTCACACTCCACGCGTTTCCACAACACCAGAACAAGGCAAGGAGCAGAAGGAGCAAAAGCAGAAGCAGGAGCAGGAGCATGAGCAGAAGCAGAAGCAGAAGCAGAAGCAGAAGCAGGAGCAGAAGTAAGCAGGGGCAGGGGCAGGGGCAGGGGCAGGGGCAGGGGCAGGAGCAAGAGCAGTAGGACAAGGAAAAGTAGAAGCAGAAGGGAAGGAGAAGCTCTGTGACTGAGAAGAAATGAACCGAACGAAATCTTTGCCGCGGGAAAAGAGGCAGAAGAAATGTTCAAGAGCAGGACTGCAGTGTCCGGTGGGGTGCATGACGCAGCAGGGAATGTAAGAGGAGGTGAGGGTAGGCAATATGAAGGCAATGACAATGAAACGAGTGAGATGGCAGATAAGGAAGGCCGCAGACAAGACAGAGACACTGGCCAAAGAGAAGAATACGAATGCATGAGGAGACAAGGCAGGAGCGAGGAGAACAAACAGGAGCAGCGAGGAGAGAAGGACCGTCTGTTTGTTGTCTGAGCCCCAGCCTTGAAGGAGATCGGCGTCTTGATGATACATAACCTGCGAGAAGCAAATAAAGGAGAGCGACAAGACGCAGGAGAAGCAGGGGAGCGATGGCAGAGCTTGTGCGTGTGAGCTCAAACGAGGCACCGAGGCGCGCTCGTCTCACCATCTTCGGTTGGCCGTCGACCCCTCTGATGGTTGCAATCGGCTTCAGGACGTCATAGACTACTTCTTCTCTCCTCCTCGCCTTCCTCGCACGCTCTGCATCTTCACTCATCGGTGAATCTGCATGACCTGATTACCTGCTGCCGCTCCGCGCAAGGGGAGCACTGGAAGGAAAAGGTTGGGAAGGATAGGAGGATCGAGTCTCTGCTCGCACATTCAGCATCAGAGCAGAGATATCAGCCGTACCTGCAGCACGAAGAGAACCATGATGATGAGAGAGAAGGAGTTGAGAGTTCCTGCCCGTTACATCAGCTTTCGGCTTCCTCCCCTTCCCACGGACCTCGGAAGGCTTCATTGATCTCTCTCCTCTTGCTCCATGTTTTCACGGCGAGAACTACCTGCCCTTCCCTTCAGCCCACCTGCTTGCCACCTGATACCTTCAAACCTCCTTCACTCTCTCGTCGACCCTCCTCATCACCTGCATGGCTGTCACTCCCTTGTCTCCCCCTCCCTGCCAGACCTCAAGGAAGTTCACGGCAAACCTCCCGAAGTTCTCTTCCTCGTGCACGCTGACAGAGAGTCATCCTCTCCTCTGCTCTCTTTCAAGTCCCCTCCCCTCCTCCCCTCCTCCCCTCCACACCTGATGTCAAATGAAAGTGTCGCGTCTTCGGACTGAACCGTCACGAGGGGCACGCGGGCCTGCAAATCATAAGCTGCTACATTCGATTTCTCTCCCTTCCTGCTCCCTAATTTCCCTCTCTAACCAAGTACCTATCTCCCCTTGCACCCTCCCTTCCCCTCCTCTCCTCTCCTCTTCTCACTGCCTGCCTCTGGCCTCCTTGCCTTCTTCTACTGTGGATTGCTGCTTGATTACCCGTAAGATCGCGACAGCCTTCAATCCAAAGCGAGAACGGAGCTGGTGGAGATGACGTCAAGACAAGATCAGATGGTTAATTGGAGGAGTGAAGAAGGAGGCGAGTAGGATGGACCGCACCGCATGTGAAAGGACCTTGAGCATACGAATGTTTTCTCTCCGCCGCATCATGACAGTTTTCTTACCTGCTCGCGGGGCTGAGATGAATAAGGAGGCAAGTGAAAACGCACGCACCTTGCATGCGAACTAACACGCGAGGAAGATACGTGCCTCGCACAGCCATCGGGGTCCTCAGCTGCTTCCTCTTGCTGCTCAACGACAGCTACGCTGCTTCAGGCGCTCTTTTCCGCCCTTCGTCTCAACCTCTACCTGCAGGTCCAAGTCCGAGTCGACAGATCCAAAGCCAGCAGCAGCAGATCCATACGCCCTTAGCTCTGATCCCAATCACAATTTCTCCTCTCCCTGCCGCTACCTCATTCTCACCGGCATCTGCACCTAAGATGCACTTGACAGCTCCTGTAGCAAGATGAGATGAGGAGCGAATGCATGCTTCATTGATACTTGTCAAGTTAGCAACAAACATCTGCTGCCTCCTCGCTGAGTGCTCGTCAGCTTGGTCAATCTACTTCTCATTTCGCACCTTTTGCAGGAGGCATGGCTACCCGCCTCACCACCTCCTGCACTTGCATGTCGATCCAAGCGAGGAGCTTGCTGGCCTCGTCCTGACCCGTCAGTCTCCTCACATTGCAAACCAGCACACTTGAAGTGAGCATACTGCCAGCAACTTAGAGGAGCCTCGGACAAGCAACACCAACCTAATGGATACAGCCGTCGCCTCTGATTCCTCCTCACTGGATGTCTGTGTTGGACCTCGAGATTGAATCAGAGGGTTCGAGAAAGAGTCATAGGCAGCAGGCAGTAGCTCGCTGCTCGCCTCAGACCACTTGCTTTGCTCGCTCCACGAGCTCGGGCTGGTACTGTCGTTGATGCTATGACCTGCCTGACCTGTAGATGGGACCTTGACATGGGGAGATTGTACGATGAGCGCTGAGGATGGAGAGGCTGCGGGCACGCAGGCATGGAAGAGCAGAGTCAAGCGAGCCAAGGTCACAAGAAGCTTCATCCTTTGAGCTGAATCCTCAGCATTGTTGGGATGACCCGGCACGACATGCTCTCGCCCTGCCCATTAGGAGCAAGCGCACCTTTTGGTCGTTCACCATACAGTCATGAGCGGAGTGGTGGTGGGAAGCCGAAGAAGGAGAAGCTTGAGCGAGAGAAACACGAGGCAAGTCGAGGACGGGAAGGAGGAGCAAGGAAACAAGGCAGGGAGCAGGGGAGGGGGGCAGGGAGAGGCTGCCTCAGCCCTTCCTTTAGATTCATCAAAAGACAGTAATTTTACACATATGTTTCTTGTTCAAACGTTTCTTCTGCCCCAATTGCCCGCCCCTCCTCGGGAGGTTGTTACTGTGCTTCGCCATGCTTGCCCACCCCAACTGCTGCACGGACATCTGACGGACATCTGACGGACATCTGACGGACATCTGACGGACATCTGACGGACATCTGACGACATCTCGGCTCCTCTTCCTTGCTCTCGTGTCATCCCTTACCCGCGAGAAGCGTCCGCCATGACTTTCCTTCAAGCAGTCTTCTCTTTGAACTCCATCATGTGCTTCTTCTACGGGTGTGTCACTTTCTTTGACCCCGACATCACAGTCAAGCTCAAGCTTGCTTGTATGCCTCGACCGTGCTCGCTTGTGCACTCATTGCTTGCAGATGCTGAATGGATCAGAGAAGACAACGCTACGCTGCTGCAGATGCATGGAGCCTGTGTCATAGGGATCGGGTTGTTTTCTCTCGGGGCTGCTCAGTTTGAATATGCGGATCCGAGGTAGTTGGTTGTGATTCATGCGTGCGATGACGCGTGAGGTGACAGGAACATGATGGCCAAGTGCATGCTCGCCCTCCACATCTTGTTTTGTTACGCGCTGATGCGAGACAAGCGCTGGGACGAGACCCTACAGGCACCTGTGACGCTCGGAGCGACTTTCATGACCTTCTGCTATACTATCTGCACCTTATTTCCAGACAAGGATGCACGGGAGGCGATAGGCGTAGGTGAAGGAAAGAAAGAAGCTTGATCATTCCCCCGCTTCTCTCTTTGCCTCCCTCATGCGTAGTACAACACTTTCTCCCACTTGGTCTTGCTGTAGAGGTCTAGATGGCTTCCAGCTCGATAGCCGCCTGTCTCCTCCATTACCTCTTCACCCCTCTCCTCACCGCACGCACCCCATCCGAGGTCGATGAACCAGCTCAGGCGCTTCGGACTGCAGCAGATCAAATCAAGCAGTTTGAGCATCCGATGAAAGAACCCGGGAGGCAAGGGGAAGTGAGGGAGAAGAACGAGTGACGGGAGGATTGAGGAGCAGACGAGACGAGCAAGGAGCACCTCTCAGGTTCAGCGACATCGCAATCCATCAGCTCGACGAAATCTGAATCGGAAAACCCAAACTAGACAGCAAAAAGCTCACTTATCTGGACGGCAGCGAGGCAAACTGACCGAGAACTCAGTGAGGTACCAGTAGACGCCGTTCTCAAAGACCTGCGCACGTCATTCCACGCCTCTGCAGACGCTAAGCTTACAACTGATCCATCGTTGTCGGTGTCGAGGACGATCGAGCGCCTCCCCATAGCTGCTAGTGCCAGTTCTGCATGTGTCATTCGCGCAGGCTCAACCGAGGAGCTCACTGGAGCTGTTCTGAAATCTCGCTCCCACAAGGATGAAGGTCCCTAGCTCCTGTTCCGCATCGTCAAACAAGAAAACAGAGAGCCGGTTTCACATCTCCGAGCAGATCTGTGAACATGGTGCCGTGCGAGTATGGCTGCGAGTAATAGTTGGTCCATCCCTGCTCGGGGTCAGCCAGTTGATAAGGTTCGAGTGTAGAAGACGTTCAGAAACTCTTCCGGTACGTCGATGAGAACCCCGCTCGCAAAGTAAAGCCCTGGATACACAATGATGATGTCAGGCCTGCGAGCACAAGAGAAAGAATTCCTACGATCCATGTAAGTCAATTTGTGGATCTTGTTCTTCAATCTTAAAATTTCCGCCTGAACGTCTTCAGAGAGCAGAACTCTGAGAGAGTTACACCTGAGCCAAAGCAAGCCGAGCCTTGAGAACTTCATTCTCGTCAGCAGAGTTGAAGTTTTGAATATCAGTCAATTCGGATTCTGCGAAGTTGATCAATCGATGACGTTGAGTCAGGACTCAGTATAGACCTTGAAGCTCGTACTGCTTTCTGGCATCTTTGCCATTGCGTAAATTGACTCGCAGACCTTGGGTAACTGTGTTGTTTGATTCATTGGCATCTGGTTTGAGAGATTTCAGCGAGTGAAATGCGTTCTTCACACCAGAACCGAGGTTGGCGGATCCTCCTCGTAGTACATAGTCACGATTGAGGTTTCCGAGCGGAGAAGTTGAAGATGCTGCCAAACCTAGGAGGAGGAGGAGGAGCAGGAGGAGGCGCGACCCCAGCTGCTCCTTCATCTCATTTGCATTCACAGACTGCCATGCGGTACAACAATGGCGGGCGATGATGGCAGAGCAGAGCTCAGCCTGGTATCACCAGGGTATCACGCTCTGTATCACGCGGCGGCGCAGGTTCAGTATAGTATCACGCGGCCCGGGTTCCCCGGTGTCCGGCGGGCCCGGGCCCGGAGTGTGTTCGGAGCCCAGGAGCCGGCGTGAGTGTAACTGAAGTTACACTCAGCACGAGGACTCCGGGAGGCAAAAACTCGGACAGTGTCGGGATCCGATCCGAGGCCGGGCCCGGGGTCACCGGGTCGTGACGGTCCGACGGCGCCGATCACTGCCACCGAGTCACCAGCGGTCAGGGGCCGGCAGGCCAGGCCCGGCTGAGCCAGTGGCAGCGGCATGCTAGACGCCGACGGGTGCCGTTGGGCAGTTCGGTTTTCCGTGCGGCGGCACGGCGGGCGGATTGCAACTTTCAGACTCGAATCTTGTCACGGTCAGGCTCGCCGAAGTCAGTTGCCACAAACTCAAATCGATCGACCGTCCGCGACGACAGGCTGGCCCAGTGGCGCTACGGTGACGACGCCGTGCAGCTGTGCACAGTGACCACTGGCATGCAACAACAGCACTTATCACAAGAATCACGGTTTTGTTTGGTTTTTTTCAGTGACTCGGTGATAGATCGCTAGAGCAGTTGCTAGGTACAAAACATAAACTTGCAACTCGCAATGTCAATTTCAGCCATGGCTAGTGCCTTTGAGGATGAAATATCATTCTGCGTGGTTGCAGGTCACGTGTACCCGAGATCGCTCAAGCTGTCTCCATCAACAACTTGAAGATTGCTATGCATTCGCACGTAAACTCCTGTCATGATTATATCAGCACAGTCATGTCATGATTATATCAGCACAGTCATGCCATCAAATATGTTTCACCTTGCCTCAACTTGAAGCTTTAAAGCTCAGCTTTTGCCGGCTCTACGTGGCAAGCCAACGCTCCGTCGTTGTTTCCAAAGGATTCACAGGCTTTTAAAGATATGGTTGTCTCGATGGCCTGGCCGTTGGAATTTGAGCAGAAGCATCTGAGCTCTTCTTCGCTCTTGGAGCACTTCTTGCAGGATTTCAGGTACGGGCCAACAGGTAAATTCTCACAGGTCAAGGAACCCGAATCATTCCCAAACGTCATGGAAGGGCAATCAAGCAGCTTGATTGCAGCAAAAACTTTTGCACCACACGGCTTGGTGCATTTCGTACACTGCAGAGTGCCATTCTGTCATGTTACAACATCAGTCGGCGCCGACATTAGAGGGATAATCAAACCCACCGATTCTTCGATGGAGCACCCTGAGCACGAGTCGAGGAAGGACCCAAAGGCCCTCTGCTCCAGACCCGCCTGGTTGGGGTCTGGAGGGTTTCCTCCTCCTCATGCTGACAGCACAGGTCTTATCTGCATGGCAGCGATCACGAGCACTGCGACAGCTGCTGCTCGCATGGCGGCGCTTTCGTTACGGCCGACCAGCAGAGGAGTAACCGAAGGGTCAGGTGGGAGGGGTCCGATGTCTGAAGGGGGGGTGGGAGGGTGCGGGGGGAGGGGGGGGGGTACCAGGTGGCGGGTTGTGACCCGATGCGATCGTTGAGATTTGAGTGATCTACGAAGAGAGAAGAGAGAAGAGAGAAGAGAGAAGAGAGAAGAGAGAAGAGAGAAGAGAGAAGAGAGAAGAGAGAAGAGAGAAGAGAAGAGAAGAGAAGAGAAGAGAAGAATGACGACGAGGATGAGGAAACTCGGCAAGAATTGAAGTGTAGCATGTTGGAGGGAGGGATACATCTCTTGAACGAATACATCAATACAGATCAAGTCGCGAGACGACTGACATCTTCTTTGCCGTCGTTCGTTTACAAGGCCGAAAAACTATGGCACAGCGAACCGAAGAGGCCATTTCAGTTCCTCATTCAAATGAAGGATGACTGGTGCAGTCTTGTGGTGCTCTCGACGATAGTCCGATCTTCGCGCATCTTGTTTTATGTGCCACACTGTGCCTTCATCGTTTACTTGACATCTTTCAACGAGACCATGGCTGTGAAGCATGACTACCGCGTGAAGTTCGTCGGGACTTATGAGGCGAAACATAAGGTCTCGAGTGACATGAGAGGTTGCGATGCCTTGAGGGTGATGACGACCTTGTCGCCACAGTCGGGCCACAAGCACGCTAAAATCCGCCTTGGAAAGTTCATCGCTCAGCTGCAACACCGATTTCACTTATGGTCGATAAGAAAGACTTCCGACAAGGTCTTCACCGTCAAGACCAACAAGAAAGAATGCCAAGGCATTGCTTGGTCGCTTGCTGCGTTGCAGGAGGTGCATTGGATTGAATGTGCTCGTCCATTGTGGAAGAGAAATTATTTCTCCAAGACCAGCGAAACCCCCGGCAACCTGCTCTATAACTTAGACCGGATCTTGGCAAGGGGCGTTAACGGGAGTGGAGAGGTCGTGCATGTTGCAGACTCCGGGCTCGATGTCGATCACTGCTTCTTCAGGGACTCAAAGCGGAGCCTCACGTACAACAAGGTCGATCGCAAGCACAGGAAGCTTCTCGTCTACTGGATCAGCCGGCATGGCGATGGCTTTGATTCCATCGGAGGGCATGGGACACATGTGGCTGGAAGCATTGCAGGATCTCTTGAGGATGTGACGTGGCATCCTCTTGCTAACTTCAGCGGAGTCGCGCCTGCCTGTAAGCTTGCTTTCACAGACGCAGAGAGGCAGACCAGCAGCGACGGGGAAGGTCCTTTCGTGCTGGATGACATCCCCAGCAGCATCTACCTGAAACCCTACGAAGAGGTCGGAGCCCGCCTTCACTCGCACTCGTGGGGCACACAAGACTTCAGCTACACCATCGACGCACATGAGCTGGACGATTTCATCTATCGGCATCCGGACGCCTTTTTCTCCTGGGCTGCTGGCAACGATGGAGAGCAGGAGCGTTTCGGGCTCATTGCTAGCCCTGCGAGCGCTAAGAATTGTCTGAGTGTTGGAGCCACATTCGCACCCGTGGAGTCCAGCCTGCTGGCGAAAGAGGATGGAGGAGAGGTATGTATCTTTGCCGCTCCTCCTTTCCCTTTGACCTGGCATGGCAGACTCTGTCTAGGATGAGCAGGAGGCAGATGGCGGGCGACCCCTCACTCTTCAGCAACGCACATGTGCTCTCCTTCAGCGCTCGCGGTCCCTGCAAGGATGGAAGACTCAAACCAGATGTGGTTCTCCCGGGGCTTCTCCATAGCGCTCGTTCCAACGGCAGGGCCGTCAACGCCAACTGCTGTCTGCATGCTCTCTGCAACTCGACAACCAGGTGAGCCAACGCCTCAAGTAGCGCGAGTGAGAGCCTCGCAGCTGTCCAAGCGACTGCAGCGGCAAGGGCACATGTCAAGAGGTTGGGGGAAGTTGGCGATGCCTCTGTGAAGTCGGGTTTTGTGGCACAGACTGCTCCTTCCCGAATGATCGACTCTCCTCGAATTCTTGCTGCCCATCTTCTCCGCCAACCTCCTCCTCCTCCTCCTCCCTGTGCGGATCGTTGCTAAAAGGAACCTGCGTCAATCTGCAATCCTCGGCCAATTACATCTTCGATTTCTGCCAGTGCCGAGAAGGTCAAGTGGGAAACGACTGCAGCCAGACGGTGCAGGAGAAGCTCGCGACGTTGACCAAGATGGGAACTTCTATGGCTGCGCCTGTGGCTGCAGGGCTCGCTGCCTTGGCTCGCAGCTACCTGGGTGAGTCCTTGAGAGGAGCGGGGCAAACGGCACGAAAGCAGCGCCTTATCTTGAGTGTAGGGTTGGGATTCTGGCCGGGAGGATTGCGAAACCTAGCGGACTCGGTCTCGCCGTCGGCTTCGCTTTTGAAAGCAATGCTGATCACAGCAGGGAGGCGAACGGAGGAAGGGAAGGTGGTGCAGATCTTTGAGGACAAGCAGCTTGCCGTCGAGGATCCTCTCAACGCAGTCAAGCTTCAAATCCTGTCTGACTGCAGCAAAGTGTTTGCAGACCCTCTCCTTCTCTGCCGTGACCTCAACGCATCTCTTGCTCTCCTCCCCAACGTGGTGCAGGGCTTCGGCCACCCCACGCTTGACAGCTTGCTGTACTTCTCCGAGACTAGCTCCAGCTTTCCTCCCTCTTCATCCTACCTCTTCCTTGAAGATCTTCGTCCCATAGCCGCAGGCGAGGAACATTCCTACTGCTTCTACATGGCCCCTCGCATTCAAGCTCCTCCTCGTTTTCTCGCTACGCTGGCTTGGTCAGACCCCCCCGGAACTCCAGCAGCAAGTAAGCAGCTGGTGAACGATCTGGATCTGCTGGTGGAGGAGACATGCGGAGAGATTCTGCTGGGGAATTCAGTTCTATTCGAAGGTCAGCGAGATCAGCTGAACAATGTTGAACGAGTGGAGCTGCAGGACGGAGGAGGAAGATGTGCAGGTCCATTGAGGAGGCTAACAATTACAGTGAGAGGAACCCTGATCCCCTTTGGGAGTCAGAACTACTCCCTCGTTGTCAGCAGCGGCTTCCTTCCCTGCGACGAGAGCATCGCGGTGCTTGATCATATTGCTCAGGTACTTGACAGTCGCGACTGAAGTGGAGGGCAGAGGCAAGAGAAGCAGAAACATGGAAAGAGAAGTAGCAGCAACTAATGAAGCAGGCTGTAAACAGTCAAAACAGGCACGAGAGGTTGTGATGGAGTCGTTGGAGTAGGTTCAGGGAGGAGGAGGAAGAGGAAGAGGAAGAGGAAGAGGAGGAATTGAATCTGTGGAGCAGAGCTCAACCATACAGGTCAATATCTCTTTCCAAGCGGCGGTTAAGCTCGAAGACGCTGCTCACCTTCGCGGTCTCTTCGCAGGAGCGCTGGGGGTGAAGGCAGGCACCGTCCTCCTCTCCTCCTTTGATGCAGAGAAAAAGAACTTGCAAATCTACATCCTCCGCTCAAACGCTGAGGAGACGGTGCAAGCACTTCGCGAAGCTTGCTTCAAGCACGCGAAGCTTCAGTTCCTCAAGGTGATGTAGCAGGGAGAACAAGGATCCTCTCTGACTCTTGGGTGTTGCAGGTGGTCGCCGTCGAGCAGATCAGAAACCATCTCATCAGCAGCACGACAATGCGGAGGGCATCGCGAGCATTACTTGTGCTGCTTCCTTTTGCTATCTTCCTCCTCTTGCGCTGTTGAGCTGCTGCAGCCTCCGTGGCTGCCAGCTATTGTTTGATTGCCCAGAAAGCCTCGGAGCGACTTCTGACGTGAGGCATTCTTGTAGACCATGAAAGTGAATTGAACAGCACTGCTGGTTGCCAGCAGTGCTGGATAAATTTTTTTTTGGGGGGGCTCGTGTCACGGTGTGTTGAGTGTTTGCGCAGCCTTTGTCGTTGCGTGTTGTGTGCGTGTAGGTCTTGGTTCTCCTCGCAGCTTGAGTTTTACTCGCAGAAGGTAAAAAGTGCCTCAAGTGGTTTTGCTTACCTTACCTAACGGAGGCACTTTTGGGGCCGTACGCCTGATGGTTTTGCCAGTCAGCTCCGAGCGAACGAAGCTTGCCCTCGTTCAGCATAGTCGGGGAGGGGACGAGTTCATGCCGCTTTTTGCTGCTTGAGGCACTTTTTACCTTCTGCGAGTAAAACTCCATCCATCGCTCGATTCCTCGCACAAGGTAAATAGCAGTGCCTCAAGCAAGGACCGCGATACCGGCACAGCAGGGGACGTTAACGACTGTTTGCATTACTTGGAACGGTACCGTCAGCAAGCGCCCAGCCTCCATGTGTCCGCCTGCTCGAGGTCTCTCCGTGCCCAGAAGCATCCTCTGGCGACCTTCTTCGTTGAGGTGCACGACTTTGTTCATAATGCTGGAGCGATTCTCTACCGTCGTAAACTCAGAGGACCGTCGCGTGAGGACTCATGCACCGGCTGCAGATGGCGCGGGGATCCCACCTGACCCGGCTGCTGTGCCTGATGACGCAGGACGCCCCCCCGGCATATGTAGTACACATACCTGGCTTGCGCGCTCTCGTCGACTCGTCTCATGAGCACTTCATTCCCCCGCCTGCGCAGCGCAATGTGACTCCTCTTGTCATGCGAGTGTTTCCTCGCCATGTGCATGCTCGCGTTGCCCTCACCGATCAGCAGCGTGATATCCTCACCTTGCACAGCCGAAAGACGTACTCGCTCAAGTCGCAGGATAGGGGCTTGCAGTCTACCATCTTCGCTCATTTTCCTGAGCGGGACCTGAGCCACTCTCCGATGCGAGTCTCGAGCTACTATCCCCTCAAGGCCTTCCCGCATCGCTATGCTCAGATATCATGCGGCAGTGCTCGACTGCTATCTCCATGGCATGCCGATCTGCCAGTGCGATCCTTCCGTTGCTGCGCATCATCTCCAGACCTGCAAGCGTCGATCCTCCAAGCTTCCCACGGCGCATGACAACCTTGCTCGCACTATTCGCTCAATGCTCAACGAAGCTTTCACATCCCTGGGAACCGAGATCAAGGGTCCGACTGAGCGAGCCCTCGCCGTACTGACCTTACAGCCGCTCTGAGAAGATTCGCAAACATCGCGCTGGATATGCCATGACTGAGGTCTTGGCTCGCAAACGCGCCGCCACCTAGCCGTGACCGTCACTGGCAGCAGGCTCACCGTCTGAGACGGTCCGACGGTCAGTCGGCCGCCGATCGGACTTCCGGGCCGGAGGCCCGTGATTGTCCTCGTACTGATTTTTCACCTAACTTTGAGTGAAGATAGTGAAAAATCACAGCCTCTAAACGAAGTCTTGAAGGAAGGAGCAAGGAGGACCGCCGCCATGTTCAAGCGGACGGTGGAGTTCAAGGGAAGCAGCAGCGTGGGAGGCAAAGTAAGCATCCTGCTCCTTGTGTTTACATCACCCTCCTCCTGCACCCCCTCTCCTTCTCTCTCCTTCCCATACTCTCAATTCCATTCAGATTCGCACCCTTGCTTGTTTCAATCCTCCCCGTGTCTGTCCTTTCACTCCCTCTTTCCTCTCTCTGGTTCTCCTTTCATCCTCCTCTGCTGTCTTGACTGGTATTCTCGCAATTTTTTCCTTGATCCATCTTTGAGCGAGCGAAGAAATCACTTTTACACCGCTTCTTTAGCTTCATTCACAAACTTTGGATCCTTGACTTGGTTTCCTTCAGACTCTTAAAAAGCTGAAACAGGATGTCGCTAAGACATTCCTGAGTTGTGAAGAAGATGCTGAATTAATTTTCCCTCACAAAGTCGACATCAGTTTGAAGAAAATAGCATGGGGGGGATCAAAGATGCAGGTGTACTTTGCAGGGGATGTACCGATACTGGTGGACGAGGGTCGAGGAGCGATGTTCCCTACTGTGATGGCTCTATGGAATGCGCCTGACGCGATCCCTTTCTTCGAAGTTCCTTCCCCAGTCAGTAAATTTCTTTGCAACGGAGCTGACCTGATGCTCCCGGGGGTCCGAGGGATCTCGCAAGAGAGTCTGCCCAAGGGGACGATAGCTGCTGTGAAGGTGTCAGATGTGGAGGCAGCCTGTTAGTGACAGACATCGCAGGTCCAAGGCAACGATAAGCCCATGGCTGTTGGGGTCGTCTTGTTCGACCCCGCCACCTGCGACTCAAGGGAAGGAAAAGTGCTTCAGGTGGTATGGATGCTTCCCGCCCTTCGAGTTCATGCAGCTAGAATAGGTTCTTCAAGTATATGGCGACACGTTGTGGCAAGAAAGCGGAACAAAACGACCTAATGAGGGGTTCAAGGAGGATCAAGTGCTTCCCACTGTGTCTCTCTCTTCCATGAGCGCTGCTCTCCCTGCCAACCGTTCAGATCAAGCTGAACCCAACCCAGCCACTCGAGCTCCAGACGAGGACGAGAGCTCAGCAGACGGACAGGGAGCAGCCCGTGAACAGCATAGTGAGGAAGACGAGGAGGATGATGTGGATTCTGAAGAAGGAAGTGGAATTCAAGTCAGTCCGGAAGAAATGAATGTAAGTCAATGAATGCTTTTCGTGGTCTGAACGCAAGTCAGGACTTGTTGGAATTTTGTCTGTTCCAAGCGCTGAAGACCAAAGTAAAAGACAAGATGCTTCCGATTGAGTCAGGTTTCCTCTCCTCTCCTTCCTACCGAGGCTTCAATCTTTATCGTTTTCATCAGGTGCATTTTATTTGCAGTACATGCGACCAGTAAGGCCATGTAACGCATTCCTGGATATCAAAAGGTTCTTTCCCCGTCTATTGATGTCTTCCTTGTCCTTAAGCTTACAGCTCACTATCTTCGTCTCTTTCTCGCTCCCCTCCTACTGTCCAGCATTTTTCTTACCCTCACCCCGCCTCACTTATAGGTCTTCTCCTTCCCTTGAATTTTGTGCTTGCGCCGAGATCCCTCCTCTCGTTGGAACTCAGTGAAGGCTCCGTTTGCAGGTCTTCCTTCAAGAAGTTGTCAGCATTTCTCGCTCACTACTCTCAGCTGGGAGTCATCAGAGTGAATGACAAGAAAGGGACATTGAAGCTCGCTGAGGTCAAGCGCAACCATCCCAAGTACCTCGACTTCGCTCCGTTGCCGCATGCAGAGACATACGAAGGAGCGATGGAGCAGAGGCAGAAGGAGGAGGAAGCTAGCAACGGCAAACAGCCTCCTCGGCCTATCACGTTGGAGGAGCTTCATAGGCCGCACAGGTCCATGTACGGATCTCTCTTCAATGAGGACAAGCAAGCATACTACTCTATCCTCGAGTGCCGCAAGGCGTTGGATGACTACGTAGAGAAGGAGGGCCTCCTTGATCCTCTGACGCCTTCCATGGTCATTCTTGATCCGATCCTCTGCGATGCTCTTTACGCTGTGAGTCTCCTCCTTCAAGTTCTCTTGCCTCTCCCCTACTACCTGTCGTTGTACCGCGTCCTCTCACTAGACGCACCAGGGAGACTCCAGTGTTGAAGGTCCTATTCCTACACATCTATCGCGTGGAGATCTCAAGACTCGTTTCTTCTCTCGTCTGCAGCATTTCTTTCGTATTCAGGTCCTCTCCTCCTCCTCCGCTCCTACCGTTGCCTGATGCTGGCTGTTCACTCGGCCTTCTTTCTTAAAGGGAGGTCGACTCAAAAACCCTCAAATTCATCCGGCCAAGTACGAGAAACAGCCGAGTAAGGAAAGAAGATCAACTCCGGACGCTGAACCTTGTGGCTCAGATGGGAAGATGCTGGCGAAAGCACCGGGGATCTACATCAAGACAGACAAGTGATGACTATCCCCTCGTCGGCTCAACCTCAATCCCCCTCATTCCTCCTTCTCCCCCTGCCCTTCCCTCCCCCTCCAAGCACTGCTGCTACCATAACGACCTTGCTCTGTCTCCTTTTCGTGGGCTGCGTATCTGAAACTTCAGCTTCTTTGTGTCAGTCGACGTGGTCACAACGTAACACTCCTACGGGGACTGGAACTTCTCGGGCTCAATCCTGAGGTCTGCCACCCTCTTGGCGTGGGTTTTGAATCTGTTTCCTCTCACCCGACTTCTCTCGCAGGAGTTCGCAAGTGAAATGCGTGAGATGTTCGCCGCTAGCTCATCCATTACGCTGCTCTCAGAGAGCGACGGGAGGAAGCAGCATGAGGTACATCTGAGGAAGACAAGAGGGGGCTGACTCGGAAAGCTGCTAGATTATGTTTCAGGGCTACTGGGAGAAAACGTTAGCCTCCTTTCTGCAGGAGAAGTACCAGCTGCCGTCGGTTGATCCCTGACGTGCTGAAGCGGTTGAGCTGACCCTAAGCCTGACAGGCTTTGATCGAGGTGAAGACCAAGGGAAAGAACGCGGGTGAGAAGGCGCAAAAGACAGCCAAGAACATCATTAAAAGTTGAACGGCTGAGCCTACTGATGTAACCGTCAACACGATGATCGCGGGGCCCAAGTTAGTAGGCTGGTAACCGCCGCAAGTTGAACCGTCTATGCGGCGGCCCTCGGAGCGGCGCAGCGCCTCGGCCCCGCCGCCTTGCTCGACTCTGAGACTACTCGGCCCGGCCCGTGATAGCGGCATGCCCGGGTCCGCGGCTAGGCCGATCCGATTGAGTCGCCGGAGTCGAGTGAGCGCAGCTGAGTGAGGGCCTGGTGACTTCTTTACTCAAAGTTAAGTTAAAAGGGCCTGTGAGTGGCCAGTGAGCCAGGACTCCGGTGAGCGGCAGAGTGCTGCGGTATGAGCGGGGATGAGGTCACAAAGCAATCAACGGTTTGCCGTTTGTGGCCCTCCAAGGAAGCGAGCGAAACCGCAGGAGAGGAGAGAAGAGGAGAAGAGAAGAGACGGGACGAGATTGCAAGAAGCTGAATGATGAGAATGACCCAGGCGGAGTAACACTCTTGATCATGATAAGCAGAGAGTCCATTTGAAATTGCATTGCGAATTTCATCTTCCAATTACGTGAAAGTGGATAGCCTGGGTCCTGAATAAGCTTCTGGATGGCTGACGAGGAACCTCAAGAGAGTGAAAAGCATGAAGAGGAGGATCAAGCAACTGGACTTCTTTACTTGCTCCACCGCAATGAGAGCAGCTTCCGCTTCGCTCAAGACATGCCAGGCATCGTGCTTGTAGGCTTACTAGACTCCTTGGAGAAAAGAGAACAGAGTGCGAAAGTAGAGCGAGTTGCTGCTCTTACAATACAAAGCAGTGCAAGAAGAATGATGTGTGGAATCGTGCATGGAACCGATCGGAAGGCGGCTATCACTCTAGAGCGACTTTATCGAGGACACCTCGGTCGGTTGGCGTTCGAAGTGAAACAAGAAGAAAGGGACGCACAGACTCGACGAGCCTTCTGGGATTGTAATGCCACGCTAGTGCAGAAGCTGTGGAGAGGATTTCACAGCAGAAAGCATGCACACAACTTCTATCTGCGGAAAGCTTACCTGACGTCGGTGATGACTCGAGGACTAGAAGTTCGCTCGGAACTTGAAGCGCATTATCGGAGTATGAGTGAGTTAGAGGAAAGCAAGATGGAGCATGAGAAGATTGAGAGATTTGAGAATGTGATTGGGTCGCTGCATCACATGTTGAGCACGGCATCTTGTAGTGGTGTTTACAACTCCCCCTACAACTTGGTGAACCTGCCGGGCGGTCTGAGAGTTTCTGACTGCCTTGCAGTCAAACCCGCAAACGGCGTTCGGGTTGCCGATCGAGTCTCACCTGAGAAACGTGGCGAAGGTGCTCTACCTCCTCCTTGCCGCGCCGTGACCTCGTGCAGGGAACTCTGCGAGAAACAATCCTGCGGTTGGGTAGCGGCAAGGTTGTGCTTGGGGAGGGGAAGAAGACTCGACTGACGATGCTCAACAGACAGAAAAATGGAGCGAGGGGAAAGTGAATCGGACAGATGGAACTGCCCAAGTTCTGCACGTCTCCACAGGTGAAGCGAACAGTAGGAGAGGAGTTGGGTGGGGAGCAACAGGATAGGAAAGAGGTTGGAGGAGAGGAGAGGTATGGGGTAGGGGGATGATGGGGGAGGAGGAGGATGCAGACTGACTGCGATGATGTCAGCCGGAGGACAGCTTTACGCTTACTCTACCAAACCCATGAAAATATCTCGATCAGATTGAAGAAAATTATGTTATCACGTTAGAAAACACAAGGTCAAGGAGGTTGAAACGATCGCAGCGATCAATCAAACGAAGGATAAGTAAGATTCGCACATACGATTGCAGGGGAGGCCGGATAAAAAGATTCATTGTCTGTTCTCGTTCCTTCAGTATGGCCAACCTTTTGGTGGTACCCACGTGGTCTCTCCCGTCTGACGAGTGAAAATTCGACATGAGGACATGACAATCGAGGATAGACGAGGGGTCACCGTAGAATTGTGGTAATATCGCTTGTCGTTGTGTGTTGTGTACTCGGTCCATCCATTATGCGACTTGGGCGCTGCACAGCGTCAGCGTCATGACAGACAAGGAGGGGGAAGACCTTGCTTCTCGATCTCTTCGAACTCTTGAGGAACGTTCCATTGAGTCACATCTGAGGAGTTTGAGGCGAGGAGAGGGCAGGTGTAAAGAGGTACTCGTCTTATCGTTGAAGTAGTAGAGCCGTCCGTCAGGCGCTCTCAGCTCTGTCCAATCGCCGACACTTCGCGTGGGTTGAGGTCCAGCTACACGCTTGTCATCGCCCTCATGCCTGTTTCACATTCCGCACCTCGCGCCTTCTCCACAGGCTGGCAGGGAACACAAAGCATAGAGGCGATAACGGTCAAGCTCCTCAGCAGCCACACATCCAGCTCACCGGCTTGAGGCCGTCAAGATAGTAACCGAGGCCCTTCCAGTCCATCTTAAAAACATAGCCTGGCCTGCTAAGATTCACCAAGTGCTGGCATCTAGAGGCATGCGGGGCAAGTGCAGGGATGGGAGCAGCAACCTGCTCTTGGTGAATTTATCGGCTGGGATGAAATCCGCGATCTCATCGTCGAAAGCTTTCTTGGCCTTCTCGATCTTTTCTTCTTCTACTGTCTCTGCCCCTTGAGTGGATCTGTTCTTCGCTTTCTGCACAACAAGCATGTTAAGACCTTGTGAGCGACTAGCCAAGTTTTCCTCAGCTTGTTGAAGCGCGAGGTCAACGTCGTCCTTGTCATCTTTCTTCTTGGGGACTTTGACCTGATTCCTTGCCATGAGAGGAAGATTTGAGCTCAACTGCAGATACTGTGGGAAGAGTTGGAATGAATTCTTTCTTTGTTGTTGGTTTGCCGAACCCTCGCTCGACGTAGGGGTTGTCGTGGTGAGTGTACATGGAAGTATCAAGAATCTGCTTCCCACAGATATAGCAGATGCCGCGATCTGAGATCAGGTCAACTCATCCTCGACTCCTCGTCACGTCCCTCACTGTGCGCGCACTCCTGGCACCATTTACCCCCTGATGGAAGCTGGCGGAAGCAGACCTGAGCTCAGCCATGAGGGTTGGCCGGTCAGCTGGTGCAGCACCTGACACTTCTGGTTCACTCCGAGGGCTGCGCGTCCTCCATAGGGAGAGTATCGCTGACGAGTGGTGAGCAGCTTGTTCTCTCCCTTCTTGCGGCCGTCTGACGTTGCTTCATCTCGTGCTCCACTTCTCCACGGGTCAGGACAGATCACCTGTGGAAACAAGAGGAATACCAGGAAATCAATTCCAACATCAGATTGCTATTTGCAGATATATATTCAACTAAAGTTGAGCACAAGTTTCTTTGGGTGAATATGGTTAAAGATGTTTAAAGATGTCAGCACTGCACCCAACCTTGTCATCTCTTCTCATCTTGTTCACTCACCGCTGATCGTAGCTTGGAGTTCTTCTCACAATCTGCGCACGGCATGTCGGTCTACCCGTTATGATCGTTACATGCCGGTTCAAAGCGTTAGACCGTTACTGTTCTGCTCTGAGGCAAGGTGGTTGGTCCATGAACATGGCCCAATAGAGCACCCAACGAACGAGGCGGATGGCGCGAACAGGGCGGAGGAAGGAAGAAGAAAGGAAGAAGCAGAACAAGTAGGAGGAGGAGAGGAAGAAGAAGGACACAAGAGGGAAGGCATGAGGCGACAAGAGCTGCAGCTGACGCATGTGCCGGTCAAGATCACAGAATCTGGCGCAGGGAATCCTGCACTGTCGGAGCAGTCAGAGGAGGTCAAGTGCCTGATGGAAGAGCTTGAGGGATTGAAGACGAAGATTGTAGTGCTGCAAGGAAACATCCCAGCAGAGGAGCTGACCAACCAGTACCTCTTGCTGGCTGAGATCCTCCAACAAGAGCGACAGTACTCCAAAAGTTTGCAGGCCGAGACTGAGACCCTCCGCAATGAAATCCTAGACCGAATCAAGTCACTCGAATCCGAGGCAGAAGACCTCTGCTGGAAAAGAAATGAGGCCATCGCCTCGGAAAATAATGATAGCCGAGTGAGAGCACTCGAGATGAGCCTCAACTCCATGCGAGCTGAGAGGTTCAAGCTCGAACACGCTCTTGTTAAAGCTGAGCTCGCTTTGCTCAAAGTCTCATCTTTCCATGTTTCTTTCGGTGATCGAGAGGCATCAGATGTCGTCCAAGAGCTCTGCGAACAGCTGTTGTCTGAAAGGCTGGATCATCTCAGATCGCTGGATCTCATCAGGACATTCTACGAGCAATCGAACAATGTCATGAATGCTGACTGCAAGCAAACTCTCGAGGTCTCATCCTCTGATCTGCTGTACCTTCATACCTATGCCATCGCTTCTGACTCTTCTAGCAGTATGCTCAAAGGCTGCTGCAAGAATCTTGCAACAGGCTAAACTCACCTACCCCACACTTTCGCAACGAGCAAGATGGAAAGGTGAACTAGAGGGAGCTGAAGAGGAGGGTCAATGAGGCGAGTGGTGCAGGAAGAGGTGTTGTCTTGGTTCGATGATGCTCAAGTTCTCGCGCTGAGAGAAGTAAACACGGTCAAAGCTAGCTCCCTCGGCTGAAAGAACCTCAGCAGGTCTCCATGCTGCAGCTACACTACAGGAACGCAATGGAGGAGGACATGAAGAAGCTTGCTGTGAAGAAGCAGAAGCAGCGAGCTGTCGTTCATGAGGTGATGCGAGCAAACATGCACAGGCACTTGTTTGTTTGTTGGGTTGGTGGACAGCATGAAGCCACGACAACGTTGATATCAAGGATGATAATTATTGACGTCAGTTGGTAGGATGACAAGCAAGAGATGGTCGAGGAGGCGAAAACTCGAGCGAGTTTGCAGCCGAACATCTCTTGGGGATCTCTTGAGGTTCAGTGCATCCCGTAGGAAGGAAAGTAACATGGCATGCAGCAAGCGGAAACAAGTATATCTTACATCGAGCATCTACTTGTGCGATGTCGAGAGAGGTCAATGTCAAATCCTGTGTCTATTCTCATGATGCCTCAGGTTTTCTGACTTGCTGTATCGTCAAGCCCAACTTGAAGTCAATCGCCTGCACCATGTCAATCCTTTCTTCTCTCTGCATCGCTCGCTGACGGGGGCGCTCAAGGTCGACGGTCTGCAGCATCCGCGTGATGGTAGCCAAGACGCAGAGGGAAGAGACTTGACGGTAGAGGCGATCATGTCAGCCCTCAGCGCCTCCTTGGAGTCCTACCAGCAAGACGTCCACGAGCTGCAGGTCCATGACGACGAGGATGGCGAGTGTGGGTAACCAGGTTTGCAGGAGTCGCTTATGAAGGAGCGCCAGCGAGGCGAGGAGCTGCAGTTGACGGTGAGGGTTTAGGGTTTAGGGTTCAGGATGCGCAAACCTGCGTGACCAGCACGTGCAGATCCAACACTTGAGGAACCCAAACGAGGAACTCCGAAACCCCGTGACGTCTGCTCATGCAACACCCGACGAGGATCGCAAGATGGTTGAGGCAAAGAAGTTGCGAGCAGAGCTAGCGCAGGAGAAGCTCAAGGTCGCCGTGATGAGGCTCAAGTCGCAGCAGCAGAATGTGCTCTTGTCTGGCATCATCTCCTCGCTCCAAGATTGTCTAACCCAAGCTAAGGTTGTGCTCTACCGCATCTCTCCCAGTGACCGGCTGCTCAGGATGAGGTGGGTCGAAATCTGCTAGACATCAAAAATTCGCTCGAGATGGCAGTCGCTGCTTACACAGAAGAAGCTGGTGAGATGAGCGAGGAGGAGAGAAAACGCTTGACGAGTAAACAGACGAGGAAGAAAATCAGCGAGTCGTGAGAATGTTCGGAAGCTTGTCTGAATCAAGTTGTGGGATGCTGCTGAAGAATTACATCGAATGCCTGGAGGCTGAGAATGAGAAGCTCTTCCTCCTAGCCCGCGAGCTCAAGGTGCCTCGCCCGGCGGTGAGTGAAAGTGACAAGACTGCAGGAGGAGAAAGGAGGTGGAGTTGAAGTTTCGTGTGCGCCCGACGAGAGTCAGGCAAGGATCGACGCCAACAACACGTCAGAAGCAGCAGCGGAAGCAGAGGCTGCGAGCCGTGAAGAGAAGACGTTGAAGCAGCTGACGGACGATGAGCAAGAAAGCTTCAGCAAGAGGAGCAGAAGAGAATGTGAACGAGACAGTCAGCCAAGAGATGTCAAGGAAAGAGAGAGAAGCACGGAGATTACAAGAACAGAAAGAGAAGCGAGAGCTGGAGGATTAGATACTACAAGAGCAGGAGAAGAAGAGAGAAGGAGGTTGGAAGAGGAGGTGATGGAGCTGAGAGACGCATTCAAGATTGAGAGAGAGTGGGTGAGGAGGAGGGAAGAGGATCGTGAGCTGCTTGTTAAGCGCTTGGAGGAGCGACTAGCACGTCTGCAGCAGCTCAGGGAGGAAGCAGGAGGGCATGGCGAGCAAGCACCCAGCAGCAGTCTAGAGGCAGAGGTCGACAACCTGATGGAGCAACTGGCGAAGGAACTTTGACATGCTGTGAAGAAGGAAGATATGACGTCATCAGCAGGAGCGCGCCGTTAGCTCCTTCCTGTCGCTCCAACTCGACGAGGCAAATCGATTGGTTGAGGTCGCGAACTCAGATGCCGACAATCTAGAAGAGGCGCTAGAGGTGAGGAAGGGAGTAGAAAAAGGGGAGAAGGAGATACGATGACGCTGAAGAAGGGGCGGTGGTGGTTGTGGACGGCAGTCAACGATTCTGTCAGATCGCCATCCACGACGGAGCTCTTCGGGACTACATCGCTGGGTTAGAGGAGGACTCAGAAGACGCAAAGAAGAAGCTGAGAAGCTTGGAGCAGCAACTCACTCACGTTGTTTCTTTTCCATATGCGCATGCTCTGCTTCTGACTTGCGCTGCTGCAGCTCTCATGGCAGTTGAGACAGTCGGAGGTGGCGAACAAGAGTCTGTTTGAGCAGGTGCAAGAGCTCGAGCGAGAACGAGAGACATTCAAGATTGCAGCAAAGGAGAAGACGAGGAAGTCCCAAGGTGGCAGAGACTCGCCTGCTTCTGCCTGACTCACTTGCTCCTGCAGCCCGTCCGACCGTCACGTCGAACAGGTCAGTGGGTCGCGATGACTCTATGAAGCTGCTGACAATCATTTTGTCTCCTCTCCCTTGAGAAGGCGGGCAAGGGAAATGGGAGTAGACGTCAGCTATGAAGGAGATGAGATGCATGACGATCACTGCAAAGCTGCTATGATGAGCGAGGATCTTGAAAACTTCCGGAAAGAGGGAGTAGAGCATGCAAATAAGATGTCTCAATCAGTCTTGAGGGTGATGTTCTTCTCTCCACCTGTATTCCTCCTGCCTCATGATCCATTATCGCCTCCTTGTCCTCCTCCTTCCCCTCCCTCCTCCCTCCTCCTTCCCCTCCTCGGTCTATTGTTTTGCCTTTCCCAACTTGCTGCCTTAATCTGAGAGCTTTGCAGTCTCAGATTGAAGAGCTTCAGGCAGATCTTCACCTCAGCAACTCAAACATGGAGCTCATGTTTGAAGAGATGGAAGGAATGAGGTTGTCCCTTTATGTATCCTCTACCTCCTTACCTTCCTCCTTCTCCCCCTCCTCTCTTTTGTCTTATCTTCTTCCATCTTCTCCACCCTCTCCCTCCCCTTCGTTTCCTTTCTCCATCCTTTCTTGGGTTATTCCTTATTCCTCCTGATCAAATCCCTCTCTGCGTTTCCTGCGCTTGCCATTCTTCCCTAACATGTCAATACCAAATGCCCTCGGCTTCTCCTCCTCATCACGAGTGTTTTCAGACATCAAATGCGAACTCAGACCAACGACATGCAGGTTTGTTTCTCCCTTTCTGCAGCCATCCATCCGTCCCTCTTCCTCCCTCTCCTGCTGATGGCTACTACAGCAAACATCTTTTGCTATTGGTGCTATCGAGTCTCTCGTCCTGCAGGTGCCTGATCAGTGGAGGAGCACGAGACTGTTGGTAGACTGCTTGACTCTCGGCAGATCGCTTCCTCCCTACACCTTGTACTTCTCTGTCCGTCACTTCAGTAAGTCCTTTTCGCCATCCTTGGCCTCTCCCCTCCTCCTCTCCTCCTCTTTGTGCTCCTCACTTGTGATCAGAAACCGAGAACATGACGAGACATTACAATCCTCGAGAATTGCACGTCAGGTGGAGAGGTACGAAAATCACTAGATCGAATCGTCGTCATCCTCATCTTGATCGTCATCGCTATCATTGTATTTATCGTGAACATATGACCATTATCATTACCATTACCATTTCAATTACTATGAGCATTATCATTACCATGAACTTTATCACCATGAACTTTATCACCATCAACATCACCATCATATCATTATCATGATCGTCATCACTATCATTGCCATTACCATTAACATGATCATGATCATGATTATTAAACTATTAATAATCATCGTCATCGTCATCGTTGTCATCGTCATAATCATTGTCATCATGATAATAATGATAATAATGATAATCACTATCATTATCGTCATCACTATCACCATCATAAAGTCAATTATCCTTATCATCGCCACGACCACAACCCACAAGCGACAACCAAAACCACCGATTCAAACTTCTCATCAGGCAATTCAATCACATGCACCGTCCCCCTCAGCTGCCAACCTGCAAATTTGATCCTTACACGTACGAGAACCCCACCCTCTCCTTCATCGTCTTCTCAACGTTCACTATTCCATCCCTCCACAACCTCGTTCTCTTCCTCACTTTGTCTTCAGTTGCATTCGCATGCTCGACGACGCATCAACTTATCTTCGCGCGGCTGCTCGCAGGATGCAGACGAGGCTGCGGGAGCATATGGCGATCATCACTGCAGTGCTACACGAGACGAGGGACATCCATGCGAGCACGCGGGAGGAATTGAAGAGAATAGCTTCCATCTGTGCTCCTGCTCTTGCGCAAGGGTCTCAAGGCGCAACATCAATTGTAGAGACCAAGGAAGGGACGAGGATGCAGCAAGCGTATGGACAGGCCCGAACAGAACGAGGTCATGACAACATCGAAGCTGCAAGGATGAGGGGAAGCGAGAAGGTACAGGGGAGAAATGAAGATCAAGAGGACGGAGAGCTGCAAGAGGAGCGTGAACTGCTTGTGCAGAAGGTGAGGGACTACAAGGAGCTGTCGGAACTACTGGAACGGGGGATGGAACACATGAGAAGAAAGCATGAAGCTGCTGTACGGCAGGTGAAGGCAAATGCTCTTCGACACGCGCAGCAGTTGAGGAGGATGATGAACTCGATGCTTCTCCTTGTCCGCAGTGGTCAGCTACAGCACCTCCAATCTCTCGACTTGCAAACTTTGTCAAATATGATCGGAGGAAATGATCACGTAGGAGATGAAGAGGGTTGAAGAGTTCAAGTCTTGTCTTGTACATTATGATATTGATTGTAGAAAGATGAACATCTCTCTTCAGTCTCTGATGGTCCCCACGAGCGAGTACTTGTCGGAAAAAAACTTTTCCCAGTGGTTTAAGCTTGAAAAGAGCGTAAGTGGGAGATGGAGATCCATCCTTCACCTGTGAAGCTCCTTCTCTCCGAAGTCGGCGGTGGAGGGATCAAGGGCGTCTAACCTTGTGTTCATTCTCCAGCCCTCATCCTCACTCTCACCCACCTGGTTCCGTTTGCATCTTTCCCAGCATTCTTGATGCGTCTCTTCCGGCAAAGCAGTTGTATGGACCTCCGGGCCCTGCCGCCTCTCGTCACCGGCAATGCCGCGCTATCGGTTGTCACCATAGAAGTTGGCGCCGGCAGTCACGTCATAGACTTTACCCTAACAAGATGAAACTCATGAATCCTCACATCAACATCCCAACTTCTTACCCTCAAGCCAACAAGAATAGGTTTGTCTGGCACCTGGCCACCATTCAACAAGGAACAAAACAAGAACCCTTTTCACCTTGCCGTCATGATGCTTCAAATCCTCCCGCGTAAATTCCTTGCTCATCTCGCCTGAAGACTGCAAAATCTATCAGCCTCAGCCTCATCACTTTTCTGCTCCATCCCTCCATCCAGCTCCTCTCTTCCTCCCTGCTTCTCCGTCACCGCATTGCACCCTACTGTTACGACTGCTCTTGGTTGACTGAATCCTCTACTCAAAGTTAAGTTAAAATCAGTACGAGGTCTAAAAAGAACCGTCTAGGGAGAGAGAGAGAGAGAGAGAGAGAGAGAGAGAGAGAGAGAGAGAGAGAGAGAGAGAGAGAGAGAGAGAGAGAGAGAGAGAGAGAGAGAGAGAGAGAGAGAGAGAGAGAGAGAGAGAGAGAGAGAGAGAGAGAGAGAGAGAGAGAGAGAGAGAGAGAGAGAGAGAGAGAGAGAGAGAGAGAGAGAGGGGAGAGAGAAAAGTCACAAGTCACAATCTGTGTACGAACTTCCTT